TCTGTTAAGTGTAACAATTTTCGGTAGCGTTTATTAAATTACATCGTTAACATTTCATGAAATAATTGAAGTGCAGACATTTCCAGAAGACGCGGGCTTTATGGATGAAAATTTTATCTGATATAGATGAAGTAAGAAACGATTGGAGAGTATATGAATTTAATTCAAATTTTGGTTTCTATTTTCCACACGTATAATTTTCGGACCGTACGGCTGTATATCAATATGATGAACATGGAACGGGAGTCGGAATAAACTTGAATGAGAGGAAATATGCTTTTTCACTACGCATTAATGCAGTGTGGATGGCGTATTTATCTTTGATGTGATTTATTCAAATTTCAAAGTATTGGACATTTTCATTCTCAACACTAGCCTTTTTTTATGTAGCTAACTGAAGTGAGTCAATTTTTTTATAGTTGTTCCACTACTGCTAATAGCTGTACGATTATATCTGTGAGTTAATCCGAAAGTTATTGAAACATCGATTTCAGAAATTCTTTAGGAACTGATAAACTTTTGTTATGTGATGTCGAAGATCAGATAATGATTGTATTAAAATCGATTGTTTTCGAATAAACTTCAAGAGAATTTCATATGATAGTAAGTTACATGCTTGATTTTGCTCATACTGCAATAGATATAAGGTTATTGTGATAAGAGAGTTTAATTATCAGTGAAAGCTTTCTTAGAAATGAAGAAATAACAGCATTCCTTCTTGAAAATATTATGCTTCATAATTTACTATTAAAATTCCATTAACAACAATGAATATAAACGTTTGCTTATTTTTATCTGATTAGAATCTGATAATGTTGAATTCATTTTGTCAAGATTAATAGAACCAATTCTATTAGTCTAAGTCCAAAAATGGGAATAAACTGAACTTAAGTATTTGAAGCGCTGGATTTCCCAAATTTTCTTATATTACACTTTTGAAGTAAACTTTTCATTTCAAATGAAACTTTCCATCATTTCTGAACATTCCCAGAACCTAAGTACTATTTGCAAGGATTAAAGATTCATTGTCAGAATTGATAATGAATAATTATGGAAATGGTAGTAGAAATTACTATAATAGATCTATTAAATATATCTTAATAATCTTGCTTGTTGGAATTGTTCGGTGGTTCAGTGTAGCAGCAGGTTTGCAATTTTAAAACATCAACGCAACAATTTCGGGACTACTTGATCATTTGCATATGTAGTAGAAATTATTAAAATAGAGAGCTGTTGGATCAGAAAGAATAGTTTAAGATGTATCAGCAAAAAATGCTATCGTATCGCACCTACCGTAAGTAATGAGAAATATTCGTAGTAATATATTGACAGCTAAATCATAATTTGCTAAAATTGATATTTCTATTTAATCTATCAATTGATTAGTGATTAATTGCAAGCATCGTAATTCTCTAAAATAATTTTCTTAATTAATTTTCAATATATTTCATAAAATTAATGTACGAAGTGGAGCGTTTCTACGAATGAGTGAGAAGTAAATTATGATCACAAGCGGTTGATAAACTCTTTAATCGTTGTTAGTACATCGTTTCATCGTGATAAATTGCCATTGAAAATTTACCGTAAAAAAAATTTAAAAGATGCAACAAATGTTGTTCAGCAAAATTTTCAAAATCCTTTTATCAAATCAGCAATTTCGAATCAAAACAAAATATTCAAATACCATTGGCAATAATTTTTTTTGCAGCGTTTTATAATATCAAAGATTTTTTGAATTGATTACTTGCAGATCTTAATTTCTTAAGATATTATTAATTTACAAAATTAGTTTTGTTTAAATGTAAAATATTCAGGCAGTAATTAATTTATTTTGGAATGAAGAGAATTGTAATAATTTATTGTAATTGTATCTGAATAATATCAAAGTAATATTCGAACTGATCCCAATTATTTTAATATAAATAGCTCATTCAAAATAATTAAGATTTGGATCGCTTACTCATATTGGTCACTCATAAACTTCTTTTTACCCGACAAAGCAGGAAAATATCATTCAATTGGATTTTGCATTTAATAATGTAATAAATTCCTTTTTTTTGATTCAACGATTCCTACTTTTCGAAATAATTTAAAGGAAAAATTTTGCGTGGACAATTGGATCGATCTTTTATTTGCCACTGTTTTGATGTATGTGAAGAGATATTTGTTGAATATTCAGCAAATGTAGAAAATGAATCGTTCAGAAGTATTCTTTATACAACAAACAACGTATTTATCACATTTAATTCATTTTATGTTTAATTAATTAAAAGCAACTTTCGTCATAATAACTGTCTCTTTTATGTCTCCCATAAGTACAAGAATTCTTGTTTTTTTCATACTTATTTTTTTAAAATATATTCTAAAAGATTTTATAGGTTAAAACAAAAAAGTTTTTGGTATTTGTGAATGTATTCTACAACACTATTGAAATATGAATACAATAATATCTATGTCAGTCTGTGATTTTATGAGAGGTTAATTAGATGTCAATCCTTTGAATTTAATTTTTCGATATAATTTCGTTTGCATGCTTTATATGATAACAAATTCAGTTAGATCTGATAAGCTTTTCTTTTAAATAAAGAATTAATTATTTTCTGAGTGTTTAAGAATGAAATAAGAAAGTTACAGAGTTCTGAAATCTCTGAAATATTTGAAATTAACAATGTACAAGTAGGCAATTAATAAAATAAATGTACTTCACAATATGATATTTTAGGTAAGTTATAAATTGGAAATGGAAAGCATTTGGATAGTAATAAAATTGTTCGTTTGCAACATTTTATATTTCGGGATGATTAAGTTGTTAAGATGATTGAGCAATACATAAAACGTAGAACTGAGCATATCGATCCGCTTCTCATAACTTTGTTGATAAACGCTGAAGAAACAAGAGAAACATAATTATGATAATCTATTAAACGATGAAGAGAATGCTATAGGACTGGAAATTAACTGCTTGAACAAGTTTACAGCTTTCCTAAACAGTGTTGAAATTTCACTATTTCTCAACATATTTGTAAAAATAGTATTTTTCCATATGTTTACATCCATCTGTTTACAATGTTTACAATCGGAGAGAGCAAAAAAAAGATGCATAACTTTTCCAAAAAATTAAACAATTCGCCATCAGGAAAACATTCTCGAAGGTAAAGTTAACTTTCCTGAACTGAGTTGAAAATTTCTGGTTACCTGAGAGAAAGGAAGAAGACATGACTAATACTTCCAGATATATGACATGGATAACAGGAAGGTTTTCAGATAAGTTTGAAAGAAGAAAATAAAATCTGATATGGTATGATAAATCGGTTTAATTTAACGATAGTCAGTTATTCAGTATTCACAAAAATTTATTAATGAGTGAAACATCAATTTCCGATGTCTTGTCTTATTTTTTAGAAGGAAATAAAATCACAGTTTTTATGATACTTGTTTATTTGTCATTAAGACAAATTTCACCAAATTTTTATGGTTGTCCCTGCAATTAATAACACTCCTAATGCCGAATTAAAGTTCAAAAATTATCATTGTCTTTGGACAAAATTTTAAATTTGCCAGAAGCCATAGATTTTAATATCATGGCTTCCACGTCATTTTATCATAACATTTGCATTTGATGGAGAGTTGAATCAAAAACACTTTTATTAATTTTGATAGATTTAAAATTAAGTTCCTCTTCAATTTTAAACAAAGCAAGACATCAGCTAAATGGTTTCTTAATGATTTGTAAGACGGATTTAGATGTTCCGAATCATTTGAAACGAGTACATCAGAAGATGTAGTTATTGATCGGTATGAAATGTATGAAATATCTAATAATATATTACTCATTAAAACTTTCAAAAATAAATAAATACTTGCAGCATAATATAATGTTCTTCAGATATGGTCTTGACAGTCAATCCTTCAATTCTATTGCTATGTGAAGAGAGAGAGAGAGAGAGAGAGAATGAAAAATAAATTACTGATTTAAAATTATAGTTCTCAGAACACCGTTATGTGAATTTAAAAAAAGTAGACAAATTATTTCATTTAATATATCTTTAGCAAAATAACATTCTGCGACAATTTCGTATTAAGTTGTCTTTCCGCCCAAATGCTGTTTAAATATTGCATTTAGCAAAAATTAGAATGACATGTGTTTTTGTGACCGAAAAAATTTGTAAAAGGAACCGGAACTCATTCACATCCTTCTAACATTTTAATTTTTTTAATGAACCCTATAAATACAACTTTTAAGAATAAAAATTTCTTCATATCTAAATTAAACATTTATAAAGAATGCAAATATTTTACAGAAAAAGCAAAAACAGCCGTTAATTAAAAACTAAAGAAGATTTGTTATTTATTTAAATTGAGCATTTATAAAGAGATATGCAACTGTCTTAAAGTAAGAAAACAAAATATGTACATTTGTCAGCTGCAAGAGTGTCTTCTACACATTCTGCAATAATTCAAATTTAAATACTTATCAAATAAATAGGAATTTTTTTTCAAGAAATGAAAATCTTTTATTCATTCCTAAGAAATAATTTTATCTTAAAAAAATCTTCACTCTCTCATACCTTCGCCTTCATCTCTTCTCATTTGTTAATTAACATTTTCTATATATAATCTAATTGAACAGTTTTTTAAAAAAAATGTGTATAAATAGAAAAGTAGCCGATTCAGTAATCCAAGAAATGGAGACTATTCGTCTCATTTTCGGGTAAATGAAAAATTAACCTCAACCAGTTCAGCATTTGACAAAGTCAGAAAAAACAAGGAGGTTTGAAAGTGGAAAAGGAAGAGAGAAAAAAGTGATAAATTGGAGTACCAATTATAATTGGCTCTATGCTTCCCATTTTCCCTATATAAGAAACTACGACAACATACTTCCATTCCAGTTCTATCGCTATTAAAATATAGTACCACTTGGAGTTTTCTTAACTATCGCCTAAATTTTCTTCATTGTAGAAAAAGAGGAGTAACAACAACAACACGTAGTAGTAGCAGTGATGAATTCATTTATTATCATTATTCTACTGTCAATACTATTTTTCAATGTATCATCACATTTATGTATGCTTTTTGTTTCTTACCTTTTTTTTACCTCTTAATTATAAATAAATATATTTAGTAGTATTGAAAATGTTTTTTGATAAGGAATAAGAAATAAGGGAAAATATAAAATTCGTGAATTTATTCATATATTTCAATGTGCATTGAGGAAATTTCTTCGTATAACTCAAAGTGATAAGTAAATAAAACATTCAAACAGAAGAATAATTAATGTGAAAATGACAAAAACTAGTTTGTCAAATGTCTACTTTCTTCTCTCCGTGATGGGAAAGACATTTGAACTGACATTTGAACTATTTTAGACTTTAAGAAAGTAGGGCTATCGGATAATGATAAACAGAGATGGGTTTTTTTTTCGCTAGATATTGTAAGAAGTATATAAATCAATAACATTATTTTTGCCATATTTAAAAGTTCTCAAAAATCCGGAACAGTATACAATATATACTTTGAAAACACTATACAATCTTCTCAAAAAAGAGAAAGAAACATGCAAAAGTAATTAGAAAAGTCATAATTTATGAAGTCCCAATTTTTTCCACATGAATTCATTGATTTATATAAAATTGAATTTCTTCTGAATTGAATTTCTTTTCAGTGCATAAAAGAAATAATGCACACGATAAAGCCATCGCTCCAGCTTTAGCTATGGAAGTACTTATTGGACAGTCTGAACCACAAATTTCTCAATTGAATGCTCTTCCAACTTTAGTAAATTTCAATGGATATCGGAAAAAACGGAATAATGCTTACGGAGACGAAGCTGTTCCTCCGGCAACAAATGTGGCAATATCTATGGAGGTACCTGTGGAACAAGCTCCAGCACAAATTGATCAATCATATGGTGCTGCAGTTTCAGCTCTAGTAGAGGCTAGCGGATATCGGAAAAAACGAAATAATGCTTACGGAGACGAAGCTGTTCTTCCGGCAACAAATGTGGCAATATCTATGGAGGTACCTGTGGAACAAGCTCCAGCACAAATTGATCAATCATATGGTGCTGCAGTTTCAGCTCTAGTAGAGGCTAGCGGATATCGGAAAAAACGAAATAATGCTTACGGAGACGAAGCTATTCCTCCGGCAACAAACGTGGCAATATCTATGGAGGTACCTGTGGAACAAGCTCCAGCACAAATCGATCAATCACATGGTACTGCAGTTTCACCTCTAGTAGAAGCTAGCGGATATCGGAAAAAGCGAAATAATGCTTACGGAGACGAAGCTGTTCCTCCAGCAACAAATGTGGCAATATCTATGGAGGTACCTGTGGAACAAGCTCCAGCACAAATCGATCAATCACATGGTACTGTAGTTTCACCTCTAGTAGAAGCTAGCGGATATCGGAAAAAGCGAAATAATGCTTACGGAGANGCAACAAATGTGGCAATATCTATGGAGGTACCTGTGGAACAAGCTCCAGCACAAATCGATCAATCACATGGTACTGTAGTTTCACCTCTAGTAGAAGCTAGCGGATATCGGAAAAAGCGAAATAATGCTTACGGAGACGAAGCTGTTCCTCCAGCAACAAATGTGGCAATATCTATGGAGGTACCTGTGGAACAAGCTCCAGCACAAATCGATCAATCACATGGTACTGTAGTTTCACCTCTAGTAGAAGCTAGCGGATATCGGAAAAAGCGAAATAATGCTTACGGAGACGAAGCTGTTCCTCCGGCAACAAATGTGGCAATATCTATGGAGGTACCTGTGGAACAAGCTCCAGCACAAATCGATCAATCACATGGTACTGTAGTTTCACCTCTAGTAGAAGCTAGCGGATATCAGAAAAAGCGAAATAATGCTTACGGAGACGAAGCTGTTCCTCCGGCAACAAATGTGGCAATATCTATGGAGGTACCTGTAGAACAAGCTCCAGCACAAATTGATCAGTCATATGGTGCCATAACTGCAGTGGTATCCAGCGGTTATTAAGATTAAAATTATTAAGATTAAGATTAAGATTAAAAATTATCATTATCATTTTTTTCAAAATTATTATTTCTATCAGATTCTCATGTTGACAAATCTTACGATATTTGTTAAACCTGTAAAATTTAGATCTCTAACAAAAATATGAAAGAATTGGTAGGAAACAACTATTAACCTTCCACTCTCCCCTCCTTCATCTTTCTGAATTTAATCATTTAGTTAGCGGAATGGTGTTTTGTTGTAACCAGAATTTGCTAAAATTTTTTTGGATTCCCTTATCAGTTTTAAGTTTTCCGATAATACATCAACTGCAAAACTTCTTTCAAACTGTTTTTCAATCTTCGAAGAAAAACTAGGTTTGCACACAACACCTGATCACTGCCTATATTTCAACTGCCCACTTCACCTGCAATGATGTGCTTCTTTGTCAAAACGCTTTAAAGGAATAAACTTGGAAATGTGTTGAGCATTTGCATATAATGAATTGAAAATCGCAAACGATATCTAGAAATTCTGATCAATACTCAGACCTAGACTAGCAACAACATAATTTGAAGCAAACCTGTATAAACTGAAGCATCCACATGGAAAACGAAATAGAATCTACGATAGAACTAAGACCAAGGATTTTCAGCAACATGTCCATCCATCAGTTATTTAACTTCATATAAATAACTTCGATGAGGTTCATCAGTCCGTTTGGAATATGTAAAATACGAGACAGGCAAATGGAAAGAATGGACATCTATGCAATTTTATTCAAAGCATTGAAACTTTATATGCATGCCATTCCATCAACTTTTTTGCACATGGACAAATCGATCGATGTAATAGTTACATTATTTGTCATCATACTTTAGAGCTATGCGAACATTTAATATTAAAAAATGGGAAAATGTTAAGTCACCTTTAACTGCGGCCAATGGCACTTCAAATAATAAAATGTGGCACGACTAAGTGTATCAAAATCAACAAAAATTATCAATAAGCATGCATCACTTCCCCTACAAAAGTGTCCATAAGTTATTATGAAAGAATTAGTAATCCTGATAACACTCGTCCATTTCAGCATTCAACCTCTCAAACTTTTCTGTTGTTGATTGAACAAACATCTCATCACATCTATTCGTTCATAATGGGTATTGAAGTAGACCAGTGTCCGGTGCAAGCTCCATGATGATTCTCTGTACTTCACGGAACTTCGGATGGTCTGCGCCTCCTAACAAACCGAGAATTGCACATTCGCTGGTCGTCAAAACAGCGCCAGCAACTTCCATTTGTCGCAAGCCAAACATTCTTTAAACGAACATACAACTGAGCTATATTTTACATGTCAGTTAAATTAAATGACAATATAGTAGACAGTTTAATTTATATTGCTATAAAAGATACCTATCGGTCTGTGAGCGCGATGAAACAGCATCGGCAACTACATGCACAGCAATTCCTTTTTCGAGCATATCAAGCGCTGTGTGCAAAACACATACATGCGTTTCAATGCCACATAATATCACAGACTGAGATGATTCAAGCATTCCCGTTACAGATGGAATACACATGCTGAATCTTTTCTTCTCAAAAATTGGTATATTATATTTGTTTAGCTCCAATTCTGATACTGTATGCCCAAGCCCTAAACAAAAAATTAAGTCTACATCAATTAAAAGCTAAAGAAATATTTTTGTGGCTCATAACGTCCTCAACCAACTTAATATAGTAATACTTTTCCAGTTCAACTTTTTAACTTTAAAACACGAAAATCATAAATGCGACGATGCGAGCTAAAATCACATTGCCCAAAATTACACGCATAAAACGCTCTTCAATGTGTTATGATATATTACGCTTAATGATATAAATATATTAGGTTCTTTCAAACTCTAAACCAAGAACCTCAAACCCTTATTTACCTTTTGGATACTGTTCAGTGGCAATAACTTCCATATCAAGAAGTTTTGCAGCGACAATAAGGCGCTTGCTGATTTGAACAATTTCCTTAAAATATTTGATACTGCATCTGTAATTTCAAGATAAATAGCGTGTCAAAACCAAAAAAGAACAGCCTGACTAAACTATTATAAGTGAGATGGAACCCAACGATCTTACACTAAACTTTATTAAGAATAAACCTGCACGCTTTTGTGTCCGAAACCGAAATAACTTCGTAACATAAAAATGTTTAAATAATCAATGTATCTTTACACCCTTGTTGTTAATGTTATAGAAATTCTTTGTCTCAAATACTCTCACTGACAATGGCTTTGTTTGACATCTTAAATCGTTATTCCAAGCAATACTGCAAATAATTAACATCAAACAGTTCCCTTCTTACCACCGGCTTCATATATTTTATGTTTAAGCAATTCTCCGTTAACCATCGGTCTTACTATCTACTATAAACGAACATGTTAATGACTTATATCCAATAATCTCGCGTTTACCATTAATATCTCATACCGAATGATCTTATAATCCTCGTACCGTTGACCCACCTACAAAATGTCCAGCATTTACTAAGATCCCCCAAACCTAACAATTCAATCACTCCTACTCTTGACATCTTTTAATTATTTCTTATAAAGCCGGGAAGGACATATTCATCTCCCACATAAAATCCGATAATCTGTCGTCTGCGAAACAGCGGACCTCCCAAATCAAAAAACCCCACTGCGCTTGATGGCCTCTTATTATGAGAGTGACAGAATAAACGAATCATAAAATCACCTGAACTTCTCTTGCATATCACAAATAAGTAGCACCGAATTCAAAGGAGACAACCGTGAAGCAGCACGCGAAACAGCCATTTTTCCTCCCGAACAGATAGATTCCTCCAAGCAGATGAAAGAAACACCGTCACTCACCTCTATCACTTCAACCAAATCAAAAAACAAGCGAGATGAACGTGACAGACACTTAAGACTTATAGCGCCGACCATAGTAAGCCCTTATCAGCCACATTCCTAACAGCTCAACTTTTTTATGCGACATGCACTCACGACCACATTCCTTTACTGACACGAACCCCAAAACAAAACCTACTCGGCTCTAGCAGGACGGTATGACACAGTCTGTTCCAGAATATGATTGTAACTCTTCAAATACTCCAAAGAAAGAGAAATTTATTGATAGCGCAGAAACATGAAAATACAAAACAGAAGATATTAAAAAATGAATCATCTTACCATTAGAAAAAGTTTTTCTCCGACATTAGAATAAATATTGGATGAAACAACTCTGACACGAGATCAACAAAAAAGCCCACAAGTTCATCAAACGAAAAACTTATTACGAAAACTTATTGCTTGAGCAATTTTCACTTAATACCATTACAATCTAAAATTTTTCGATAAACGGACTGTGGGTAAAACTATCAAAACTAGACTGCTACAGTTAATCAACTTCCTCCATTCTTGATGCATCTTCTTCCGCACCAACTAAGTTTGGTACACATTCATCTTTCTCGCCAGAAACGGATGCAACTGCTTCTTCTTCATCTTCCGTGATATCAAGCCCGAGCTGAAAAACCAGTATATTTTCTTGACCAATTTCAAATAAACGACCCATCCTTTCTCCAAACAGTTTCCGACTCCTTCATTAAACTAACCTTGATCATGCGATATATTCTCGATGCATGCAGTTGCGGATCATCAAGCGAAAAGCCAGAAGAGAGTAAGGCAGTCTCAAACAGCAAAACCACTAAATCTTTTACAGTCTTATCGTTTTTATCTGCTTCGACACGCTCTCTCAATGCCCTGAAAACAGGCAAATAAGAGAAGAGCAAATCAACCAATCTCCCCCTCTCCTAAAAAATTTGTCCTCGTGAAATCCACTAACGTACTTGATGACAGAATGATCAGGGTTGATTTCGAGGTGTTTTTTAGCAGCCATATAGCCCATTGTCGAAGAATCCCGCAGAGCCTGCGCCTTCATGATTCTTTCCATATTAGCAGACCATCCATATTCAGACGTAACAATGCAACACGGTGATGAGACCAATCGATTAGATACAGCAACTTTCTCAACCTATATACATATTGTCAAAGATGTTAAACAGGGCGATGAAGGTGATTCATCATAATTACTATTCATGGTTTGTTTGTGACGATCATAGTTGCAAATTTACAGAACTTTAGTTATTATATAACCGATAGACATTTAAATGTCTCAACTTCAAAAACATTTGCGTGAGTGCTAATCATAGGATTCAAATAATTTGTACTTATTATCGGGTACCTTTTTCTCCAAAATGTCCTTCATGACTTTGCACAGATTCTCAAATTTAACTTTGTCTTCTTCGAATTTCTTCTTTTCCTCCTCACTTTCAGGCAATTCAAGGCCTTCCTTGGTGACTGAGACCAACTTGTTCCCATCATATTCCTTCAGTTGTTGCACACAATACTCATCTATCGGATCAGTCATATAAACTACCTATAAAAATTATTAACGGTCGTCGCGAAAAACAAAAATTAACATAAATGCTTAACCAAATAAGATAACAAACCTCGAAACCACGTCTCTTGACACGTTCCACAAACGCAGAACTGGCGACAGCTTCTCTGGATTCGCCAGTAATAAAATAGATTTGCTTTTGGTTCTCCTTCATACGGCCGACATAATCTTTTAATGAAGTCATTTCCTCGCTAGATGCTGATGTATAGAATCGTAAGAATTCCGACAGCTTTTTACGATTTGTAGAATCCTCATGGATACCAAGCTGCAACCATATATAATTAAGAACAGCATACTTCGGCGCATCAAACCCACCACTTACTTTATAAGCTAATAGTATACCTTTATATTCTTCGAAAACTGTTCATAGAATTTCTTGAAGTTATCCTTGTCTTCCGCAATTTCATCGAACAGCTCCAGACACTTCTTGACAAGATTCTTACGGATGACTTTCAATATCTTCGACTGCTGCAGCATTTCACGAGAGATGTTCAACGGCAAGTCTTCGCTATCTACGACACCCTTGATAAAGTTCAAGTATTCCGGCATCAACTCGTCGCAGTTTTCCATTATGAATACGCGGCGAACATATAGCTAAAACAGAAAACATTAAATGTTCGGAACAACCAAGCAAAATTTGAGAAATCTCGGTTTCGTTATGACCAAATGGCCTGATAACCTCTGACAAACCTTAATAGCATTCTTCGTTTTTTTATTCTCGAACAAATCAAATGGTGCACGTTGCGGTACAAATAACAAGGCACGAAATTCAAGCTGTCCTTCAACTGAAAAATGCTTGACTGCGAGGTGATCTTCCCAATCATTCGATAGTGACTTGTAGAATTCCGCATACTCCTCATTGCTTATGTCGTCAGGACTTCGAGTCCAAATAGGCTTTGTCTAAAACAAGAAATCTTTAAAAGAATTCAACACACATATGTAAGTTACCTAATTAATGCACACGACATGTGAAGCAGTCATACTACCACTTATCTTTTAATCTACCTTATTTAGTTCCTCGTCTTCATGGTACTTCTCCTTGATCTTCTTTTTCTTCTTGCCTTTCTCCTTCTTATCTTCATCCTCATCCTCCCCGACATCCTCAATTTCACCTTCTTTCTTTTCCTTATCTCCGTCTTTTTCTTCCTCCGCTTCATCATCAGAAACTTCTTTGTCACGCTCTTTCTCCACAGTAAGCTTTATCGGGTACCCAATAAATTGCGAATGCTTCTTTACAATCTCTTTGATGCGACGCTCCTCGAGATAGTCTGTCTGATCCTCCTTAATATACAGTGTGATTTTGGTGCCACGAGTAAGCTCCGGATCATTCGTCTGTCGAATGATAAACGAACCTGCAAACACATTTGTACAATACTACAATTTACAACTCAAAGCTAAAAATTAACAATATAACGCATTACTTTGCAGCAGGGGATTAAATTACCTCCGGCAGACGACTCCCATTGGTAGCAGTCGTCATCATTGTGCTTGGAAGCTACAACAACTTTATCTGCGACCAAAAACGCGGAATAAAAGCCAACACCGAACTGCCCAATCATGGAGATGTCAGCACCCGCCTAAAAGATGTAATTAAAACATAATGTGCAACATTACAATACACTGAAACCAAACCCAAATGAAGAAACCAAGCATACCTGGAGAGCTTCCATGAACGCTTTAGTGCCAGATTTAGCGATCGTGCCCAAATTATTAACCAGATCCGCTTTGGTCATACCAATCCCCGTGTCCATGATAGTCAGTGTCTTGTCAGCCTGGAACGACTTAATTAAAATAGTTGTTGTAGGTACCGACTTTCAAGCCAACTATATAGCTAATTTCTAAAATAAGCTAACCACATACAAATTGAAAAATCCAAAGGCACAACGTAGGAATCGAATAAGACAGTACCTTATTCGGAGTAATCTTGATGTACAATTCTTTTCCAGTCTCCAACTCGGCCGGTTCGGTAAGCGCTTGATACCGGATTTTATCGAGTGCATCCGAAGAGTTTGAAATCAGTTCACGAAGAAAAATCTCCTTATTACTGAAAAAGAAAATAATAGTGTCATAGACGAAATCTATTGACGGTCCAATTACATGCTTCTCTTTAACAGCAACAAAAACTACAGACCTATAAAACGTGTTGATGATAAGACTCATCAGCTGGGCGATCTCCGCCTGAAACGCGAAGGTTTCACCGTTCGTTTCTTCCGACATTGTTGCTGATTTTCAGATTATCGAGATAATCGTCCGCAAGAAAGCTGAAGTTCAAAAATAGGACTGCATACAAAAGGTTCCAGCATATATACTGGTTTCGGGATACTATGTTTTAACTTTCACTCTACGGACCTCACGACTTAATCTAGCGATACAAATGGCTCAAAACCAACGCCCCTTAATCTACCAACGCGTGACGCCAATGCACAGCATAATCGAGACGACCACAGCAATCCCTGCCAACCTTTGCCCACCAAATGACCGGTGTTTACTACGCGCACCGCTCCAATCCACTCCACCTCAACAACCCAAACCTGTACCTCAACCAGTGACGCCTCGCTACTGTGTTCCGATGAGTAGCGTACAGCTTTTTATATCTTCTGGTTTCAGGAATGTTCTAGAACCATTGGTGGGCGGTGCTTATAGCGACAACAACCAATGAATGAAGAGTGCAGTATTTGGTTAAGGTCGGCAACAGAATGTTCTGGAAGGTTCTATAAAAGATATAGGATTGTGTTCGTGGATGTACACATTTTGGGGGGTGGGACGTTCTAGAAGTTTCTAGGAGGGGATTTCTTATGAAGAGTAATTTCTTCTATAGAGAGGAGGGTTCGAGAGTGTATATATGCGGAATAATTCCCTCCCGGAAAAGTTCCTTTTTCCACTCGGAAGAGAAGTTTCTTTTTCTCGGTGTTCATCTGACGGGAAAAATATGTCAAGAATCGTCCGGATAGATATTGTGCCAACCTTTGAATTCGACCTTTTAATTCCTAGATCTCATAGTTTCCGGATGACTTATCCTTACTTTTATGATCTGATTAACGGTAATTGATAAATGCGAGTGCTTTTTTGTATAAGTTGGGAAAAAATCGTGCATTAAGGAGAGTCATGGTATGATCATCATTTCTGTCTTGTCGGTGCATTTCAGCACGTTGTAACAAATCACATTAACATGGAGTGTTGTTAGAAGTCGTGAAGAGATTGGATTCCGAGTAGATCCTCTTGCTTTTTCATACAAATTAAACTTTAGCTCTAAATTGTATTGCCGGAAGACGAATATCCAGTATGGGTAACATGAAGATGCAGAAGACACATTCTTCCGGCTATTTCTTCAAATAACAGTCCCATATGCTAGTAAACTCATTTTTCTGGGTTATTTCCTCAGATAACTGAGCTTTGAAACCTTTTTCCTTTCATTTGCTTCATTTCAGTTAACATAGTATTTCATATATTTCATAGTTAACATAATATTTCATTTATATTCCTTTTGCGATCTGGTGGTTATCGATTTTGCAATGAGTGCAGGGAAATTTTGAATATTGCAAGATAATAACTAATGAGAAAAGGAATGTTGTTACCACTAATTAAAGCTTAATATGGCGGAGATTTATGATTTATACAATTTCAGTAATTCGATATGGTTCTTCGAGCAGATATTGCTATAATTCCTTTCCGAACAAGCAACCTATCCAATTTATCAAAAAGCATGACAGAAAAGAGCTAATTTAAGAGCAATAAATGCCTGAAATTGAGGAAGACACACCAATGTCACCGTATAAATGTTACCATCTTATTTCAATGTTACATTCGAACCCGCAAATATATTGGCTTCGATGAAAAAAAATTACCAGAATCACTAAACATTAGAATAGCATCATAACATGACTGAAAATAGGATAGAAAATACAATGAAACATATCAGGTGAGACATATATTTGAGCTGGTTTGATCAGATGACAGCAAACTTCAGCAAAATTTTGTAATCACTGCAGTGATTCTGTACGCAGTAGTGGACTGAAAAGGAGCAGAGATTTAGAACTTTAACAATGAAGACCGAAGCAGGATTTCTGATCATCTGTTGTCAGTTATTAATTTTAAAATGTAACAGGCACTGATATAAATGAAAACTATATCTAGTTACAAAAAAGTTTTGATTTTTTGCTTCCTACGTTGGAAATCAAGCTGAACAGAACAGTTTTCCCAAATCAAGTAGCACAACTTCTTAATTCAAAATCGGGCTTAACTTTTTATCCCTCAAAAGATTCTTCATGTTTTGCTATATATGTGCTAACATTCAAAAGCGTTACTATATATATGCACTAACATTCATTAAAATAAAAATCGAGCAAGAAAGTGATTTCGAAAAGAAATGGTCATGCCGATTAGAACACTGACCATCAATTTAAATCGGTCAAAAATCAAGACCTAAGTTAGGACTGAAGTGAGTGGCAGTTGAATGTATGGGATGAATCTTACCGGCAATAAATTTCATTCTCAACTGATTACGAATGTATGGTTATGATTTTAAAATGTGCATGAGATCTCTTTTTTTTGGTGTTATTCATATCAATGGTGGACTAAGTAAAAAGTTCTCGAAATGCAGCAATATTGACTTATCCAAGGCAAAAATTACATCAGAGCACCCACAACATTTGGGTATAACAAGCAATATGCATGCATCACTTAATTATGGAAGAAGTTAAAATTATATAGCCACCATCGGTTCAGCATTTTCGTCGGCACTAGGGTCAATCCCTTGCCTGAAAACAAAAAATATTTGTAATATTTGAGAAAATTTAAAATTAAAATGTTTTGTGCAAAAGTATTTGAAGAATTTATGAAAATGTGTAGAAAAAACAAACTTTGCTTTATTTTCCAGCAGCGGGCTAGTTGATGCATTGAAGGCAGTGATTTCAGACAGTTCCGTCAATGGGATTTTTGAATTTGCTTCGTCAACAAGTGCCCTAAAAGCTGTTAACAGCTGTTAATTACTCTAAATGATTTTTTCCATCATTCTTGAGAAGTTAGATGTAAAAAATTTATACAAGATATTATAGGGTTTATTTTTACTTTCCAAAGGCAGAATGGTCAATTTGGAAACTTGTTGCAAAAACGACATCATCATAATTAGCCACAAGTGGCCGTAATTTAGATTCCGTTTCTTCAAAGCTATCGGATCTCTTACGCAATTCTGGCCGGAGCTTCGGCAATTTATCTGAAAATAAAACACAAAAGATGAGACCTAAATAATAACATTAGGAAAAACAAAGGCCTTGAATCATTTAGCCATTTTGTAATTCGCACAAATGAAACAAAGCAAACAATAATACAATATTCAGGGAAAAATGATCCGCTGACTTACTTGCGTATTTTATGCCCGGCTTAGTCATTCTTGACACGTACCTCCTGGCCATTTTTAGCGACGGCATTAGAGCCTCACAAACCGATTTAGATAAAGAGGCTGTTTCCACAATCTAAGAAATGCAAACTTTATTCAAATTTTGATTTTATCTGGACATTACTTATTTTCAAGCATAAATCAGTCAATATACAAAAATATAGAACTGGCATCATTCGGGCTTGAAATTAATGCTCAATTTTCTACTTTACAAATTTAAAAAATAAAGGCGAAACATTATCCAGGTAATACCTATAACAGAAAATATCAAAAACTGCTTTAAGATAGGAAGCTGACATTTTCGCAATCCATAAGTTCCTTTTGTATCAGTTTAATTGTTTTTTCACTAAAAAGATCCGAAAATGTAGAACCATAAATATCTTCAAACAAGCGTGCATCCCATTTGATAGTATCATAATCTTCCATTAAATAGCTGGAAAGCGTAACACGTCAATAACTATTTCTCTTAATGCTAAACCATTTTTGATTGATTCCTTAAAAAGTATCAGATGCAAGATCGGAAAAATGTTAATGTATTAATCACTCCACCATAATTAATATTCCAAAAAAGAAACCTGTAAAGGTAGAATGAATTTTCACGAGGAAACAATGGAACAAAAGCACCCAAATGATCAAATTCCATTTTCCATTTTTCCAAGCTATTTCGGGAACGTTCTTTGCTATTTGTGTAAATTTTGGTGGGACTGAAGGAAGGTGAGAGACATCGAATTGACTTCTTCTGAAATTTTTCTGTGGAAATAAAAAATACTATTAAATCGTTCTTGATGAAAATAATTACTTTTATCTAAATTTGTGCAAGTGCTAATCTTATGATAACTTTGCAAGCGATAATCTTTTATAATAACTATAATTTGCTTCGCCATAATAGAAAACAAAATAAAAGAAAATAACCTTTAAACGCTGAGCAATGAACAATGCTGCATCCTTTGATATATACCTTTTCCTACTTGAAGTACAAAAAGTAGCTGAAAGAAACATCAAATTTCAAAGTATTTGTCTTTTTATGGGACTATCTGAGCCGTACAAAATCTGATATGACTCTGATTAAGGGCTCAATATCTCCAAATAATTTTATCTGTAAGGGGAAGTAGCGAAAAATATAAACATACCGCAAGAAACAGGAAATCGGCTTTCTGTATATTTCTGGGGAACAAGCGGTACAGCAGCAAGCGTAAGAACATTGCAAACTAAGGATGACTTCAGTTGCAAATCCAATGGAGTATCGCTATAAACAACAGGAGTTCAGCATTAGAAGAAACATTAAGAATACGCATGTGAAATATCCACACACTCTTTTTATACCCTTATTATTGATATTTCAATCGAATAATTCTCAGATGCATTTCTTTACAATTTATCACCTAATGAACTTCAATACTCAATCTTTATGCACATTTGGGTGCAAAGTTAAATTGTGTCGAGTTCAAAATCAGTTGGTATTACACTACTATTTAAAATATTGTGAGTGTTGACCGAATTCAAAACTACGTTACCCGTATTATTAAAATGTTAAGTTCATCACAGCGAAGAATAAAACATGAACAGAAGATAAGCTTACAAAATGGAGATCAAAGAAGTAGTAAAAATACTGCAAAACTAGCAATAACCAACCAACTTAAACTGGGTGATAGATTCACCTCTAAAAGCCATGGTTTAAGGTCAGTATCAATCAGTATGTCGAAGCCAAACAATTCAAAGCAACATCTGGAATGCGCAACAACGTTTTTACTAGCTGCCGCGATTTGTCCCTGTACAGAGAATAAAGCTTTCAGTACAACATCTTCTACACGTACCATCAGCACTGCAATAACCATTTCTATTACTACTTTTTGTCCTATTTAAATTTATGAAAGTAAATGATAATGATTAATAGAACAGATCCTTATCGGTCTTTAGAACTTCGCTTCAACAAGTATACTTTGTGAGACCATTGAGCACCAATATTTTATGTATCTTTCTCTATTCAGATAAAACTTGTTGAAATGTTTCCATTGATTCACGTTATAAATACTCATTCGACATAGTTCCTTAATCGCTTAATTATAGAAAAAAGAGAAACGTACAGTTTGTATCTATCCCGTTATTTTGCAATTTTCGAAGTAGAGCGCCTAATGTCCATTTGTGACCACAGTCCTCGGTATCAGCACTTTCATTTCTGAAGTGACTAATCCTTCAGTTCTGGTTTTCAAAAGTCATGATAAAGTTAAAAATATGAAATATTGTCGCCACATTTTTGATACTCACCTGATGAATTTCCCATTGTTTTTGTTAAGTGAATAGTTAGTTAGATGCGAAAAGTGCTGTTCATAGCTTTTTGCATTATTGGAGTATTTTTCCGAAGCAAACCGTGCAAGTCCTTCACTGTACATATAAGCAATCAATGGATAAAATGACGTCACCAATACATACAATCTGGAAAAAACTGAAACTACTAAAACTTTTCAACGATTTTGAATTCAAATTCATCTCTCAAATTTCTCTTCATTGTAAAATTACTCAATTCATTAGTCACTGTAAAACTACTGGTTCCAGTTTATCATCATTACAACTTTCGAAACTGCTATTATTTCATAAATTTACGAATTCCACGAAAATGTCTTCTGCAACTCGTAACTAGTTTACAGAAAATGATGATACAACTTTGGAATCATTAAAAAAAAACTATTTTTTACTTTAAAACCACGTTTTTGATTTGGCAGAATCTGAAACTTAAAATTCCAAAAGTAATCTGAAATGAAAATCTAATCTTTCAAAATTCCATATACATCTATAGAAAAGCCAAAGAGACAAAAAATACATGAAGACCTCGTAAAACGCTTATTAAAACCGGAGTTTAACTTTCGTGTATTATCAAATCCTTTTCCAATACAATTCGAAGCAAACAACTAATTGCGCTGCAGAAATTGCAATCGCAAAGTATTTCTTGAACTTTTAAACAAATCGCGAAAACGTTGTGCACAATGATTGGCAAGAGGAATGATCCACATCAGTGACATTCTAACCAGAAGTATATTAATAAACAACTTACTGAAAACTTTGTGGAGCCACTTGTGAATGGTAGCGTTCAGCATTCAGTAATGGAAACAGTGGAAGATACTGTTAACGCCTTATATTTTACACTAATAAAGATTGAAATTCCTAACGACAAACCTCAAATCAAACTTGTGGCCGTTAAGTAGATATGGATTTTCGATGTAACGTGAAACTAGCATTGGAGATCCAAGTGGTATGTCTCCAGGCTGAAAATATTATAAAAAAGGTATAAAAAATTATTTTCCAATTAGAAATATGTTTGAAAAGATGACTGACCTTTTAGTCTAACGAGCTCTTGCAGCCACTTCGACATGGCATTGTCCAGCCAATAAATTGAGGATTCAAATAATCAATAAATTTCTGACAATCCTTTGAGTTTATAAAAAAAAATGCACCGAGTAAGCAGAGATTCAAAGCGTAAAACTCACACTCTGGATAATAAAAATGCCATTGCCACGTGAAGAAGCAACCGGTTTTACAATGAAAGGTTTCAGACCGTGCGACTGTGCATTGAAATGATCAACAAATTTTTGATAATCTTTAGGGGTGACGAAAAATTCCGGAATCTTAAATAAAAACAAATAATTTAATGTGATCTGAGGATATAAAATATTAAAGTTTTAAGCTAAACATGAATTCTAGATGAAAGAAGGCAATTTAACAACAACTGATTCATTATCTTCCACGCCCTCAAAGATAATAAAATAACCATCAGAACTTCATTTGTAGGCTTTTTATACATTTATACGAGCAAAGCAATATGTTCAAACAAATGACTGAATGGTAAGAAAGAAAATAAATTAACGCACAATGTTGTAAGAACTTCCGAACAAGGTCTGAGCTCGTCCTAGGCACTCGTATAGCTTATCCTTTCTCGTCAACAAAAAGCTTCTCGGAAAGTGATTCACACGCTGCCTGCAAAAGGCAAAGCAGATGAAATATTTTAAACATTCATCAGATTTCTAAAAATAAATTTTTGTTCATAATGATCACAAATAAATCAATTAAACCACAACCCAAACCTCCTAAGCTAATATAACTCTAGAAATAACCAGGAGTGAACTCCTTTTTCGAAGCGAGAGTTATAAGATAGGATTTTTAAATGTCACACTTTTGCAAAATTACCTGCGAAATGTTGGTACTACCCAATTCTAACAATTATACTTAGGAAAAAACTGATAAATACACACACGCTGCGAGCCTTTAACAAATTAGCATTTCAAATAATAAAGTTACATTAGAAAGAACAGTAAACATGATAGAATCCTACTTTTTAACAGAAGTTTTTCTGCATTGTCCGCTTTTACAGGTACAAAAAGGAAAAACATTTTTGCCTCGGAATGCATATCACACGCAGTAAAATGTCAAAGTACTTTGACATCTCGACCTACATTTCTCGTCAAAACTGTTTAATATTCTAATAAAATGTATAATCAAAAGAAAACATAGGAATACAAATGCATGAATTTAAAGATAAATAATTTAACTAATATTGATTTTAAATTAAAATGACTCGTAGGGAGTATTTAAAACAATAATAAAAAATAAATATAATATTAAGATGTTATACCATGAAGCCATAGTACGCAAAACATGTGGTTTCAAATGTGAACCGGTCCAGATGATATTGCAATTTGAATTTTTTGAAGAGCACTGCAATTTATGATTACGAATCATTTCGTACGATATTTAACAATCAACCGAATGAACAAATTTTATGAGGCAAGGTAATGAGTTCTTAGTTTGAATTTCTCTTCCAAAAAATTAACCTGTTCAAATCCATAACTGTGCAATATAGTCTTTACCAGCGCTTGATTACATTTGATCATCTTGAAACGTAAATGATATTTTTCACCAATTCTTGCATATTTGTTGTAGTTTTTCAATTTCTTTCCACTTTTTCCAGCATATTTCAGTGCAGCCGACGTGAATTTCAATATCTGAGTACATATTAATTGAAATAAACATAGGAAAGTAGTGGAGTACAAAATATAATATCAAAGTAAGGAGAGATTTATGAATAACTCATAGTATAATGAGTTAAGGAAGGTTGGGATAGGTGAAAATAATTCCAAGAAATACTCGAATCAGCAGTCTAACTTTTAAAGTGTATTAGCAAGAGTGGAACTGAATAAAGTATGAGTAAGGAGTGAACAGAGAGAGAACCAAAGTATGAAATATAAGTGGTAGTTAGGAATGTAACGATAAGGTAAGATTATGTCACATTCGATGTTTTCCGAAACACACGAGTGTTTTTGAAAATTATGTTTAGGTGAAATTAATATCTTGTGTTCTAGAGAAATCAAATAAAGGCAAAACAACAACCTCTCCATTCGTGGTGCTGATCTCTTCCTGACAATCGTCGCCTTCACTCACCTCTGTCTCCTCCGTTTCGTCTGGCATCTTCGAGAGATCTGAAAGAGAATTCAAACAATATTTTCCTCATAGTATTATTTTATCCTTCATTATATCTGGCCAAAACATGAGTCAAAAAAATGACACAAATCAAACCCATGAAAGAACTGAATATTACGGAGGACGATAAACGAAATAGGTTCATCCATCACTAACGGCCTAAACAGATTTCAGATTGGAAAAATGTTAGTGCTTAAGTAGGAAGAGGTTGATTAGCTCTTTCAGGTTTTTAGGCCCTAAACTTATTTAAACACATTTTCATCCTTAGTGTATTGAAGAAATTTCTTGGAGCTGTGAAGAATTTCCAGATGGTGTGATGGATTGGTTGCTAGTATTTTTTAACTGATTTGACATTGTGGGTGGGTTATTTGGAATGGAATGTTTTTGATTAGAATCAGATATCGGTGATGCTATAAAACTGGCATGATAATTTATCTCTCAAAGAGAGATAAATTTACTTTTGCAGTAATTGTTTATAAAAGTTTAAGAACTATGAAGTTAAGATTTAATAAAATATTGATTGATTTCATCCATTCTAATCTTTTCCTTCATCTTCCTTAGCTAGTTTGTTATTTCAAATCACGTAGATTCATTATTTTAGCTGAGATGTTTATTTAAAATTCTTAAATGAAGTTCTCTGGTTTAAAGTTTATTTTTAGAGATAGAATAAGATGGGAATAATCGATAAGGTTTCAAGAATTTAGGAACTCGGGCGGTGGCGTAGTAAAGTATGTTGGTTACAGTACCTAGCAACCGTTTTTATATCTATATAAACATAATGTTAATAAATATTATTGTAATATAATAAATATTACTGTGAATGAATAATAAATATTAAATGTCTTCGTTTCATTTATATTTTTATGCATGTTATTTGATAAGTTTAAAACTGCTGTGTGTTCGTCCAGCTTGAAATGCATCTCAATCTTTATTTAAAAGCTTTCAACTGATGCGAGAAAATTATGCTTAATGTTAACATTGAATATAATCACTACCGAGAGACGTTCTCGCGTAAGCGCTTAAACTTTCGTTTTAGCTGTTTTAATAAGCACAGACATTGCTCTTTTCGGACAGGGGCAGTACGTTGCATCCTTTCCTGGAATACCTGGTGGCCCTGGAATTCCTGGTGGTCCACGCGAACCTGGTGCACCGTTACTTCCGGGCTGCAATTTTCGCAGATTTTATAAATCAAAAAATATAAGAAGTTTAATAAACGAAAGAAAGTGTTAAGTTGTGAACAGATTACATTCATTGCTTTTGATATTTAAATTAGCTTACATCTCCCCGATGTCCTTCGTAACCACGTTGTCCTGGTTGTCCTGGATTACCGGGAAGTCCTGGTTGACCTTTCGGTCCGACTTGTCCAGCTGGACCTGGTGGTCCGCGAGGTCCTTTACGTCCAACCACTCCATCATTTCCTGGTGGACCTGGCTGACCTGGCTTGCCATCATGTCCTGGTCGGCCTCAAATACAAGTAATGGAGACATTTTTATTATTACATAAGCAATATTTGTATCGCAGTCGCCAAAGATGTTTAAAAAAAGTAAGCAATGTTACGGAACATTAATTTATTATATTTACCTGCAAGTCCAGGAGCTCCTTGTGGTCCGCTGCTGCCCGGACGGCCATCTTGTCCCTGATTGCCTGCTGGTCCTTTATTACCGGGTGGTCCCATTGGTCCTCGTAGACCTGGTTGTCCAACTGGCCCGGGCGGACACTCTTTGCAACCGACCGCAGGCTGAAAAATCGTTGGTGGTACAATTCCCGGTAAACCTGGTTCTCCTGAAATGCAAGTGACATCACAAAGCATAAAGATGATTTTTTGATTAAAAGATGATTTTTTGATTACTTTTTGATGACGGAAATACAGACTTCTATTTATACCCTTTTGACAATTCAGTTTTTGTGCGATCCAAGTTCAAAGCGTTTGGTATTTTGAAAAAGTTTGAATGTCAGGAGGTAATAGAAATCCGTTAAATGATTTGTAAGTTAGACCTCGTTGGCCAGGATGTCCTGGAACGCCAGGTGCTCCCGGGGATCCGGGTCTTCCAGGTGGTCCTAGTGGACATCGGTTACCAGTATCACAGTTGCAAATTGGTGTTAATTGACGTTCTTTGCGGCTGTGTGGCACGCTATCAAAAGTAATTGTCATTTCACTCCATACTTCTTGCTCCAATACCTGCAATTAATCATATGTGAATCATAGTAGTTATTTCGGAAGCAGATTGAAAGGAAATGACCATAGAAAATGAATTTTTTTGCGATTCTAAAAATTTGCGACTTTCATTGAATGAAACTAACAATTCTTACTTGAATTTTTTTTAGTGGTACAAGTAATTAATTATCAATGATAACATACGCGAAAGAGATCCATTTGAACAGCCAGTGTACCACGGATATCTTTCATACGTCTCATCAGATAAGGAATGTAAAAGAAACATGTTGCAATTCCAATCACCGACACACAACTTGACAAGCGTGCTGCTACCTTCGACATTTTCTGAGCTGTAATCTTTAAAGTTATCGGATAAAACCTTCCTAAATACCCAAGGTGTAATAGCATGCAAACCAAAATGATTTTTTTTCAGTATATAGACAGTATTTTTGTGTCTGTTAGAAACCGGTCGATCATAGAAGCGGAACGTACATCATGTCATCCGTTTGCATATTGAATACACAAGTTAATCAGAAAAGTATAGTAAAACTAGGCGTCGATTTTGATTCACTTCATTTTTCATCTTATAAATTCTGTTTTTTTTAATTATTTAATATCTTTAGAGAGGCGGTTGAAATTAAATGGACAGGCTGATTACTGTTATGATTGTCCAACTTACAAGAAAACTTTACAATAACATTTTATGGAACGCTAGTGTTATAATTTCAAATTACAGCAGATATGGGCTTTTACTCTTTTTAATGCATTTCACGGTCATTCCAGCTCACTTATTTCAGAATCTGATTGCTTACTGTTTTCCAATGCAAAAAAACTATTTGAAATAATGCTTATTATCACTGAAATATAGAAGCATCACTATTAATACCCAAAATTAGAGGATCAATCCGATAATTAATGCATAGCAGAATATGTTGCATTCCAGGTCTCTAAAAAATACTTATCCTGAGGACATCTCTCTTTATAACTCAACAGTTAGTATGGCCAGTAAATAACGATTCATCGATAAAGTTACTAAATTAGTTCGTATGCTTTCAAAACATCCCGTTCCAGCGAATTCAGAAACAACAAAGATAAGCATAGCAAAACTTTCTGAAATCTCCCTTGATAAGAGTGATCACAACTCCTGAAACCAATCTTCTTTTTCCTCTTCAATCTCACCTTTTCAATGCGCACAAAAACAAGTGGAATCTATTTGAAAAATGCACCATTTTTAAAAAGAACTTTATTCTATCAAAATGCAACAATATATGCTTGAAGAGAATGCAATGAGTTTTAAGCTTTAATGTTGAATTAATAAATTCTGACAAAACGATGATAAGGCTGAAATGAAAGAAAATGATAGTCCTGTTTAGGATAGAATAATGATTATTTATTCATAAAATATTGAAGACTGTTGAAGTTAGTTATCAATTCTGGCTTCCAATACTCTATTAACTGCGAACAGTTAATAATATATTATTCATAGTAAAAGACGGGATTGTTGAATTCGAAGAAATAGATTTACTGAGTGTAATATATTTTACAGAACTTATGAAAAATTGCTTCAGAAACTCAGAAACGAGTTCCAATTAGCTGAGAATCGATCACACTTTTTCTTGAACAATGAAACAAACAGATACATAACGATGATGAACTCGCAAAAAACGATATGAAATGGCAGAGACATCAAAATCAAACTGAAAAACCATTACGCCGCATCTCATCTTGTCGTACATTGGCTTTTAAAACTGCCTGAAAAAATTTTTTGAAATTTTTTCTATTTCACTTTCGCTTTGTAATATGTACTAGTAGCGCTTTATCACGGATGAAGGGCTTAATTTGAAACGTATTGAATATTCAGTAAAGTGATCACTACATAAAACCTATAAGCAGCTCAAAAATAAAAACATTTGCCTTTGGAAAAAAAACTGGGACCTTTGTGCTTTCTTCATCAATCTGTGTATACTCAGTAGCACAGGAAATTTTTGGCCGCTGCGAAGATTTAATAAAAGACTGTGATTGCGCTAATGGCTCCCTCATAGGGTCAAGATAATCCAGCGCGCCATTCCTCCTTCTCATTGATTCATTATCGTACAAAGCTTCTTGACCAATTGGAATCTTAAAAAAACTATTTATCTGTTATTTTTTTTGTCAATCACCAATCAAAAACATGCCTTTTTGGTTCCTGCTCGGCACTATATTGCACGAACGAGCTGAAGAGAAAGTTATCAAGAAGAATTTTCACTTCTTACTTGTTTATTCCGTAATACTACAGCATGCAAAGACTGTTGATGTGAAGAAATAGTTGGTAATAATCGTGACGACGCCGCAAATATCTCTTTTTTCCTGAACCGACAAACATATTTTTTACCGTCGAAATTACACTGCATCATATCACCTTAGAGTTCTAATAAAAACCATCAAACATCTTATCAAAAATTTTGATACCGCGCAAAAATTAATAAATTTCAACTTTCTACTCCTCATAAACGACTCATTGTCTTCTTACTTTTTCAGGTGATTTTGAGACGTTGCTCGAAATCAAAAAAATCGTATTTTCACTGATCAACAACTCGTATCAAATAAGATCATCTAAAATACTTAAAGTTGAAACGATCTTATGGTACTAAAATTCCCACAACAACAGAAACAAAATACTTATTTTACCAGTTATCAGTACCGGATCTTTCCTGATTAGTATTTACAGCGATATATCTGATTCCAATCGGCTTACAAGATCGGTCTACCTATAATTATTCAGAGTCTTATAAAATATAAGTTAACATAATGTTTAAAAGATTTAGATAAACAACTGAAAAATGAGCCAAAAAAATTGTCATTTATCGATGTCTTGAACATGAAGTGAACGACTTTACCTCAGGAGGAACGTTATGAAAGTTATGACGACGTGGAAGTGGCTTAGGAGCAGTTGAATTAGAAACGGAAGATATTAATGAAGAATCAAATGATAGAAAAGTCTCCTCTGCATCGATCGAGCCAACTGTACTTCTAAAAAAGGAAGTGAGAAATAATAATTAGAAATCTTAAGAAATCTTGAATGTAATGAAGAAATAACATACGGACGAACTGTTTCGTTACTCCACTCTTCCTCTTTTATGCTGAGAATCTCGTGACCATCAGCAGGAGTGAGTGGTTGATCCAAAACACATCTACCTAAAAACATAACCATAACTTACCAAAAACCCTGCAATCTCGTGTCAAGCACTCTAATTTGAGCTCCTCACCGAATTTTCAAATCTGCACATGTTTTTTAATCACTTTGCTCTAGCCTTTGTTTATATATGCATCTTCCGAACATCTTAACATCCCATAAGAAAAAATGGGGTGAGTGAAACAGCATATGTAATACCTGATTCGAAAACTTGTTTTCCGCCTTTCAGCATACGTGAACTATGGCTTGGCTTGGGTGGTCTGAAGTTATACTTTAACCATAACCGCGTTTTTTAAGTATGACATATAATCAAATTATGAGAAATATACAACAGAAAATTTTCACGTAGCCATAAAATTAAACTGACATGGGAGGAGGAATCAAAAACGAATTCTTGAATGGAAAATTTTCAGATAAGGTAGATGAACTCGCGATGCTTGAGCTTAAAGATGCTGAACTACTTCCTGCAAATAAAATTTAATATTTGAGAACAAAACTATTTTCTTGAATAGTCAAGAATGATCCTAAAATTTTGTTGTAGTAAACAAAATAGAAAAGTTGAAATCGCAAGATACTCATCTAATGAAGGCGTTGAAGAGCAGTCTTTTAAACGTATATAAGCATGAGTGGTCACGGAATCTATACAGTTGGTATTATTAGTGATAACATTTGACATTATGGGCGATTCTACCTGAAAAATTTGTATAGGCATAAGACTACAACGTTAAAAGTGCAATTTATCAGGAAAGCAAATAAAATTCATCAAGAAAATGAAATATAGAGGAGCAAAACAAGTAGAAAATATAACATCAAAAAGAGTAGTAATATTTTATGATGCAGCATGGCTTTGATGACTTTATTCATATCAATATTCGACAGCCTTTGACAGACTACTCTAAGGACAATATATTTCGTTTCATAATTGTTTTCATCACTGAAGAATTATTCCAAATAAAAAACAAAAATGACCAGATACCTTCATAAAGACATGAAAAACATACCGCAGAACTATCAGTGAAGCAATGATTATTCATACAATCTGTAATAAACGGGAATTTATTTGCGCTTTTATCTACAACGTTTCCTCTAAGCACTAAACTGCGTACCTGGGAAATACCAATTTTCACGTGTAGATTATATTTAAATCCATTAGCAATTCTTTCAGCATAACTTACCTTAGTCTTATGCTTGTAAAAAGCCCTCCCATTCAACGATTGGAATTTAACAAACGAAGAGCAGATTCATATTAAAATAAAGTAGAATTATGTACAAACTTACTTTAATTACTGATAGACTCTCAACCGTATGAAAAATCAGAACTATAATTGAATTAAATATGTAACAAAGTGATACCACAGAAGCTGAAAAACAACTTTTTATAAAAACGAAAAAAAATTCGACAATACCTGGGACCAACTGACGTTCACCAACATCTTGCTTTTGGAGTTTACAAGCATAGCTTAATTTCATGATCCACATATTCATCTCCTAAATTATGCTGAAGCTGAATATCGAAATCAAGAGAATCATATTTTTTTAAGCAACATAACCTTGGAATAAAACATAAAATATATAGCACTTGTTTATCAGGAAATGAAGGACGGCCAACTTACTGTTTCGCTGTGAGCAGCTAAGTACAGAACCTTCAATCTTCCACTATGCCTTGCTTTGTAATGAATTGCGAGAACCCAATTCTGGTTACCAACTTTTAAGGAAATATTCGTGTCAATCTGGAAACCATTTATGAATAGCATAAATATTACCCCAGAAACATTTAATGCATTGAATTCCTTCGAAGTGACGCAACTATTTCAAATTCTATCAATTGATCGAGATTTTTCTTCAAAACAGACACACAAGAAAATTACCATCAAACTCTTCTATTTAACGTAATCTGCAATCCCAATACTGGTTTCTTAATAATAACTACTGTTTTGTATAGTTTGAAATGTGCCTTAATGATTAGTTGAGTCAAATGTTATCTCTGTGAGTCTTCTCTTTCATTCCAAATGATAGGTAAGACAGAGTGGAAGATAAAATATTCACGTATAACTCCTTTTGCAATAAATATATTACACGCTTCATACCATACTTATCTATAATTGGTCCAAAAGCAATCAATAACACACAATTCAGTTTTTTATCCTGGAAAAAAATATTATTGCAATAAATGCAAAGATAATTTCATTCAGCAGAAAATTTAGGAAAAAAAAAACCTGCAGAACACATCGCAAATCCAATGACTTATGAACTTTTGAGAAAGGCGTACAGTTTTCATGTTGTTCCAATAAAAACGCTTCATTATCAGAAATGTCCGCATGTCGGAGCACATAATAACGAAGCACCCATGTTGTCTAGAGAAAAACAAAAATTTGATACGACATCAATGAAACCAATTTTTTAACTACCACAACAGCTGAAATATCCTTAATACATGTCCTAAACAAGAAATCAAAGAGTAATTCGAATTTTGATTAATTCCACAAAATAAATTAAAGTGCAAATAGCTTATAATTATACCGCAAATAAATAACTATATTTATAACAAATAACTTATAATTATGAAATGCAAATAACTTGTAACTATACAAACAACTAGACTTATAGAATTGCTCTACAACATTGATAAAATACTACCTCATCAGATGGTAAATGATTCCTATAGAATACATGAATACTTTCAAATGTAGAAAAACAACAGAGTCTCCTATAAATCATAGGTTCATAGCACATCATGCAACTAAATTTGTTTAACCTACGGAAAATTTTTTGCCAGAAAAAATCCACGGAAATTCTCGTTCTTTTAATTTTTCAAGTGTTCCTTCCATCAGAATAAGCGGCGACGAATTCTTCCTCATTTCTGCCATACTCATTGTTCTCCTCTTTCTCGTTTAGTCATCTCCTCGTTCACAACCACTACATTGTCTATCGGAAACAAACTCCACTGGAAGTTTCATCTAGAAAAAAGTCAATTTTTTTAAAATTCCCTAAATTTGAGTAAGGCACAAATTCAATCATCTTTCCTTTCTTCTTTCTTCAACACTTCAACATAGTAATAATATCATATCTCTCTGTGATGGAACATGAATGAATTAAGAAACAATTAATTTATGTAGGAATAATAATTACTCTAATTTTATTCGTTTTCAGACAATTCTGCCCTTACATCTCCCCCTCCCCCCGAAAGGACCTGACATTTACCTTTCTCCGCACTATCACCAATCCTGCCTAACCCCCTGAATATAGCGCTGCACCGTAATTATAGAGCGCTTCAGATTCGTTTAGGAGAGTTGGCGCATGGATTCAAATTGAAGTGAGGGGCAGGTGGATGGAAGAAGGATGGCGTTGTGTGTCAGTTGGTTGCACGAGATTGACATACGTGAGCTTTCATGCATGGAAGTCCTAACTCAATGCACCTGTTCCTCGAACTCTGTTTCACACGTCCTTTGGTACCAACCTGTACGCAGTGAATGATCACTGGCCATTCTTGTAAAGTGTCCAAGATTGCACATCAACGTAACTCTCATTCTTTCCGATAGATCTGTGGCCCAATAATTCTTTTTGTTTCCGTTAAAAATAATCTGTAAATTTTCTAGGACTAAGTATTGCTTTTATATTGTTTTCTAAGTATTGCTTCAAAGAATATTGGAGGGAATATCATAGTGGGGATTGACAGTGAAGGGTTGACAGTTTCTTGGAAAGCATTTCAAATTTTTATCTATTTGGGTCAAGACGATAGATGGGTAATATATGAAGGGAAATAGACGTAATTCTATGCCTACTACTGAGGCTTAGTGCCATATAAATCAGAAGAAAAAATCATAAAACAAAATTTAATTCCTAACAAGTTAGACAAAATTATCGGTGGGTTCCATGGTAAACAAGTAGATTATTCCGATTACGACTTTATTAGATATGGATTAAAGTAAAGAATGAAAAAACAGTAGGATCATCTGTAAATTACCTCATGTACAGTGATAAAAAATGTGTGTCTATTTCTGTCAACAGAAAAACGGAATACAGAAGGGATGTTACTGTAGTTTTGAGATCTTTATCGTTTCACTGAATTTGTTCATCTATGCAGAGGTAATAGGTTTAAACAGAGGTTCCCTTTATGTATTCTTTTCAATAATATTTGACCTTTGGATTGTCTTTTTGGTCAGGAAATAAATTTGAATAATTAACCATTCTTCTATACATGGGTTTATTTTTATATTCGTTTATCACTTTGATTAATTCATTTTATTATTAGCTGAAATAAATTTTAAGTTTTCATTCTTTGCCGTTAATTGCAGAGTTTTCCAGTTGAGGCCTTTCAGAGTTTGTAGAACTTTATTGTGTCCGTTTGCAGTTGTGAAAATAAAATATCTCCTCCGCAGGCATTTCATCTCTCATTGAAGTAAGTTTCAGGTTTGTACAACTTAGCTAGATATTTGAATCTTGCGATACATAAATATACTATAGCTGATCAAACTTTTTTCACAACTGGCCTTGTCACACAATTTTAAGGTGTATTTCGCCCGCTAGTTTCTCCTCCCTTTAATTCCTTCAGTCTCGTTTTTTGGTCCTGACAAAAATAGTTGAAACTGCAAAATTCTTCGATCAAGAAAGGTTATGTTGTAAGAAAATTAGTCCATTTGGCTTTTTTCATCGATGCAAATAGGATTTGAATGTTATGAGGATGTTGATAAAAGATTTATGTAGAGAAACAACGAGCCATCATTATAAGAAAAGATCGGCAATGGTTAGCGTGTTTGCTAATTGCATGTTGGACTGCCAAGTTCTATTAACAAATGGGCTTTTGAGTTTGTTAAGCAGTTAAGAAATGAATCTAGCATAGGAGAGGAGAAGGAAGAGCCTGAAATATCTGTGCATCAGTATGTGACATGTGTACATTTGGAGGACATCAGAACACTATGGTATGCTTGATCCGACGATATCTCCATCTTTATTTATCTATGTTGACAGATGCCAATCATTATAATTGTAGATGTGAAAGCTGTGAAAATGAATGGCTGATTCTGCTTGCTATTAATTCAAAATATATGCAGCATCTGGCGGACGACAATTGATTTTTGTCTCATTCTCTTCAAGTAGAGTTTATTTCTTCTTTCTTTCATCTCCACCTATTTTCCTCAAAGAGAGAATGGATAAAGTCGACTACAGAGAGGTAATAGACATTTGCTACGTACATATTTCTCTCTCTGTAGGTGAAAGAGAGGGAATTGTTAGAAAGAAAATAAGGATGAATGAGGCTTTTAAGGCCGGACATATAGTATAGGTAAGCGTTAAGGTAACAGGAAAGCCCTCTTCTCACAATGCGCCATTCCATCTTTGCGTTTGAGCAAAACCGTTCTTCCATGTTTTTCAAGGAAAAATGGACGATCCCCTTCTTGGAACTAACCCTACACTTATATTGCCTCATTCCTCCTTATCTATCTCCTACTCTTTCTTACACGTCGCTTTGGATTTGGTGCTCTCAGTAGTGCACATGCAGTTTCAGATCTCTGCTAAACTTCGACCTCACAGTATAGCTAGCCACTTCTATTTTTCTTGCTTTCTTGTCAGTAACCAGCCATGTGTCTCTAAGTTTAGAAACCTTTTAATTCATCTATCGAGCCCATCTTCGACAGTTGCTCTTCATGCTACATTCACTCTTTAAAACCTTATGAATTCATTAGACATTTTTTCTACTCCAAACAATTCGGTTCTGGTCTGTTCTTTATTTTCCGAATCTAAGTCCACGTTTTAATCCCATCCTGTTTCCTGTTTTATCCGGAGGTTATACAGAGCCATATATCCCCATTATTGCAGATATTGGTCTATGCTTCGGTTCACGGAGTTACAGAGCATGTTTACTTGTGGTATGTTCTGGCTCCTTTTTACATCTTTGCGCTATCAATCCATTTAAACTTTATTTATATCTACAAAGGCCATTCTACTCATCAGCAGTTTTCTGAATTGAGTTGCTAGTCAGATCAACTAATTAGTAAATGGAATGAAGTAATGATCGGGATGTTCAGGAATGACTATCCTGGGAGTTGAGTCGGAATACATGCTCTTGACATGTTAAGTTCAATTTGAGAGTGAAAAAATATTCAAGAAATTAATCTTTTTTGAAATTTAATCGCTGATGAACACTGCGTGTGGGAATATGTTCATATATCCATCTGCGTAATTCTATACAGCTGTTAAAATAGTGTAATGTTGAGTGGATACTGCTTTTTTTCGTAATTGATCATTTGCACTTTCATCGTAAATGAAAATCATTTGCACTTTCATCGTAGATGTGTACCTCTATTAAATGCATTAAATAATGCATCGCAATGTTATTTAAAGCTGCTCAGAAATTTCATGCTTATATTAGCTTGTCTTCCTTTCTCAGGGCTTTTGGTGATTGCCAATAAGGCTCTCTTAAATGTTTTTACGTCATTTGGTATGCAAACTGGACTGTTCCTTTCCCTAAACTACGCGTTTTTCATTTTTTCATTTTGCGCAAATTAGAAAAGCTGTCGTGTTGTAGTTCGAATCACTGATAAATAATAGTGATTTGAAGAATTCGTTTAAATCTCCGAATGCAATTGCCGTTCAGATTATTTTCAATTACTGATAGAATATTATATTTCATCTCTTTCTGATTTGCGAATTTAGTAACATAATCGTATCATTCCCTATAATTTATGGTTCGTCTTGTTCGTTTTTGACACATTTATCATTAGGAAGTAGCAGTTATGCTGTTATCTGGTTAATATAATATAATATATAATATCTTCTGGTTAATATAATATCTTCTGGTTAATATAATATCTTCTGTTAATGAATTATCATCAGGTACGGGGTTGATTCGTTGAAGAGGTATTGTAGTGTCTACGTGCTTTCAATATCATAAACTTTTTCAGTAATTTGTCAGTTCTTTCCTTCGATTAAAGTCCTTCTTTTGTCGGAAAATATTACTTTAAAAAATTACATACGTTCATGTATCTTAAAATAATTTGATTGCATTATGATATTTAATTTAGAAAGCCATTGGGTGATGTGAGAGAGGTGTGTGAGGCCTTTCTCGAGGATGGCCAAAGAGTACCAGTTCAGTTGGAAGCCCAACATTCCTGATGCTCTTCTAAAGGGTTATGAATTCGATAAATATGATGATGTGGGTTAAATTTATTTTTTTATTCCTTCATTTTTCAAAAATTTCAAGTTTTACGAAAGCTCCATACTTTTGATACTTAATAAATAAGTGGAGATAATAAACGGAATAAGCGGAGATTTTTGAATATATTCGTATTTTTTTGTTGCAAAATTCACGACAAATTCGTCATACGCCTTAGTTGGTGATTACTATGTATCTCTACTTAGATGCGTGATTAAAAGAAAAGTTGCAGGAAAGTATTTGTCTAGAATGTCGTACATTTCTTCGTGTAGATGAATATGGATTTTTTTTATATTGGACGTCAGAAGAAAGGAAAGACACATCGGTGCTCGATCTTATTCTGGTTAATTATTTGTAATTTGCATATTTGCAGTATTTAGTACAGTTTCATTCCAGCTCAAAAATTCTATTCATTATTTTGCCAATCGAACGAAAGTCTTAAGCGTTTTTTGTTTTATCTTTCCTAAATTCTTCCTTTCGTATTATTACTCTTGAAATATTTTCTTGGAAAATTGTATGCATTACAGGTCTGGGAAACAAGACGTGGTGTATTACCAAAAGATGGACGGATAATGTTTGAATTGGAACAGCATGGACCCCGCGAAACCATTGAAGACAGAACAGTTTGGCTTACATATGGTCCTGACCTAGTCAGTGTTAGCAATTATTATTTGGTCGCAGAAGATATTGAAATTGCCAAAGTGAATAATTTCTGTTCTTTTTCGTAATTTTGTTATATTCTAAGCTTAATAAATGCAATCTATTAGGATATTTTTTTTCCAACATTTTCAGTTATTGTATTTAAAATACATTCAGGAAGCAAAGAATATACAAGAGTTATGTACAAGCATTTTCAATTTCTTTTAGATTTGGCGAAATGGCATAAATGAAATTTTAAGAACAAATAAAATGCGTCATATTTCTTATACAACAAGTCTGATGAAGAAGTTTGTTTCAGTTTTTTCGATCACTTAAGTTCATGATTAATTTTTCACTTTCAGTTCACATCTTTTTTCAAAGCTTTTTCAAATTTCAACATTTTGTTTCAAAATGCGGGACTTTCAGTTGGCGATATTTGTGTATCTGTTTGAATGAACATCAAAAAATTCCAATAAAAAATATTGTCAAAATTTTTTCCGGTGGTAAAACAGATCGAATAGTACAGAAGTGTCTCAGTGATCTCGGACTTTCGGGCAATAAAGTATGTATTTTACTGAGCTTTATAAAATAAGATTTACTTTAAACAGATAATTTTTCTAAGAGCTCGTAATATTTCTGCTCCATTATATAGTATTTTACTTATTTGTATACCTGCCAGTTCAAGCAGCTTCATCGTTTATTTGTGTTTTGTTTTTTAGGAGCATGATGAACTTGATGTAGAATTATTTACTTTCGACAAATATTTGCGTTTGTATTATAAAATTTGTCCACGAAGTGATGTGCAAGAATTATTCGTAAAATTGTAAGTAGCAATCAATGCTAAGCTGTTGGGGAATCGCTGAAACTTTTCTTTTCAGTTTTAGAAAGCTTTAATTGTAATTAATTCAACTGAACATAAACGGGGAATTAAAATGTTTATTGTTGTTATAAATTTTTTCATACATAAGCATTCAGTTAATAGCATTATTGATAAAATTAGTCCATTTTACAAGCTAATTTTTATCTCTAAAGCTGATCAGTGGCATAACGCTTGATCAGTTATTTTGCAGAAGTGGTCAGAAAGAATATCTTACCAAAGATCGCTTGATAAATTTTTTAAATGAAGAACAGAGGGATCCTCGGCTGAACGAAATACTGTTCCCATTTTTTGATGACAAGAGAGTGCTGAATTTAATATCGAAATATGAAACAGATGAAAATTATATAAACAATGGTATTTTTGATTAATTTATCATGATTTTTTATTTGGACTCGAATTTTATTTCATACAAGTAAAATTTTTTCCTTAAATGGCATAAAAATGTTGGAAATTCAGTTATCTGTAATTTTTTTCAGGAAAAATGTCTGGCGATGCTTTCTTGCGGTTTTTGATGTCTGATGAGAATGCACCAATATTTTTGGATCGAGTAGAGCTTTATCAAGATATGGATCAACCTCTTTGCCATTATTATATTAATAGGTATAAATAAATTTGATATTTCCCATGAAATTGTTAGATTAAAAACAACGAGTATTCGTATAATGTTTTTTAAATCATCATCCTTGCACTGCGGTATGAAAGTACTGAATTGTTAACTGCAGCAGATTGTTCCTTGTTGTTGTCATAAGATGTGCAATCGAAATTCGTTGAAAAACTTAGTAGTAGAAACGTTTTTCAGCTCACACAACACATATCTTACTGGAAGACAATATGGAGGAAAAAGTTCAACAGAAATTTACCGTCAGGTTTTATTATCGGGGTGTAGGTAATCATCATTTCTAAAATTCGGCAGATCTGAACAGTATTTATGAGCAATAAATAACTCCAGCTGGATAAATCAGTGGTATAAAATGTCTTTCTTTATTGCTTTGTGCCATTGCAGATGTATTGAATTAGATTGTTGGGATGGTACCGGGGAAAATAAAGGTGAACCGATTATCACTCACGGTAAAGCAATGTGCACAGATGTTTTTTTCAAGGTAGACTACTGATTTTGCCATCTTCACATCTCAATTTTATTAACATGTATTGTTGGACAGTTTATAGATGACTTTCTGAGCTTTTTCATATTTTTTCTTTTTCTTGAAAAAAATTATTTAAATCATGGAAATTTTCATGAAAGCATGATTTTGAATTTTTTCATTTTGTATATTCATAACTTCTTTAGGATGTACTCTATCAAATTCGAGACACTGCTTTTGCTAGGTCCGATTTTCCGGTGATTTTATCATTCGAAAATCATTGCTGTAGATCAAATCAACTCAAAATGGCGAAATACTGCATGGAAATATTTGGTGATATGTTATTGTCAAAGCCTCTGGAAGATAATCCGCTTGAACCAGGTGTACAACTTCCGTCACCCAATCGTTTGAAACGTAAAATACTGATTAAAAATAAGCGGTTAAAAGCGGATATTGAAAAATTACAAATGGAACAATTTCTTCGTGAGGGTAAATTAGATGAAGAAGATGAGCTGGTCGAAAATCCAAGAGCTATTGTTGGCGAGGAAATTTCAACACTTTGTAAGCATAATTTTTGCTGGTTGACGTGATGCCGGATATTATATATTATTATAATGAGTTATTATAATAATTGATACTATGATAACTTTTGAATTGTAATATTATAATTAGAATACTGCATCTTTTCTGGCGCTTTTTCACATGTTACAAAGTGCCAGGTCGTTCGCTGCTGAGCATTTCGTTAACTAGGCGAATGCAGAAATATAGCAGTTGGGAAGTCCGAAGTTTGATTACTTTAAAATATCGAGCGTTCTTGATAATTTCAGCAGTCACATTCTCAGGGTTCAAATAATGAGTTATTATAATAAGACATTTTAATGATAAATAGGATCAAATTGAATTGTTTGTTGACGATAAGTTCAAAATCTAAGTATTAGGCTGTTGTTATTTGTTATAATGTTATTTGCGAATTGTTTTTGCTTTCTCATTTTAGCAGATTTTGAATTCATTTTTCATGCTGTGATGATAAAGGGACTGAAATAATTGTATATTTTGCTTGAAGAAATAATATGTTTGCAGCACTTGATGACCAGAGAGCCCATTCGGAGGTAGAAGTTTGTGATACACAGTCAACATCGACATTAGACGCAAGTATAATTTTGTTTCCTCTTAGAAAATAAAAGAAATGAACTTTAATGCTTTGATGAATACGAAGTGCGATAAGATTTTAAAAAGTTTGGTACTTCAACAAGAAACTGTCTCGTAAGCTGTTAAATTGAGAATCTTTGTGTTGATGATTAAAGTCAATCATTCATTTTACTTTGAACAAATATTTTTGTCCAAAATATAAAAATGATTTTTCTGCTCCATAAAAATTATTTCAGATGATGGTATGCCATTGAGAGACTTGGACGAAGCATATCCTGAATTGAAGCAAACAAATTTCATATCAAAATTGAAGCCTCTTGTTACCAAGAAACCTCAGGCATTATTTACATTCAATTCTTAACGATTTATTTCTTGCTAAGTTTCAGGTTTTATTTTGGATTAGATTAAAACGAAAAGATTTTCCCACATTTTATTTGCCAATTTCCAAGTTGTACAACAAAAAATAAGGAAGGAACCTAAAATTTTGGATTTTGTATGTTGTTGAAGAGTTTTGAAATGTCAGTTTGATTAATGAGTTTGCAGTAAAAGTAATTCTGCTATTTTTTTTTGGTTGGCTTAATGACATTTTAATTTTCGAATCAGTCTGAGATGTGTTTTCTAATGCTTTTAGAACCGATTACTCGCTTCGGATTTGCGTTTTGCAAAGAATTATTTAATGCCATTTTCTTATTGCTATACAGCACTTTTGAGTCATTTTCTTGAGAAGTATATGAATTTGAAGGCAGTCGTTTCACTGCATCTATAAAAAAAACTTTTATGGTATTACAAACTAGACCAGGACATATCTAACTTGTCATCTTTCATTAAAATTTTTTGTTAAGAGCTGTCTTTGATTAAATTTGTTGACCAAACACAATAATTTGAGCTTTTTTCTTTTCTGACGAGTAGTTGTTTTTGTATTTTGTAACCCATTGTTCTAACAATTGTTACAATTATTCTGTATGTGCAGTCTGGAAGTGAATCAACGCCACACATCACTAGGAATGTGGCATTACCCATATTTCCATCATCATCATCATTCCGCAGCAAACGATCGTTTCGGCGAACTTCACGCGTTCCTGAATGTGAAGGTAATGGCGGGAGTTTGAGTGCTGCATTACTGGATCCACAGTCACAACGTCACTTATCAACAAGGCAGAAAAACAAAAAGGCAATTTATATTAGGAATTAACGTAGGTTCAAGTAAAAATAGAACAATGTAAGATATTGGTGTAAACTTCGTTAGCTTGAGCAGTTGACATCGACACCAACTTTACCAAGGCTGTTATTCCAGATTAATCTGTAGTTTGCATGAGTTTTGATTTAATACCATCAGGGTAATACTTTTATCTTTTGATCACCTTATTTACATCTATTGTCTTTAATATTTCTTCACTGTCCATGCAAATGCAATTTTTTGAACGATCGTTACGACGAGCAAGGAAATTTGTTAAGAAACAAAAACGGATGGAGTTGATGACCGTCAATTCCTGATACCTCCGTATCCATAACATTTTATATCTGCGGAATTGTCTTCGAGGAGTTTTGCCCAAGCACAAGCATGCAATATTTGTTAAACGATTGAAACAATTCGCATTTATGAGCTGTTTCCGCTATTGTAGTGTTGTTTTTGTCTAGTTGACAGTAACTTGCTCTGTTCTTTTTGATTTTGCCTTATGCGCTTATCCGCTGCTACCTCATCTTAAATCTGATAGTTACTGGCTTAACACTGCTGCTGTTCTGAGAACATAGATCTCCGCAGCAAGCAGTTCAAATGTGCTTGGATTCCATCCATCTCTTCACATGAAATATAATAGTTTTGTGCTTAATAATTGGTATTTAACAAAAGATAGTTTTCCTTTTCAAATTCACAGAAGTATCCATTTCATTCCGAAATAGGTAGGATCATGCCATTATTTTAATAGCCTAAGTTGTACTATATGCTAATTGGTTGGGAAGATATTTTGCACTCATGATTTAAACACTGATCATAATGAAGAGTGTGAAATCTCTTAATGAAGGATACTTGATCTGAATAATATTTCTAATAATTTGATTAGGACGATCTAGTTTACATTAATGTGTCATGTATCAGCTTCAGTGCTTCCTCCGTACTTAGGAAAATATATCATGAAATGACTTACTATTTTAAATTCTTTCAGTTAATAGGAAAAAGAATAGGAAACGGGTAGATTGAAGTAAAAAATATATAAATGCAATATTTTTATACTCTTTCAGTCATTTTCTCGCTCATTTGCTTTAAGCATAATTTTATAAGGGATAGGCAAGCAAAAAACTTCATAAGTTAGCTATATGCAAGAATCCAGAGACATGTTTTTTGAGATATCCAGAAATGCAGTGTTTCATGATTTAAGTGAAGTGTCGTGGATGTTAATGAGTCGCAGTTGTCTGCGGAGGACAACCAAGTAAATTATGAGTCCTGTTTTCTTTTCGGACTCTCATGTGTTGCCATTTTGTTATATCATCAAAGAAAGAAAAATAAGTTCAGTGATTTTACTGGTAGAAATGGCTCTCATCAACCCTGCATGCATTTGGTTAAGCGTTGCTACCCTTGGAGAGGTTGGCGTTAATCGTTTCATTTTTATTTTCGTGTTCTTTCCTTCTCAGACAATTTTTGTTTTTACTTCATACAGATAGTAACTTTTAACAAGCTCGGTACTCTCAACAGTGCATTAAATCGTTCCTTTTTAACTTCCATTTTACTTTAAAAAATTTGCATTAATTCCGTACTTCTCATTTAACGTTTTAGCGAGTCCAGATAAGATAATAATATCTTAATAGAAAGCACTCCAGAGATCTTTTTTTTCGAATTTTTGGAATAGTTTTGAATTTTAAGCGTTAGTATAATCTGAGGTTCTTTTCATATAAGTATTGTTGTTTTATTTTAGCAACAATTAACAAAAGAAGAGGAGGAGCGCATTTTTGCGGAATATCATTATACGGGTGCAACCACCAATATACATCCTCTATTATCAAGCCTTGTTAATTATACCCATCCAGTAAAATTTTCTGGTTTCGATGTTGCTGAAGGTAATATACTTAAAGTTTCGGTTCTAAGCTTAATTTCAACTATCTTTTTTTTTATTTCATACTTTATTTTTAAATTTTTTGACGAGAAAAATAGATGAGGAAGGGCATTTAATACTAAAAAAAATCAAGAGGTTCTTTATTTAATGCTACTTTTAAATCTAACGGTAATGCGTTTTCAGCGAATAATTTGCATTTCCACATGTCTTCATTCTCGGAAAGTACGGGTTTAGGATACCTGAAGCAGAGTGCTCCAGAATTTGTTAATTACAATAAGCGCCAATTATGTAGGATATATCCAAAAGGCGCTCGGGTAGATTCTAGCAATTTCTTGCCTCAGGTGAACTTATTCATTCTTATTTAAAATAATAATGCATGGCATCCCAAATTATTCTCCCCACAAAATCGACCGTTGATTTCAATAATGAAGATTTTTATGGTCGCAGTATAGGCAAAGCAAAAATATGGCCTGATGAATGTTCGCTTGGATGAATTCAGTCTAAATCCGGTTTGAAATTGCAGATATTTTGGAATGCTGGTTGCCAGATGGTGGCATTAAATTTTCAAACTCCCGATATATCTATGCAGCTCAACCAAGGAAAGTTCCAATATAACGGTGGATGCGGGTATGTTTTCTCTTAGAAAAGGTCCGTATGATTAATATCAGGATATTTTGGATAAAACAGTGATTGCATCTGTAATTTCTTACAACTTTAAAGTAAATCCATACCAACTTATCCGCTAATTTATACTGTGATATGCAGCTCATCACTTACTTCTCTGCTAACTCTATAGAAAGAAACGACAATGCTTTATTATGTTTAGCGAATTTTCTATGCACATATAAGAATTTCTAAAATTTTCTATTCGATAATGAAAACCATTCTAATTATTGCTTAATGTTTCAGGTATCTTTTGAAGCCAGACTTCATGAGACGTCCTGATAGGTCGTTTGATCCATTTTCGGAATCTCCTGTTGATGGTGTAATTGCAGCACACTGCACTGTGAAGGTTATTGGTCATCTTTACAGTATCTACTTTTTTTTAATTTTAAAACCTTTTTCCAGATTACCTTACAATCACTGCAATTATTTAATAATCTAAGAATTTTGAAAAATTCTTGAAAAATTATGTAAAACGTATCCCTTTAGGAAGTATATAAATAAAAAAATTACCAACCAGGCTTAAATTATTTTTCCAGATCATATCAGGTCATTTTTTATGTGATAAAAAAATTGGCACTTATGTAGAGGCAGAAATGTACGGCCTTCCAACAGATACAATACGAAAAGAACATCGAACACGTACCGTACCTGCAAATGGATTGAATCCTGTGTATAACAGCGACCCATTTGTTTTCAGAAAGGTGATTTTATAAGTTGAAAGTTATATAGGAAAGACATCAATGGTATTCCAGTTTGCGATTGGGAGTTGAGTTTGAAATTAAATAAAAAGAAATGATAAAATTCATTTTATCTCATTTATTCACAGGTCGTCTTACCGGAATTAGCGCTTTTACGTCTCGCTGTTTATGACGAAAATGGAAAACAACTTGGACAGCGAATATTACCATTAGATGGCTTACAAGCGGGTTACCGACATATAACACTTTGTACAGAGTCGAATATGCCCATGGTACTGTCATGTCTTTTTGTTCGGATTGTGATCAAAACTTATGTTCCCGATGAGTTCAGTGGTAAGTCTTTGTAACCTCGTTTGCTTATTCAGACAGCAATGTATGAAATGAAAAAGTATGCATAAAATCACTTTGTTATCGATTTCTCTCTAAACTTTATTGTACTTAAAATAATTTAAATTGATGTACTGGTTAATAGCTATCAAACACATGGTATTCTTTAAAATACGATTTGCATACATTTGCAGGTCTAGTAGATGCATTGGCGGATCCACGTGCTTATCTTTCTGCACAGGAAAAACGAACAGAGGCTCTATATAATATGGGTGTTGAAGATTCCGATATAGTGGAAGTGACGTCAAGTTCATTGAGGACAGCATCAAACAAAAATATACCACGAATGGATGGCTATCCACTAGATCAAAACTGCGAGTAAGTGCTAAATGTTGATGCCAAGATCAAAGAGAGTCAATATGAAATGATGAACTGTAAACAGATTGATTTGTAAATACTGAAATTAAATCTATTGCTTTCACGTTCATCATTTATCATTTTAGACTCACGATTACTGAACCCTATTTCTCTAGTCGTTATTCGTTTTTGAATAGATTCTCAAAAATAAATGAAATGTGCAAATTTATAGTTTTTTCAGATCGTCAAAGTCAGCAGTATTACCGAAAGAACCAGCTCGTTCGAATGCGGAAGCTACAGATGACAAGCAGGGGGTAATTATATTTGGATTTTCTTTTCCTAAATCTAATTGATTAGCAATTTTATTATTATTGTATTTTATGTAATTGTCAACTTTTGTTTAAAAAACTGATAATGGTAAAATAATCGGAGGACACAAGACTCATGAAATCATCATTAATGAGGTACTGATGAAATCCTTCGAATTAGTAAAATTATTGATTTTGTGATCGTAGGAATCGAAGGGCTTCAAGTGTTACTAAAGCGCGAGATTTGAATCTGTTTAAGAATCTACGACTATGATTACTAAATTAGTAATCATTTTTTTCTCCTGTGTCGTATCGTATTATTTAATAATAAGTTTTTATTGTCGGACAAGTCAGGAAGCAGTGATGCATATGCAGATGACCGATTTTATTTGTTCATCATTGACTGTTTGATTGAGATAAAAAAAAAGCTAAAAGTTGTATCCGCTGTTTTCCTTTAGTTTTGTAGTTCTTATCACTTTTGATCAGTTCACTCTGTTATTCCACAAAGAAGAATCTTTTATTTCAACTTTAGCAGGTGGAATTTAAACGAACTTTTCTTCAGTGAACTTCATAAAGAAATGATTAATTAAAGTTCTCAAATTTATAACTTATCACATGTGGCGGATTCAGCTGATTCTGAATTGCATGGAATGTATTTAAGTATGGCATTGATTGACTGCTATTCGTGATTTTATGAGAAAACGTGATATGGAAAACCAAAATCATATATTTACACGAGTATTTCTCATGGTAACTGTTGAAGAGTAACTTAGACTGCTTTCAGATGGAAGCGATCAATATTAGCGACTTGAAGAAAGACAAATGTTTTCAAAAACTAATTCGGAAATTTCAAAAAGATATGAACGAACTGAAGAAACGACATGAAAAACAGAGGGGATCAGTTCAAAAGCAGCAAGTTAGTACTTGCTTTTACGAATCATTATTAATATATTTTTTTTCGTCATTATTATTGAAATATTTGAATCAAAGAGTTCAAATCGCATGTAATGTAATATACTTTCCAATAATTAAAAAGCTCATGAATTGTGAACATAACGTTATTCATTGAAATATTGTGTTCAATACCAAGAAATCCAGTGTTTTTCCATTCAGATCGAAAAAGTTTCCACATCTCAAGTTAAACTCAGTTCATACTACATCTGAAATTAGACTCAGTTCATAACAAGCAATATACTTTTTCAAATTTATACTATTATGGCTTGATTACTCTCTCAATTGCTGCAGTTGAACTGATTCCAAAGGGACGAAAATCGTCTTAACCTCACAACACAGTAGTTGAAAATGTGCATATTAACATCAGCTTATTTTATATTGATTAGTATAGTTCTTTCTGTTTGTTTCGCGCAGTATTGCAACTGCGTACTTGTGACATACTGTTAACATAGTACGATCTAGTGCGTTCATTAACATTTTGAGTTGGTGAGTGCTTCTATGGGATTTTATATTTAATTTCTGTTACTAATGCATTTTACGAATTATAGCAAATAACTGTCGACAAACTGATTTGTGACAGTTACAAGCACTCTAAATGGCGAACAGTGGCTAACAGTTCAGGGAGCCAAAAGCATCAGTCATTATCGTATATGAAGTCCGAACCAATATCAAGGAATATCGACATGACTAATAGTTATAAAGTGTGTATTTTTTTGTGCAATTTTTTTTTTTACTCCTTATTTCCTTTATGAAATAGATTATTAAGAGATTTACGTGGGAGATGTTTAAGTCAGAAAAGGATATGAGTTCGTGAGTTCTATTATTCGTTTCTTTTGGGGAAGCTCGGAGAATCTCTGTAGTAATAGTTTCGAGTGATTCAATACTACTGGTAGCAAGATAACCGACTTTAATCTCATCCATTTGCAAGTAGATTTTTTCGATTCAACCAGTCTCATGCGGATAATCCGGACTGCTCTGTTTCAGATGAAATCTTTAGTGTTGTCTCAAACTGATGAATGGTCATCGATGATGCGAAGGCATGAAAGAGAATGTCATGATCTAAGGAGATCGCAAATAAAAGGAGAATTTGATTGCCTACGGTGATTATTAGTTTATCTTCTCCTACAAAAGCCAACCCCAGTATGTTATCGGCAGCATGTGAGTGCAAAGGTTTGCAGTTTGGAATAATGGAGCTCATACTTCTAGAAGAATCAAAACCATGGGACGGTGCAGCATGTGAAATACCTTGAAGATGAATCGTGAGATCAGTACACAGAGATACGCTGTGCCAACTATTTCAAGTCTGAAAACTTATGGATAGTGTATTTTATTTACATTGCTCATTTTGATACGAAAACATATCTTCCAGGAAACTGATCCAGGATGCTCAAAAACAGCAAATGAATATGTTGAAGCTGAGACTCGAAGCTGAGAACAAAGATTTGAAGCAAGCCCAAACAAAAAAGAGCATGGACGATGCTCGAGCTATACAACAGGTATTTCATCCGATTTCAGTTTGGATATGTGGTTGATCACTTTTCGTTCCACTACAGTACGCATTTTTGTCGAAAGTATTATATAAAACTTTTAATCTTTCTCCTTCAATAGGATAAAAACATCAAAACGAAGGCAGAAAGGGATCGACGAATAAAAGAAATGAATGAAAAAAATTTGAAAATATTTTGCGAAGAGCGGAAAAGGCTGGCTTTAAAGTGAGTAGTTATTTATTATGGGACCTCACATAGCTTGATTTTTCAAATCATCGTCCAAGGAGCTAATCCTCATATTAATTTCATGTTTTTAATTGTTATCATTTGAGAGCCCAGAAACATGAGGAACAGTTGATGAAAAGGCATGGAGAGCAATATGAACAGTTCGAGGAAGATGCAGAAAAGGTTTCTTCTTTGAAATTAATCTATAGCTTTCTTTTCTAAAACAGCTACTGTGCATATCTTTATAACCCTCGGAATGAGCATTAACCACAAATTGTTGATAACACAAATCTCAAAGACTGACTTAAATACTTCATTTTCAGGGAAATAATCCAGTAAAATTAAAATTAAAGAAATTTTACTCCCTCAATTTTGGTTTGTTCCCCACTTCTTGGTCTTCATAAGAGATAAGTACTTCCAGGAGCTAGAATTAGAAGAAATGAGTCATCGGGAAACCCAGTTAGCATCAAAACTTGAATTCATTTGCTGACAACTTACGGAAGTCGATGTGAATCACTCCGGAAAACCTTCATTTCATCGCCTTAATCTCTATTATTTCCGTGACAGCAGCAGTAGAACATGCCACTGATACGATTTTTTCGAATCACCTCATTTTAGGAAATCTCTTCATAAGTTTCTGACATTTTAATTTCATACGTTGCATATCGAACTGTTTCTTTATAAATTGTTTTGAAATAAAAATGACGACCACTTGCTCCGAGAAAGGGAAGTTCGCACTCTTGTTTAATCAGTGGTACGATTGCTTATGTGTTAAGTCTTTATTTCACATTCCAGTACTTTTCGGGGTACTAGTATTTTCTCTTATGTTCCCGACTGAGCATAAAACAGCATGGGAAATATCAGGAACGAAACTATGTATATATCGATTACAGAAAAGATGATTTAAAGGTTACATGAGCATATCATTTTGCACATATATCATTCTGAAGTTCCGACTTGGAAGAAAGTTTCCTACTCCTAAACTCAACAAGCCAAATAGTCATATGGTACTTGAAATATCCTTGGCTGTATATGCCAACAGGAGAGGCCGAAATATATTTGAGGCAGTAATAATGTGTGCTGGCAATAACCAAAAATTCAGATAGTTTGCGTTACCCTAGGACAAAGCATATTTCCAAATAATTTATGCTCTGAATATGACTTCAATAAAAGGGAACTGGTTAGAAAGTTTCTTAGCAACTAACAAAATCAGATAAAATCATATTAGAGCGTAAGAAAAGAACCAACACAACACCAACTGAAGCTTACCAAAGCAATCAGCTCTGGTAAGATGATATATGTATACAATATAATTCTATCCTCATTTACCTCGTATCTTTCATGGGAATGACAATACGGGGTTTCACCATAGAACCTGTACGCACCGATGAGTCCTGAAAATAATCTTTATTAGAAAACACAAGACACAGTGCAATCAATCAATTCTTTAACTACTTGTCATAATATTTCATTTAACTACGGCAACCATAGTGATGACGATAACGTGACAAAAAATGTGTAATGGTGGGGAAAGCCTCTATTCTTGAAAGTCATATACAATTAGAAATGTTGCTAAAGCAAAACAATTCAGCTTTCATCACAGTCGAAATGAAAGTTCAGTTACCTTGTGAACTTCATAGCGAATTGGTTCCGAGTCAGGGATTTCAAGTTTTGCCTTTAAAATTTGTCCAATACGCAAATTTACATCATCTTTCAGTGAATCACGTGTCCATAAAGAAACCTAAAAAACTATGGGAATGGATGAATTATACCTCTTGCACTTGCATTAATTATAGTTTTTATAAAACATTTAGAGAACGTGCTGTTGCTCCCTAAAAAACTAAAATGTTGTATAACAAAATCCGAAATGAGTGAATCTTCTTAACCTTATCACCCTTTTGTCGAACATTTACCACTGCACCGCAAATATGTTCGCCATGTTCTTCAAACTGCTCCCCAATAATTGCCATCAGTAGTTCAAGCCAATAATGGTCTAACAGTTGTGCCCGTTTCTGCTTGTCGACAACAACAAGCCATCGACCACCTTTTACATTATTTTCGTCCTCCCACATCGGCTTAATACCCTCTTTAAATAAATAGTAATCACTTCCCCAATTAAGACCCGAAGCCGCCTGAATGTGATTGTACAAGCTGAAATAAGTTAAAATCTGTAAGTTTTCTAGTAAAAAACATTCATCCTGAATATTTATAGAGCTGCACTGAGCCATAATATCAAGTTGAAGCTTCTCGTGTCAGTGATAGATTTCAGATGAAAAGCTGGTTCAAACTAAAATAATAAAACAGACACAAATCACCTAAATTTACGGCGATTAGAATTCAAAATAAGTGCAAGTCGGTTTTAGAAGTGAAGAGCAAATACAGTCGAAGATGACTTCGAAAAACAGAACTTGAAACTCACGCCCAAAAATCTTCAACAGTGTCAAAAACGGCTACTTGTTTTAAACAATCCTCCCAATCTTTGTTTCGATCGGCTTTCAAATACCAAAGAGCCCATCGGCATTGCAACGGATGACGTGTAAGTGATTCTGGAGCTGCTGGAGGATTGTGAGACTCAGATCGCTAAAAACATTTACGTTTTGAAAGCATTTCTTTGAATGTAAGGGAAGCATATTAGGATTAGAAATAAGTGCACATTATTCCAGAAGGTTCTACAAGGAATGCCTCTACTATTTGAGTTCGAGTAGCTATGCGGTCTGCACATTAAAACAACGACAAGCGGAGTGCTATCTCCTGACCAGAAATATTAAAGATTTAATTATGTTGTTACGATACAAATATTATCACCAAATAACCCGGTTATCGCTAAATAAGTAACCTTTTGAGGCATTAGATTGCACATTCATGCATATCAACTGCAATTCGAAAGATGAAAACATGTTCCCGATGAAATATCTACTACAATAAAATATTTGCAACCTCTACCACTTCATTTATTAACTAGTAAATCCCTTTTCTTTGTGAAGACTATTTCCTTAAAAATCTCACTCGCCGCTACAAATTTATAAGGCTAAATTTTCTAATATCTTCGGATTTACACCACTTCGTTTCATATTTAAATGAAGCTTTTTTCTTCATAAACGTTAAACCACGCAAAAACTACCAATACAAAACATTATTCATTTATATAGTCAATTCCATCAACACAATGTTGCTGATAAGAGATTGGGTCTGCTTTTGAACCCATCTAATGCAATACTGTGATGCAATTTGCCAAAAACTCACCTCACTGTGACTTGTCTTATCTTCATTATCGTTAGACTGAACTGTTTCTTCAATTATTTCCAGCGGATTCTCCGTGTCATTGGTCGACTCCTTCTTTGCAACCTCTACTTTCGATATAGGCATATTATCCGCAGCTGAAATTCATAAAATCAACTGGAAATATTAAAAATCTTCAGTGTTAAGCCACAAACACCAATGAGGTTCTTTCTAATTAAGCATAAATGACAAGTTATAAAAAGTAATACCTCTTGAAGAAAGTAAGAATACTGAGTAAAAACAGCTAGGCAATGAAGGCGAAATGATTTTCTACTAGTAATTTACATTTTAAGTCAGTTTACGGATGAAAACACATATATAAATATGCAAATTTTGAATTTCTTCATAAAATTCAAAATTTGGTAACAGCAAGTGGCGAAGCAAACAGTAGTAGCTCGACATACTGTTAACCATTATAATAGGGACAGCGGCTCAATATACTGTGCAATACTGTAACACTACAGTTGTATTTGATATAAAAGGATTCTGCCTCTCCTCTTAATTAACAGTGCTCTTATCTTCGCCATACCCTTCCTGGAAACTAAAAGTAGGAAATGATGAATCACAACTATACTTTAAATCATGTGAAAAACACCCTTTACAGATATTTTACATAATTTCCGTGAGGTCAAGTGAAGCATGAATCAAGATAGGCCAAAGCTGGAAATAACTACTTTCTGAAGTAAGGAATGATTAATCAGAGGACAACAGTGATGAAGAATCCTCCAAACTAAAACTTTCGTTAAAACCGTCCAAAAGATATAGACGAAATGAGCCAATGCGGTTTCAATTGCTTTATACTTCTTAAATAATACGCCTTCCATAGCCACCTTTTCAACAGCAATACTCACCAAACGAACAACAAATTCCTTAAAAACTCAAGTACCAGTATTACCGGTCGTTTTGAAAAGACCAAGATGAAATGGTCTAGAGCATAAAAAGTTTGAAACCTGCCCATAGACTGACCAAACTAACGATGGCCAACCATAATGTACTAACTGGTCTATTTTAGATGAGAGAAAGACCACTTGTGACATGATCCCGCTGTAGGAGATATATCGTGATCACGAATGTATAAGGGAAGAACGATCATTGTTCGCGAGACGTCAATTTCTGCAAACCTGTCTAAGGTTTGGATACGGTTTGCGATACGTGGGGTTTTTCTCCATGCAACAATAATTGAGAGTATTTTCCTCTCGTTGGATGAAGTGTTGAGTCGGACTGTTTAACTAAAAAGTTGAAAGCAACTATAAGGAGTAGGATATTATATATAACAGTGGTATAATATGATGGTGATTTCGCGATGTTCTATTCATTCAAATTGCACATTTCTCTCTACCTAAAGAATTCCAAACTTTACTGCTTATAAATTAATTCCTGAATGTTCCACTCATGTGGCAATTTGTTCTGTTTATTGACACTATTTATCAGTGTTGGTATTTTATGAAATTGTGAAAGTTCTATTTACAGCATGGTTCTGAATCGTCCCGCGATAATTCGTCTCACTGATTTACGTTTCAATAGCTTGGAACATTTAAAATCATGGTGTGATGTCACTCATAAACAAAAGTGGGAGCAAGCGATTTCACGACTTGTTTGTACTAAGTAGATCACTTTATGTTATTTGTAGTTATCTTTTCGACTCTCAAATATTGTAGGGGATGAAAAATAAGTAAATAGCGATATGAAGTCTTTTACAGAGCATTCGACCGTGCAGAGCGAGTTTTCGATGAGGCAAAGCTGAAAATGCAGGAGGGAGATGAGGAAAATGCATACAAGTTGTTCACACGAATGGGCATTATTTCGAAAATAATTATCAGCAAAAGCGATTTCCAAGAGTTCAAAAATTCGCCGGTAATAATAAAGCGTATGCTTATGGTAGGGTGAGAAATCATTTTTTTTTTGTCGGACTACTTCATTTCTATGCTGTTCTCACTGCTTGGAGTTTATATCAACATATTATGCTTTATGTGTTTGAAATTTTGGAGTAGAGGAGAAAATGCACCTAGCATATGGGCCGAATTTCTATTACTAAGTCTCTACTTGCAGGATGGTCGTCGTTTTTATTATTTGTTTGACCAGTGTATTGCTTATCTGAAAGAGTTGGAAGAAAGTTTAAATAAACGATACGAGTTGAAGAACGTTGAGAAAAATTATGATGATCGAGACGTAGCAGTTGTACAGCGCGAAGAAACACGGAAAGACGAAGATTATTTCAGGGGTAATATTGTTTTTGTTATTCATAATGCCTTATTTCTTCACAGTTTTCATACTATAATGTTTGACTGTTAGTAGAATCCCTTTTATTACAAAAACAGAATTGAGAAATTCTTCCTCAGTCATAAAGTAGCGTCTCATATTGGACATATCTAAATATTGATAGCCGTGATGCTGACTTTGTTTCGAATTAGGATTTGTAGAATCTAGAGTACTTATTTGAATGATATTTAATTGAAATTTTCTGTGTATGTTCAAGATGAATCGATGGTAATAGATCCTCGTGAACTGGTGCATTATATTTCTTGCAAACATCGAGTTCTTATCATTGATTATCGAAACGATCAGACGGACGTCATTCAGTATGCAAATGCTGGGCAGTTATTAATCGCACAGGTTCCTGTCGATGCTGTTGTTCCTGGGTTAGTTCATTGGCACTCACCCATCTCTTCAAAATTTTTTATATGACTTGAACGAAATTGGACTTTAAATTTTGGTTCACTTCTCTCTTTTGAGGATTGTTTATTTCGAAACCTCATACTCAATCTAACCTTAAATCGCAACAAGATATCCAAAGGATAATAGTTCCAAATTTAATCATTAAAATAAGAAAAACCAAAATATTGGCGACAATAATATGGAAATAATATGCTCAATCCTGTTTCTGTACATTTTTGTACCGTTGGTGCAAAAAATTTAACCAGCGCCTTGCATTTATCTTAGAAAGAAACTGGTTTTGAATTATTTTGAATTAATAGTAGCAGTATTTAGTAACAATACTTCTGTTTATAGTTTGGAAAGGTGAGAAATGGATATTGATCATTTGATTAATTTTTTTATGGTTTACGTAGTTTTGGCAGCTGTTTTGAAGTTCTTATTCAGTACTTGATTTTTATTTGAACATTTCATATTGCAGTTGTATTGGTTCCTCGCTGATTCGCTCGGTTGAGATTGGTCAAAGAGCTATTCTTCAGCGCATGGCAGATGTAGATATGGTAGTGCTTATGGGAAGTGAGAGTGCCCCAAATGAGGAAAAAGATATGATTGCTGGATCAAAGGAACAAATACTATATAGCGCTTTATCGATGGTTTATTTTTAAATTATAAGCCGAAATCAAAGAACCCTTGTGGAATAGATTGTAACTTGAAAAAATTCCGTATGATATTAGATATACGAACAATAAATGAGTGACAGTGATATTTTAATTCGTGACATTGTTTCAGTACAAATTAAGATAAGTCGGGTTCCGAAAATTAATAACAGTTAGTTCAGGGAAAGGTATTGTTTGTTTGCCGATCCTAATGTGAAGGAAATCAAAGGAAAGTTTGATGGGTGTGTGCTGAAAAATTTTGTTTATTGTTTTGGTTTTGAATAACAGAATAAATTGTTTTGGTTTTGAATAACAGAAACTTTAATTGCAGTATAACAATAACTTCCGGTTGAGAAAGCTACCAAAATTCTTAAAAGGTGGTTTTGAAAATTGGCGTTTGTATTATCCAATGCATACATCTACAAAATCTGCTATGCGAAAGAAATTTGTGGATATCGCAAGTCGTACTGAATTTGCTAAAGCTGTTGCTGAATACAAAAAGGGTTTGTTTTTATGCTTCGAATTCTTTGTCTCACTGATATGTCTACAATATCTCATATTAGTTTACTAATTTTTTCAGGTTTTGGGATTGATTCCTTAGAATATCCTCAATTACTGCCGACTATTTATCCTAAAGCAAGTGGATTACCAATGCCCTATTCGAGTATTTCTGATAGTGTCGTGCATCAGATGGGACAATCTTCGGTTTTCTCCTCAATGTTAATGGAACCTGCAGGTAAACTTGAAGTTTATGGTCAATTATTTTATTGTTGACGGTTTGAAATTGGTACCCTGTACTACATAGACTTGAAAACTAATCTATAATCAGAAAATGGTTGCTTCAGAAATTCTTTCAGTGCACTTTTAGATATTTAAAAAGAACTTCGATGTGATCTTACAGACATTTCTGACAGATCTTCAATATCATCCTTGTGCTCAGTGCTGCCACCAAAAGATGGATTACTTGACGTAAGAATAGATGATGCAGGTACAGCAAATGAATCTTCAACTATAAGTGATTCAAACGCTATGGAGATTGCAGTTCCTCCAGTCTGCCGAAGTACGACTAAGAAGTTTAATTCAGAGATTGACGTTCCTGGATTTCAATCTCATCAATCTCCTGTAATTGATCGAAGCAAAAAACCGCATTCAGAGGTCTGTATAAAACGTGTTGTTATTATAAAAAAAAATAACTGTTTGTTTTTCACATTTTAATGAATAGTTGTACTACATTTTAATGAATTCTGCAGTCATTAATATATGGATGAATCTATATTAATTTCATCCAACTATTAAGGTATTCTTTTTTTAGTTACGCGTTATTTTGCTCGATTTTCTTTCATAGCTACCTCGATTTTTTTATTTTGAAAATGCAAATTACATTCAAAAAAAAATTGATATCAGTTTTAATGGAATAGTTTCGGTCATGGTTCTTATTTTTATTTCTCTGATTACTTGATAACATTGTTTCAGTTATCTGCACATAAGGAAAAAGCCTCTTCTGAGAAATCCTTCCCTATTAAACCGACTCAGACAGTGTTTGGTGGTGCAAAATTACATGACGCGAGGCTAGTTACCTTTTTTATTCCATGCTCATATATATATAAATCTATGCTATATGTATTTTGATAATTTAGCTCGAAACGAATTCCAGTGAATATTCCAGCCATACCAGACAGGCTATTGAAACCACAATTACTTCCAAGGTATGTATAAAATTTGTTTATATCGGTTTTAGTGAAATAGCGAGATCTAGGTTGTTAGATCATGAGCTATTCCATGTTTTACAACCATTTCACTGTTAATTTAAATAGTTAGCTTTGTTTAATGAGCTAAATTACAATACTAGAACTTTTGGATGATTTTTAGATGGTAATATTATAGATATTTATCTTACAGCTTTTAGATAATCTTTAAATATCTTGCAGCTACCTGAATGAAACCATGAGGTACTTAAATTTTTTTTAGCGATGGCTCGCACCAGCTTTTACGTTTATATGAATCTATGATGAATATTCTCAGTCTCAGTGCGGTCCCTCGAAGCTGTGTAAACTTTCATGCTTTTCACTTGATTTCATGAATTTTAGTTTTTTTTTTTGAAAACATTTTCACATATTCTTGAATTTTTCATATTTAGAATCCCGGATACACTGGTTTATACAATTTGGGAAATACATGCTTCATGAATTCCGTGTTACAAACTCTATTCAATACAATCCCACTTCGACGTATTTTTACCAGAAACGAATTTAACAAATTTGTTAACAGGCATTTTTTAAGATCCTGCAACTTTGTACTATTCATTTTTTATTGGCCATAACATTCCAACTTTTGCTTATAAAAAACTTTTCTCATTATTGCTTCAATAGTTGAAGAAAAGGGTGAAAATTTTTTAGGACGAATAAAATGGGAACAATGGGTGTAATATCGTCAGTGTTTTCTGCGATGATGGATTCCGTTTGGAGTGGATTGTTCAGTGTTCTTCGACCTCAACAGTTTCTTGTATTTTTTAACAGTTTTGAGGACAAAAATACATAGGCAAACAATTCTTTACAGTGATCCGTTTTAATTTATGAAACCTTCTTAAGGAGACATTTGCCGCTGAGGTGAATGCTTCTTTGGCTGATGGTCAACAACACGATGCACAAGAATTCCAGATTTATTTACTTGACGCACTACATGAAGATACGAATCAAGTAATTTTCAGTAATATTTATTTTGGAATTCTGTGGTGCACTCACAAAAAAGGCTGGACGATTGTAATTATTTGCCCAATTTTTGAATATTATGCAAGGGCGGATGTTTCTTGACATTCAAATAAGTTGATTTTCTGTTAAATGCAGTGACATTATTTGTTGTAGGTAGTGAAACGCATAACATTTGAACAGAATTATACTGGAGCAGATTTAAAAGCAGAAGCAGCTGATTATAATGAAAAATTAAGGAAGTTTGCCTGCTCACCAATCAGTGGCATTTTTAATGTTAGTCTTTTTTTTTTAATTTAGCATCTTTTTTCGGTACTTACTTTGGTATTTAAGTAAAGAAGATGTAACAGCTATTGCTGCTGTAGTAACTTTCACGCATTTTGCGTGCAATTTGAATTGCTGCAGATATCAGATTTGGTATCTATTTCATGATACTCTATACTGTAAAAAACGTGAAACTTCCCTCCTTCATAATTTTTGCCTCGCCGTTATTTTGAAAAATGATGAAGATGTTTTGGCATTGTACGTGGTGGTAGAGCAGATTGTGATGCTTTTGAAAATGAAATTTTGCTTAGCAACTTAATGTAGACAAGGCGAATATTTCTTTTAATCTGCATGATGATCGTCATGTTGTTGTTCTGTTAACTGTAATATTGGCATGTGACTGTCCATTCATTACATCAGCTGAAACCATTTAACAGTTGTCGAATAAATGTTTTTAGAGTCAAACAGTATCAAGTTTGCAATGTAATAAATGCAGAAGACAGAGCGTTACGTTCGAAGAATTAGCCCAACTGTCAATCGAAGTACCAAATCGGAATTCAACAATTGAAGATTGTATACGGAATCATTTTCAAGATGTGGTTTGCTTTTTAAAAGAATTATAGTTCAAAACCCGGTTTATTTGTCACTTGAAATTTTGCAATAATTTACAAATGTTTATTAATTTATAGGAACTTGATGGTTCATGCAAATGGCGCTGCCCTGACTGTGAGTCTTTACAGACTGCAACTCGTAGGACGTTTTTGTGGAAGCTACCTCAAGTTCTGGTCCCTTATTTTTCTTTGACTTCATAACATTTTTACGATTCGTAGGAATTTTAATAATAGTTTCGGTGCAATACTCTTATTGTATTTTGTATCTGTCATTCATTGTCAGAATAATAAATAATTTAAAGTACTTTTACTTTTAGAAATAAATGACAGTATGGGAGCTTAGCAGTTTGCATTTATTTGCGTTCGTGTATTTTCAATTATTATTTAAAATGATTCATTTTGAATCCTCACTTAATTTTAGGTCATACATTTGAAACGTTTTACTTTTATGGGAGATAATTGGCAAAAGAATGATGCCCACGTAACGTTCAACACATTTCCATTAAAGCTGCAGACTGAATATTTTAGCTTGTATGCTGTTGTCGTAAGTTGTATACCATTGTTTTACTAGCCAAACTTTCTCATCTTTCTTTTTTTCCCATTCCCAAATGTTGAAATTTACTTTTTAGCTAAAAAATTTGCGCAGCTAAGCCATAATTTTGTTTCGTTTTTTTTGTTTTTTTCAATTATCACTTAATTAAGTAATCTTTGATTATCAACCTTAGAATTTACAAATTTTCCTTACCTTAGGTTTAAGAATTCTAATGCTCGTTTGTGAAATTTTATTTTTGCACTGCAAATTGACTAATTGTAAGGAATTTTTTATGAAAGACTAATCTGTTCATTTTTGTCATTAAACTGATTGACATTTCATTAGCTTTGTCCCAAAATTCAAGTTAAAACCTCGACAAAAACCTTATAATTGAATATAAATTGTAAGACCTATGTACAACATCAAAAATAATTTTGGTATTAATCGGAGTCGTAGTAAGTTGATGCACTTTCAAAATGCAAATTTGATCTGTTTCGGCTTTATCAACTACTAATTCACTGATTTAAGTGGTTTTCAGAAAACTTGAAATGCATCATTATTATTATTCCTAATCCTTCTTTTTAATCATTTTCAGGATTAATATATAAATATTTTCAAACACCCTAAAGCGCTGCATTTATAACTCTTTATATACGTATTTTCAGAACCACAGAGGAAGCTTGAATAGTGGACACTACACAGCAACAATTCGTAACCAAATTACTAAACAATGGCTGCTCTTCGACGATGATGTTGTTACGCCGATAGATGTGGATTCAATATGCACGAAGTATGCCTTTATCTTATATTTTCAGAAAGATTCTCTTTTGAAGATCCTATGATTTGTTGAAAGCAATTAATATAGTCTTGAAATCATTTGAAAAATAATTCGGTGGAAACCATTCATAACGTTCTCATGGAACTGGTTATTTTCATTTCCAGTTATTGTCATTTTATTATATAAATCCTTAGCGAAATCTTCTATGTGACTTCAACTTCAATTAAATTCATATATTATTTGTCTTTAGGTTGTAGATTCATATCATTTGTCATTCATTACCGTTATTGTTAGTTCGCACTTTTGTATTATGTCGTTATGTCACATCATTTTAAGATTCAATCCAACCTTTTACTTCTGGGTGCTTTTTTATTTTTTTTCACTCTGATTTTAAACTTTGAATTTTATCATTTATTATTTAATTCGTATTTTTTGTTATCAGTTCTGACTGTGTTTACTTTATCATGTGCTTCTCAATGGTTACCCTTTTCTATTTTGCTGGTCTACCACTGCTCACTCTTTTGTCTGATATTGTGTTTGAATAGAAATTTTATGTTTGAAAGTAGAATTTTGTTTTAAGTCGTTGTTTTTTGTTGACGCAAGCGAACACTATTGTAACATCGTAACTACGGTATCTTTTTTAGTATTGTTATTTATGCATAAATTCACGTCTTTCTTAAATTGTGTACAATTTATGTGATAGATTACTGCGCTACGTAAAGTTTCTTCTGCAGACTTATATTCGTTTGATTTATTTATTATAAAACTCTCTATTTCACTTCCGAAGGTAGTCAAGGAAGGACTACAGATTTGAAGACTTGCCAACTGTTGATGTTACCCGCTGATAGTAACATATTATTTCTCTGTATACATTATGATTGTTTATATCAAAAAGTTATAATTTGTTTAGTATCTTAATTTGTCATTGATAAAACACACATCAGTGCTATTGGATATTTGCTAGGAAAGGAAACAAAGTGAGGCCTAAGTTGTCAGAATAGGTTCTCGTTGAAAATTTCCAATCTTACCAAAAAGTTCAGAGTTTCGGATGTTTGATAGTGCAAAATAATATAGTAAAGCCTGCCTGCCTGTGCTTACAATTATTAAATATTAGGGTAGTTGATTTATGCTTTCTAACTTGAAGTTTTTTTGTCGCCACGTCTACGATCAGTGGATTTCAAAAACAGTTGACAGTTTAAGCTTGTGAAAGTGGATGTTTATTCTGTTGACTACCATCGAACTGCATGTTATTTTATTTTCTCGTTAAACAGACTACTTATCTAATTATTTCGATTTCAAAACTATTTCTCTGCAAACTGGTTTTGAGCAGACTGCGTGGTGAATGGAATAGGAGAAAGTATATATTTTCTCTATGTAATAAGGAATTTGTGCAATGAAAAGTGAAAGCATTTAACTTCCTGTGATAATGTGGTGATAGTCGGTGATTACTGGCAACAACTATTAACGAAAAGAAAAAGATTGGAATATAGCGAAAGTCCAAAAACAAGCTGGTAAACGTTTCATTATGTACATCTGCTAATACATGTGAAGTTCTTGATTCAGTCATCATTAATTTGCACATAATTTGAGAGCAAATATTTGATGGCACGTTGCTTTTTCAAAAATCATTCACCCTCAGTACCTTACTATTCTAATCAAATTTGTTTAATAATGTCACACCCTTGCTGTAATTTTACGATATTTTCTAAGTTCAATTTGAATTAAACTTAGTTTGAAACCATAAATCAGTTTATAACTAGCAATATATTCACCTAAAAAAGATATAACCATTTACAAAAGACACCTTTTTACTCCGGAAAACATGCTTAATACATCAAAGATCTTTTCCTGATATCATTCACTAGCACATACAATTATTACTCGTAATTACCAATAAATCATGAATATTTTGAGGTGCTAACGGAGTTTTAAAAATGATAAGTAAAATAAGCATGGATTCTGAATCGGACTGAAGTTGGATCTGAACACAACGGAATCAGATCTCCTCTAATAATAATTTCGAATATTTTGATGATATTTAAAATATATGAAAGTACCGTTGGGAGTACCACCGATTTTAATTAGCAATTAATATATAATACGAAGAAATCTGTCATTAAAAGTTAATGATTTCCTTTCATTAGAATGAAATTTCCCTGTCTTAAATACTGGTAGTAAAGATTGTTGGTACCACGGAATGATTATTTAATTATCGCCTTTCAAGAAATGGTTATTTAACGCAATACACTGAAAGAGCAGAAGAATTGCGAGATACTACAGCGTGCAGATCGGTGAGGTATCGTGAAGTGCTAGCGTGAAAGTTTGCATTGTACTTGTAATTTATCGTACATCAGTCTAAAAAACGGAGAGTCATAGGGACAGATGTGGTCATAACTATGTGCTTCTTAGACAAATAAATACCGTAAAACCAGAAAGCAGAAACTATTGTCATATAGAGGAAAAGGAAGAGAGGGCATGTTGGTTTTCAAAACTTGTTTGCGTTTAGGTGATGAGAAGGATAGGAAGGAAATAGACGTATGCATGCATCTCCGAAAGACGTTTCTATTTCTCACATCTTGACAACTTCGAAATTTTACCCCAATTGCATAGAAATTTTTGCTGAAATTGCTGTGCTATTTGGTGCCCAGCGGCGCACAATCATCTTTACCGCCTGTCTCTGCCGTTCTTGCTATGCCCGTTCAAAAATTACCCTTTTGCAGATAGATATCTTCTAAAACTGAAAATCAAGAAGCATAATTAACGGTCAAAACTTTTTTCAGCAATTCAAATACTGCTTGGAATATCATTCCTCAACATTATATTCTGTATGATTCTTTTTTTAAGAATTAAAAAAAAAAACTTTCTTTTTTCGAATTCTTTGTGTTACAAGGTATCATTGGTTTCTTCCTCAAATATTGCGACATTCAGGCAGCTTCTATAAAAACTTTTGAAATATCATTGTTTAGTTTTTAGAATAAATTCAACGGCTCATTGTACACTTGAGCGAACCACCAGATGCAATGATCAGATGCAATTTTTTCCAGTTTCTTTTTCCGCATTTTTTAAAATAAATTCCACTGATATTTTATTAGTATGCACTATTTTCAAATTACTACATACTTACTTTCGTCATTTACTCATTTAACTTTTTGCCAACTTTTTACTTGCTGCTGTCTCCGTTATACGGCAATATTTGTTAATTCTTTTTGAATAATCAAGCAGATAGTAGAAAATGTTTAAATTTTTGTAGCGAATGGCCACTTCAACAAAGCTAACTACAACAATGCAATTACTTATCTTACAAACATTTCTATCCCTTGTTGTGATGACCTTCGGTCAACGATCACGTAAGTTTTGAATAAGGATTTTTGAATTTTAAATTAGAAAGATAACAACATCAATTTTATGTCCCTACTATTAATTCATTATTTTGCTTGTTTCTAACTTCTAACTAAACAACTTACTGATATTATAATTGTAAGCTGAGATGGAATTCATTGATTTGTATTTTGTTGTGAGATTTAACAAAATTGATATATGATTATATATCAAAGTAAAAATAATCACTTTCACTTTGCCACCTTAGAGAATTAGTTGGGTGTCAAATCGCAATTATTCCATACTTTTTCAACTTCGTCATGGTAATTATATGTCTTTGGACATGTTCTAATGATGCTGTTAAATTCAATTTTCCATCAAAATTTGAGGTTAAAAATTTTTTTTTAACCGGTCATAATATTGAATTTATTCTCATCGCAGAAAGCTCTTAATATAAATGGGAGTTATATATCCATTCTTTAGAACACTAGAATCATTTAACAATGAATCAGCAGTCGTCTCTGTTTGTAGTTGATTTATTTGTTTATGCAATAATTTCAAATTTGACACCTACAAGCAGTATTGTTGGTAGAATTATTAATCAAAAAAAATCAATCAAGAAAAGTCCTATCGGAATGAATATCAAATTCTGCTAATGAATCCAATTTTAAAACTATAATGTACGAAATATAGTTGTGTGGGAAATTCACTGCCACATGCGTAATGAGTTTTATTGAGTTATTAATTCTAGTCGATCCAGAAATTTCACAGTAGAACGCTGCTTATTATAACATTTACGTTATTGATTAATCATTCTTTAGACTATTTCCGAGAGGATGAATGATGGATGAATGTTAATTGAATGAAAAAAAGTTAATTCAATTTCCAATTTTTAATTGATTGAAAATCCTATCTTCCAAAATTTCCTTTCATTTTACTAACTTATTAGACGCAATTTCAACTATCAATCTAATTTATATGCAATCTTATTTCTATCAAATTTTGAATTAAGAAATTTTCCAAGCGATCAAGAATCTATCATTTCATTATATAAGGAATATTTGCAATTTATTTATTTTATAGAAATTTAGCTTTGTAATTATTAGACGTAATCTGCAATGGAATGATGGATTTTCATGATTTCAAGAGACTATTGCGAGTTTGTCATAAAATTTCACTTTATAATAATGAATTATAAATTGCGTAATGTATACAAATTATTCGTTAAGGCTTGTGAAATTAAAAATTTTTTGGCCTCAGATGGTTTTTAAAAACTAAATAGTTATAGAAAACTAAATAGTTTTATCAAAATTTTTAAATTGAATTGAAGTTTTAGAATCTAAGAATAATTCATTTCAGGAAATCAGAAAGCAGTAATTGCAGATCTGGGTAAACTAATTGTTGACAATTGCCCACCAATGTTATGTACCGGTTTGGATTGCGCCGTTGTTACCGAAAGAAATGGTTGTCAGGTATTTTGTGCTATCAATAATTGATCTAAGCGTTTTATTACTACAAACATTTTTCTTATGCAATTTACTTTACAAATGCTTCTTTTCTTATTTGATATTATCATTTTACATTTCAATATTTTCACATAATATTTTCGTTTCAATTTAAACTAATTGTTGGCAAATATCATTCTAATTTTCTTCGAAGATTATTAGAAAGCGGAAATAGTAAGCAATTAATTGACTTTTTATAAATGAAAGAAAATTAAATTTCATAATAAATGAGGGCAAAAAAGACTTCATATTTCGAAAATAAATTCAAATCGTTAAATTAAGACAATTCAATTATATGTAATGAAAAATGAAACATTATATCTTTCAAGGATTCAAAAATGCTCAGAAATTTTTTGATTTAATTCTGATCCATCATTACTTTTCTTTTGTTAACTATTAGTAACAATAAGCATTCGTTGCATACAGGAATTGCTTATTCCTTCAATGATTCAATTCTATGAAAAAATAGCTATCCTAAAATTCGGAAATTACAATTTTCTTTCTTATAACATGTTTTACGACATCTCAATCTGTTAACTCTTTCTTGGAATGATATTTATAACTATAAAGATTAATAGTACTAATACAGGAGACGAATAAAACTAATATTTATATACAGTTTCTTAAGAGAGTTAATAATCTTATCAACTGCAAAATTTTTCATCCCATTGTGCTCATGATTTATAATTCTACGCTAATTTATGATTTCATACTTTGAAGTTTTGTAAATAGTTTTACTAGGCCTTAATTAATAATTTTAATGCTTGCACTGCTACATCAGAGTTTTTATGATTTCCAGAAAGCAAATACTGATAATGAAAACTATTTCGCTATTTACAGCACACCTATTGCAACCTTCATACGGAGGATAAGAGTGAATGATAGGGGGTGCTCTTTATTCTATATAATGTACAAATGCTACCAACTGCCATTTCGGGATATGGAAGTTGAATGATGATACATTTTTATAAAAAATGGAATAACAATAACAACTACTATAATTGCTTTCATTTCGAATTACTGTAACGGATCCTTTCTGTCAATTAAATAGCTGATACTAGTATCCAGGGAAAAACCTAGATTATAGCATATCCCAAAATGTAGGAAGTGATGCAATTGTAATTGTAGGAGGGATTTAAACTCTATCAGAGAAATTTAAAACTTGAGAAGAACGAAATTTTTTTAATCGAAGACAATGAATCGACGAAACTATAAAAAAATCCTGCGAATATTGTTGTCATAACGAATGTGAATATAAATTTAATAATTAAATGATTAAATCTAAGGTGTCAAATTAGTTCAAGTGACAAGTGTTTAGTAGCAAGTACAAACATAAAGTTAGAAAAAATCTCTTGATAAATGAAATGAAAAATGATTTTGAGATTAAATTCCATGTCAAATGTTTCTACATCAAAATATTCTAAAAAAGATATCCGCGTCCATCCGAGTGACTCAAAATAAAAATCATTTATGTCGAAGATGAAAAAGTTGGAGCGTTTCATCATCATACAAAACAGATAAGATTTCTTCATACACAACAAATGAGATTTCTCGTGAAATTGAGATTAAATTTCTGAATGAAATGAAAATTCGAACCGATTAACAAATTCTCTTTTAATTTTTCACAATCATAAATTTATGCATAGCAGTAATGCATTTTTTTATTGTCTAATTAAAGAAATTTATTGATTAGATATTGAAGAAATGTAAAATATAATAGGAAAGAAATGGATGGATCTATCGATAGGTGTTGAGAACATTCAATTATGGGGGAGAATTGGGTGGGACTATAATGGTGTTCCCGAAAAATCACACGAAAAGTTGTGACCCAAAGATAATGGAAATTTCAGAATCCTTTACTGGTATTTAATCAATTTATTTCTTATTTTTTATTTCATAATCTCTATGTAATTTTAATCAAATTTCAATGCGGGGACAAAGAAATCAAATAAAAAGGATTCCAATCATGATAGATGCAGTAGTCCTCAACTCTATACTCCTTTCATGGATCATTTAATTTGAAATTCAAATCGAAATTCTTTACAAAATCTGAAGATATATAGATCTTCCACTAAAAATAGGAAGATATGCATATCTTCCACTAAAACAGGAAGAGCATAATATATCTTATCAATTCCAGAAACCTCATAGTTTCATACTTTTTCTTTCGGAAAGTGGAAACAATCTTGAATTACTGTTTTTCACAACAACAGTGTATCAAAACTCCTTCCTTGATGTTATTTCGCGTACTGATTAAAATCGATTCTTGCAATGAAATATCTTCTGTTAATAATTAAAAAGAAATAGCAATGATGTCATTCAACAATAAAATTGATCCACTCTCAAATTTGACTTTATTTTTCATTTTCAATCTCCAGACATTTCCTGCAAAAATCAAAAGAAGAAAAGCAAATTTACAGATCTCCATCCTAGCTGATTAGAAACGAATAATACGGAAATTAATTAGCAAATAACTTGAACAACTCTTTGCATTTTATACGATCAGAATATTTTTCCTCCCGATTTTTTAAATTCCGGCCTCAACATTTCATGTTATCCTTTGCTTATTTAAGAAAATCTAAATATATGCAAAGTTAAATTAAAACGTAAAGAAGAAGTATTTTAGTTATGTGCCTGTCCTATTGGTTCACCAGCCCGAGGATGCGATCCAATGCCATTTATTCTATGGCATGATCTAATTGTTAACGGATGTCCAAACGTTACTGTTAACAGTCGTGATCCTGCACAGAAAGTTCATCGATGGTTTCGAAGGGCAAGTTTTTACAGATATTGAGAATCTACAAATGAACTCCAAATGTCAATCATTTACACAAATGCCATTATTTTGTTATAAAATGTTCCACTGTTTTACAACCGCGGAACTAAACAAGATCTTAAGCTTACCATAACGTGTAAACTACCGACTAATATTAATCATTTTTGCATGTAATACCTTTCCAGGTCAACCGATTCTCAAATACGGACCAGTGTGAGCCATACATATTCCCATATTGTGCTGAACTGGATTTCAATTTATGGCGTTCACCGAGGACTAAACGAGAATGCGAACTTTACTGTTATTCATTAGCGGAACAACGAAAACGTGGAGTCATTTAAACTGCAGTTTCCTTTTTATTTATTACATTTCGAACATGATGCACCTTTTCTATTCCTTGTTGAATGAAAAAAGAAAAAAAATGTAACGCCAAAATCGATACACAGCGGATGCATGCTTCAAGCTGATTCGAAGAGGAGATTCGTAATGCTATTATACCTCTCGTTTACATTCGGTATGACTATTTAGTTACTGGCGTCCATTATTTTAGAGACATGTTTCGAGCTATATATAACCGTAATTTGGTATCGAACCTATCCTTCCTTATTCTCTCATTTCGATCTGAGCCTCCAAATTTTTATGAATTTAGTGACTCAATGTATTATTCTACAAACATTCAGAATGTGTGAACAAGTATAAGTTCTTTATAGCTTTCACGACTCTTTTCTCAAGACTTACATAAAATTTCTTTCGAATGCAGTTTTCAGAAAATCTAATAATATTACTTATGGTATAAATGACTATACACATAAATGATTTAATGGAGGGAAACCCACCTGAAAGCTTAAATAAACACTTTACCAGTTCAGCAATCTTTACGCCATAGTTATGTTTGTAAATAAATAGCTACTGAAATCTTTGTTCATTGAAATCCGAAAAATTTTTATCTACGCAAAAATTTATGCAACGTTCGTCGAAATCTGATAGCTTGTACTTTGATTGCTGGCCAAAAAAGTTTGATGTTTCTATAGTACCACTCTCTAAAAGTAGAGAAGGCAATAATTTATGGCATTGGATCTTTTTCATTTCCACTTCTTAAACAAGAACAACAATTAAGTGATCAGAGAAATATTATATTTGGATTTGCTAAACCTGGCTCTTCAAAAATATACCTGTTGTAATTGGCAAGACTGTCATACTGTTCGTCAAGAAACTCCCTATAGAATTCAGACATATCAACAGCACTTGAATGCTCTAGTCTTCCAAGATTTTTCTTCTTCTGGAAAGATTAATTCAGATTTCTATATGGAAGAAGTAAACGATTTCTCTTTCACTTCCTCAGTCACCAAATAACTGAAAAAACTGACTAAAGTTCATGTTATAATGCAGGAAACTTAGTACGAACCTGTTCAACGAACTCTGCTTTTTTCTTTTCAAACAAAATATTATGATGCGTCCAAAATTGTGAGCTCCATTGAATTAGTGCTTCACGTGCTTCACGATATTTTTTTTCCTGTTCCGTCTCATTGGCTAATCGACGCAATCTTAAATATATGATCTCTAAATAATCTTGAAAAATTTATCTTTATTCCCTCTTATTTGCTGTCCCTTTATTTTATCCAACACTAATTGAAACTGATGGACGACATCCAAACATATCCTTTCAATTACAAAATCAGTGGACACCATCAACTAAATGACTACGAATACAAGTTTAACAAGCAGCCTACAAGTTTCTGGCGAACAATTAGCAACTTCATTTGCTCGGAACTTTTACAAATTAAGAAATTATTAACACGGACCTTACAGGCCTTATTTTTGAAATGTCATCCGGCGGCCCAACCCAATCGAATCGATTATCCAGACGTAAATCTTTTATCGATTCTTTCCCTGAATTTTTTCCTACTTGTTTCTCGCTCATAAAATCTGAAGATATTCGAACACATTATACTGAATTATGTAAACCATAACTCAGTGAAGCGGCAGAGACAGAAGCATGAATTGGCATTATAAAAGAATGAGATTACTCGAGATAGCAAGTGATATGCAGAGATCTGAAGCTTAGTGTTTGAGAAATGTTTTACTCTACAAACAGTTAACAACAGCAAAAGAGCATGAAGATCAGCTCAAACACTTTCAGCATCCAAACTCCTAGACAAATTCTCTCTCAGCAATACGAACATCCGTTCATATTCATGCATATTATGTCTGAAACAAATGATTCTTTAAAAAAAATGCACCAAAAGAACTTCAATCTCAAAACGAAGAAGCACATAAAAAAACATTTTTGAGAAAAAACCAATTCAAACTAACATCACGAGCAAAATTGGGCCTAGTAATTCCATTGTATTTGTTAAATGACGCAAGTAACTCCTTGTATAGTGTGCACAAGTATAACAGTTACAATTCTCACAGAGAGGCCTAAAATCTTCCGAATACCTGAAAGATATGCAGTAAAATAACCGAAAATAAGTAAAATAAATTGCCAGTTAAAATACATACGCATAAGATGTAGTGAGTGTTATAAGAATAAATACAAGCATCTAACAACAAAAGAGTCCAAAAATATCATCCAAAAAATAATTTCTTAAAATTATTTGTTTATATTATGAATCTGTAATTATCAAAACACACAATGGGTCAGTAAAATCAAATACGCTGAAAGTCGCCTCTGTCGGAAAATTTTCATCACAAACAAATGCTTTTCCTTGTTCAGCAAGAAATATAGCATAGGATGAGTCGAATAAATCTACGCCAAGATGTGTTAAAGCAACAACTTCCGTCGGTGAAAATGCTCCATTCACTAAACGTAAGTGAGAAGGCGATATGTGAGGCTGAAATATTTAAATATGATGCTATCACATTAAACTGTAAGCGATAGTTTCACAACAATAACTGGATAAAGAGAGATGCTTTACGTCATCATAATCATTATTGAAATAGGGAATGCAAGGTTTCGAGAAGATAAAACGAAATAGATTAAACACAATTAAATTTTAAATTTATTAAAACACCAAAAATGGAGATAACAAAACATCACTGTTTCCATTATTCTAAAATTCAAAAGTTTCGAGGTAACGCTGAAGAAATAACTTACCCACACGCCAGATAGCAAATCCTTGATAACATTCTTATCAAATTCACTTTCTGTGACAACCGGGTTCAAAGAATCAATATTTTCAGATTCTTCACAGCCAGAAGACTCCAGCTGAGCCGCCATATCAACAGCATCCATTTTCGATATTTTCTTTACTTTCGATTTTTTTGGACACACACGAAGACGTTTTGCAAATTGCATTACATCCAAAACAAAACCACAGCATTTTGGAAGTGAACCAATCAAAGACGCGCAACGTTCATGATGAGATGGGCTATGTCCACCACATAATGCAATTAATGCTGCTGAACCCTAAAATTTCCAAACAAAATCTTTACAAACATAATCACTGTGATCATTAACCTTAATCTGTAATTCAAAAAATCTGAAGAACCTCTTTGATTTAAAGGTGTCATGCAGTGATAATTTAACATGCAATATTTATTCCTAAAATCTGAGTTTGAGAAATGTAGTATTACGCTTGTCAACTTATCATTAAAACGTTTTGTTAGTATAACCAACATTAGTGATATAAGCCAACATCAGCATATTACTCTACATTAGGAATGAATTAATAAACAGAGGAGTTTTAAGAAAAACATCTTTAATTTATTTCACAGACGAAGTAATCTGAAATCAACCTTAAAAGAATCACTACGAAGTAATTCTCTCGAAAATCTGACTGTTCGTTCCAGTGCTTTTTCCAATCTTTTATTAGAACATCCTTCTGGAGTACCATAATCAAACATTGTTTCGTAGGACGACACATGACTGAACCTTAGTAATTTCTTGATTGTTTCGATATTAACCTAAAAGGAATCAACAAGATTTTTCTTTTTTTCGATATTTAGTGAAGATATACCCATTAATTCAACAGTACTTGAAGTAAGCAGATATACCAGCTCTGGTTTTAATTTCAATTACATAAGTAAAAAGAAACATAAATTTCGTCGTCCTCCTTTTGTCCAAATTGCAATATTCCCGCCGTTGTTGAATTTCATGCTTCGTTCCATCAAAGGGTCCGTTAGTGTCAGATGGGTTGGTACACCTTCCTATAAAAATTCTTATACTAATCGGCGTCGTCACTACATACCTATAAAACTTTATTTTTTAAAAACAGAATTTCAGAAAACCTAATTATTATCTAATTGCACTGAAAAAGTCAACAGAGTTATGGGACATACCAGAATCTTGATTACGCCATAACGAGATTTTTGTAAAATGAGTGGATTTATCCACCTATGATATTACACTGATGAAGGTCAAACAGTTGGAAAATGGAAGAAAATACTAACTGGCATAGACGCGAATCGAGCAATTCCTTTGCCGGATTTTTCAATAACTGCCAATGCTTCGAAACTATGAATTGAATGCATAAAAACAAAACCCAAAAAAATTTAACATAAAAATGTGCAACGGTTTCATAAATATATTAAGACCGAATACTTTATCCTTTTGAATTTTATACAACTGTTCAGCTTAGCGATTAATTTATATTGTTGGATGCAAAAAAAATATCAAAAAATACCTTCGTTAAAACTGAAATAAAAAAGCTGAAAGGATTTCTGTAAAATAATAATAGGAAAATTTACAATGAAGGAAGAGTGATCTGATAAATAGGAGACTGCCGATGTTTCAGATGTGCACTTGCTACATTCCAAGTCAAGTGTGGAATACAACCACCACGCGTATATATCATGAAGGATGGCGTTTCGTGCTCCATAGTAACATCACCCCAACGAAAAATTTTTCCGATTCGTCCATTCACAGTACTCCGCTGTACCATAAATTTAATCATCTGAACAAAGCATAATTTTCGGTTTATTCAATATCCTGAAATTTTGTATTGCGAATGGTTCAGATGATAACAGTTATTAATTGAAATTGACCCTCAATATTTGACAGAAACTTGAAAGAAGTTCTTTATTACAACTGATTATAAATTATGGAACAAATTATCTGTAATGTACAAACCATTTTTTTTTAAATCTTTGTGAAACAAAATAAATTCAGGTTAAATTTCATTTAATTATGAAAGCGCATTTTAATGTAAGTCTCACTTGAAAATAAGGAAGCAAAATAACAACTTAGACAAAAGATAAGCGCAAGCACTGAAGGAAATCATGATTTATGAAAAAAATTTTTAAATGTTAAATATGACAGGCATCCGAAAAAAAGAGGATTAGAAACTGCAATATTCTTCATTTTGATTTCAGTTTTTCCATTAGTTTCTTCAATTCATTATCACTGTCAATTCCCTTTGCCCATGACGGAGCAGGAAGACTGAATGATGACATCGTCTTCTTAATTTGTTCTATTTTATCTAAAACAGTAAAACGAATGAGCTGCAAGTCAGTAAGCAAATACAATTTTGACAGTATTACTCATTCTTAAAATCATCACCTGTCAACTAAATTATCATTATTTTGAAGTGCCTACTTGGCAGTAACCAACAAATAGCATTTCGCGTTACCCAAAGCTTTTGAATGTATATTCATTTCTTCTCTATTTGACCGCTTTTGTCTATCTGATCCATCTGACCTAACTGACTCATTTCATTTCCATCCGTCTAGTTAGTAGTGTTAAGCTTCATAAGAAATTAGGGCTTTGCAACTTATGTTTTAAAAAATTTACCTTCAGTCAGTTCAATCGATTTTGCAGCATTAAATTCGAAGCCGGAATTTCTATTTTCTGAACTCAAAACCTGAAATATTGTTCAAATGAAGATTAAGTGCAAAAAATTATTTTTAAAATATTACACTCTTCAATGTAACAAAATTAGAACAACACAGAAGCACTGCACATAGACTAACCCTCTCGAAATCCTTTTGAACTACTGCATTGGTATGATCGCGATCAGTGCTTGTGACCTCGAATGAGTTATCCGAAGTAGGAAGAATCTGATAACCAGAATAACGATCTCCATCATTCCCATCACATGAGTCCGATTTCGTTTCACTTATATCGTCTACAAAAACAGCAGTGAAATACAATAAATGACTCAGTAATCAGACTAATCTGAATTTCATCGCAATCCCCATCCAGCTTCAAACTTCCATAATTAATTCCAAAGGCCATCCATCATTAAATGAATCTATTTCAAACGTGCCAACTATCAATCTATTTTTAAGCTTCAATTTCATTATTATGATGTGTGTTATAAAATAATTACATAGTATTCATCTCCTCAAATTTCCAATTGAAAAAACCAATCCACTTAGGAATGAAAATTTGTATATACCTCCACTATCTACATACTCTTCGACACCAATGCCATGCATTTCAACTTCATAGCCAATGTGCCAGTCATCATCACTTTCTCGATCACCTCAAAAAAATGTGATTTTGTTAGTACTTACAGAAGCCACTGTGTTATATTCATGGTTTTAATTTTTAATCTCCGATTTCAGTATTTTTCGGTTGACAAACTATATCCCCAATGCAAGCAAGCAAACAGAGGAAAAAACTAAAACAAAGGCAAAGCCATTAGTCATCAAAGAACTTATATCTTCTTTCTTATCTTATTAAAAAGGCTTATGAGAATCCCGTATCAGGTAGTCTTACATTATATACCGGTCGAAAGTATAAAAATGTTCAAACTTAAGATAGATTATGAACCACAAATAATCCTCACCATCATTGTCAGTGATATTCTGTTCCCGTGGATTCTGCTCTATTGGACTTGGACCCATTGCGTGATTATGATAAGGATAATGAACACATTCACTAGATATAAAGATTTAACAGCTTTCTAATATAGATCATATCTAAATATAAGTTATACCAATAATCTGCTCTTGTTAGAAATAGTAAGGAAAACTACTATCCAAACACTTCTTCCTGATAAATTTGACCATTTGAAATCTTAATGTGCTGAACTTATTCAAAGACCAATCAAAATAGAAGGTAATAACGAAGTTTAACCTATAACACATGGCATTATCTCACATTTTCCAGCCGAAGCCATTTATTTACTTCAAATAATAAAATGAGTTACGATCATAATTTCCAATTCTCACATTTAAAGCAAGTATTTTATCTCATGTGGCACACTTCACAACTTCGAAAAAACTATAAAAGTTATTTCGAAAATAAATATCTCAACACGAAATAAATGAAAAACCAAGTATTGAATAAGAAACAGAAATTAAAATACGTAAAATAAGAGAAATTTCAAAAAAAAAAATGGAGCAAATAAATTGTAATTATTCTGGAACACAATAACACCATCATAAGCAACGATGCCCTGAGCAGTGGAAGTGGAATCATTAGTTCGAAGTACAACCACTAGTCGGAAAAATAGTCAATTATTTCAAATACGAATATCTCAACAACGAATATCATCACGGTCGAACAAAGTCCATGTTGGCGAATCCACTAGTTGCAAATGTGATTGTGTGATTGAAAATCGCTCCTAAATCTGAAAAAAAGTTATTTAATTTGAAATCCCAGAATAGTGCATGGAAGTGAAGGAAGTAAGAATTCACGGGAAATTTTCCAAAACCAAACCATATGACAACTGTTTTGCTAACACGTGATAGTTACCTATAAAGAATTTTCAAATAAAGAATTGATTCTTCCATCTTATCAAAAAGATAAGAAATTCTATCACGAAAAGAGTAATTTTGTTTCAGTTTCAGTTCAATTTTATCTCCACTGAATATAATTTCCGGAACTTCTACAAAGCTTACTATGAGTAAGAACCCATCATCATCTCAAAAGTTCCTGAAATGAAGTTATAGAGACTTAATTATTCATGACGTCGAAGACGTGACAAGTTTGGTCAAATGAATTGTCAAATTTTTGGACTACTACTTTCTATGTAAGTCGAATAATCCAAAGTACCTTAACTAACTTTAAGAAACAATCTGACCTTAAGCTTAAAGTGCTGCATGAAAGATAAGAACTAAAAGAATTTGTGAGCAAGAACTTCAAAGTAAAAAAAAAGCATAGCAAAGTTGGTAGTGTTCGGTATAACAAAGTTACATGAACAAAAGTGATGCAATACCAGTCGAAAGCTGAACGATTGTATACTGCTTTGACCACAGAAATCATTTTGATATATACAGCATAGATCTCTATCATCTCGTAAAGATATCATCTCCACGCAGAACTGTTGAAAACATCATAAACCTTTACGAAATTATTTTCATTTGAATCTTCTACGTTTAGAAATCCAACATGAAATGTTATAAAATTCCTGCCACTGATAATTTCTGGCTGTCAAACCAAAGCTTCATCACCAATTCTGAAAATAATTGTGGAGAAATGATTTAATTTAACAATATAGAAATAAAATGAAATGATTCAGAAAAATGTTAGCTTGATACATAACACAAAAAAATGTTTTTTAAAAACAAAAATGATTGCGTTTAGAGAAAAATGATGCAATGATATTTACCCAGCGCTATACTTGACGAATGAATCAAAAAAAGTACGCTTCTGCGAGAAATTTCTTAATTTCGAAAAGCATCACATGATCCAGAAATAAGTCGGTAAGGTGACGTTGATCTCAAGATCAAATGCGTGAAGTGTTTGAATTCTAATGTACTGGAACAAACTCTAAACTCAATTGGACAGTTTATTAGGAATAGGTGGAAAATCATTACTGTAACAGATTTATTGGCCACTGAGGAAATATCATTGCATCATTCAGCATACTTTTTCAAGTTTTAATAAAAGAAAAGCTGAAAATTTAGCTGAAAGTCAAATCGGCCAAACGAAAAACCAGTAAGTGTGGAATCAATTAATAAAACCCTCCCGATTGTTATTGTTATTCTGCGAATTGGAATATAAACTCTCAACTTAGTTTGATATGTAGTTTGCATGTCTAAATACAAATACCAGCACCGACATCTGGTATTTGTCAAAGTATATAATTTCTGCAGCTTTTTTGTAAATACTAGATATCAATAAACTCCAGAATACTCACGAACAGCGAGATGATAACGCAAAGTTCCATCTAGATGAAAAGGAGAAATGAAAACAAAAAGGACCAAATCTCCTAGTTACCATGTAGTGAAGATGAAAACATCTGTACATAAGAATCACATTATTGACCGCATTTAATTGTGCTCAAGTTTTAATCGATGTAATCTAAAAAATGATGAGCTCCAATACTATCAACACATAACTTCTGTCCGATAACAATTGGCAGCAAGCCATCGTCCAATGATGATTCGAGCCAAAGAAAACATTTCTTGAAATATAACTTCAAAATGTGTGCACTAGTCTGAAACGCATTAAGTTTTACTTATTTATTATAAACTAACACAGACTATCACATAGGTTGTTTGAAAACATAATTCAAAATGTGGAAGCTACGAAATATAAACGATTAATGCTTGAACTTAAACTTACTGCGAAAACATTCCGATGCCGTCTTAGCAGCCCATCTTCAACGGGATCAAATTCACTTTCGTCTCATGGATATCTCCTCATAACCAAATACTCTCGCCCTTCTCAATCATCCTAAACGAGAATCCACTCATTTGCATCGCTCCCTTCCTCCGAAGTTGACCTATGAGAATATTTAATGGTTTAGCATATGACGAATTATGAAACAGATGGTCCGAGGTGATAATTCAAACGGATTTTGATCGTTTTATTAATTACGCCAAATAATGCTTTCTTTGACGTGTCCAGTAAAGATTTGTTGATGAAGATGAAAAATAGTAGTACAAAATCAATAGTAATTGAAAAGTCACTGACCGGATCAGAGATAGAGAGATTTTTGCTAAGCTTAGTTTCTTAATTTCGGCCAAGACAGATATGTTCACCTGAACAATTAAATTTTGGCCAAGTGCAGCAGTTAAATAGGTTAGCTATAGATAGGAAAAGAATAGCATTATTCATAAAATAACTCAAAGAACAGTGGTAGAAGTTAGTTAGTTGATAGTAGAAAGGAACTTAGCTTAACCATCGATCCTGTTACATTTACAATAGCCTGACCATCAGCATCGACCATTTTTATCATATCACTAACTCTTTTACTACCTTATCATCGATATTTCTGCAGCTCCGAGCATGTTTTAAGATTTCATTTCAATTACATCTGACGATTGATCATCTGATATTATTATCTATTTAAATTTGATGTATTTTCAAATATTTCTACTTATATTGCTATGAATATTAAGTTTGCAGATGATCGATTTCATAAGTAATTCATTCGAAAATTGTTTTAATGTAAATTGTTCAGTTGTAAAGAATTTGTCCAGAATAGATGCATATACTTTGTGGTCATCTTTCTCACAATTTTTTCTGCGGTCATCTTCCTCATAATTTCATCAGTACGTTTCCACTAAATTAAAGAATAAAAAAATTGTCTATAATGTTTGTCTATAATTTTGGTCAGTACAAAATAAAGTTTTTGAATATTTTTACCAAAATCGGAAATATACAAATAATTTTGCTAAAGTGAATTTTGAAACTGAAGAAGAGAGAGAAGAGATATGAAAATAGCATTCCGTCCTTGTCATGGACTGAAGACATTTTGGCTAAGATGTTCGAGATGAAACCCAAGATTGACCCTTATGAGAAGCGGAAATTATATCACGAAACAACTTTTAAGCTTTCGAAAATATAATATAGATGATTACAGCAAATTGTACACAGTAAATGATTTAAAATATTTATTATGTCATGTGAAGTACTCGGTAGTGAGCTATTTTTCAAGTTCATAACTGGGAAAATATTTCAATTTCTGGAATTAGATTTAACATTTTACGATTTCCTCACAAAACTCACTATAATTATGCACATATCTAATCTAAATGAAAATAATGAAAATTATAAATCATTTCTATAAATCTGGTAAGGTTGCTTTGAAAAAGTCAATACCAGTAGGATTCACGTCTATGGAATAAAAATCATTAGGTTTTAGTAAGCCTTTAAGCTCACCGCTCCATAAATCTTCTACTAAATAGCCAGCGGAATTATTCAGTCCAATTTTCGATAGCAAAAAGCGCACATTCTGTAATAAATATTGAAATCTGAGCAAGAAATCAAAACAAATATTACAGCTAATAATATGAAATTACTAATCTAACAGTTTATAAAAGAATGATAAACTAAATTATGAATTGATCGGTACTTTTTAAGGTTAAATTTAAGATTTTGGCTATGCCAAATATCGATTAATAAGGAATGATATCATTTTGAGGTACTAATAAAGTCTCAATTGATATTCCAATAAAAGGGTTAAAAAGAAAGTGAAAAGTTCACGAATGTTTTTTCCATTAAATAAAATACTTTTACTCATATTCTCAACTATTAAATTAAAGTAAATTAAAATGTACAAATATGGAAATAAAAATGTACCATCTTTTGGGAAAGATTACGATTGAAAATAGCTACAGCATAGGAATAACGATGAGCCGATGGTTCTGCTGGAATTACAGGTTTCACATAAATGCCTGTATCGGTGGTCTAAAAAAAATTGTTTATTGAAGTGAAGAAGAAAGTGATAAAATTTCCTTCTCAACTAATTTGATCTTAATAATTTGTTCAAAGTACTAAATATATTATGTAACAAACTTATTATCATAATATCTAAGACATATTGGCAATGTCACTTTCACAAACTCAGACTTCGACTTATCAAATTGTTTAAAATTGAAAAGGTATGCTCAACATTGAAATGATTTTAAAAGATGAAAAAGACAAAAAAAGAAAAGAAGAATGAAAGAACGACTGGCAGGAGCTAAAATTATTTCTCTTTTAAATTTCATTTTTATGAATGTAATAATAGTGAAATGACGCGAATGAGTAATAAATCAATGAAAAAAATATTTGGATATAAATCGTATGTGAATTACGTGTTAATAAATTATACTAACATTAGCAACCAATCGTCCCATGATACCAAGTGGATCCTGATCAATAGCAATAACCCGTCTATTTAATAAAATATCCCGGAAAACGGGAGCAATCATTCTCAAATCATTAGACATAATTAACGGTGAAGACCAAATTGACCAAATAGACATTTGAACTTTTGCTTGATCAACCGTTAATTCCGTATTTCCTACAATGATCTGAAATTTCAAAAAAATTCTTTAATTTCATCTAGAAGAACCAAGTATTTTTAACGGATAAACTAGATATTATTTTGTTACAAATTTAGAAATTATAATAATTTCTAAACTGATAATATTATTTTATTCCTTCTCACAATTATAATCCACTTTATTTTATGTTCTGAGAAAGTAAATCAAATTTGAAATGACTAAATTTCTGATATTTATAAGAAATATACCATGTCGGGATCATGCCATCTTCCAGGACCCTGTGCAGGAATATGTTTATCTTGGTGATGATCATAATAATCGATGATAGTTCTTATGGAAGCCCAGGAACGCTTTATATCGTCAAAATTACGCCACAAATTACAATGTTCTCCAATTAACTGATAATTAACCTAAATAGGAAGAATGAATAGCTAAAAAGGTATTTTCTTCTTATTTTCGTAACATTACGACAAATAATAAATGATTTATGAAAGGATTGAATGATCTGCAAAAGGATCAATAATATTTTACATATTAGTATTATCAGGTGAAATGTTTGTGATATAACTGAGGTACGATCACACTTCCTGCTATCATATCAGATCAATTTTTTCGCGTCATACTTTTACACTTTTCACATGATTCTCAAAAAAGTTATTGATTCTTGTATGCATCATTCGATTACAAGTTACTGGTGAACATAAATAACACATGATGCTAATATTCCTCATCTGATCATAACGATCATAACTGTTGCACTGCTCATTTTACGAAGTGTTATCTCTTCTATACTATCATGAAGTAATCCGTCCAACATTCTAAAAAAAAATCTAACTCTAATTTAGAAATGAAAAAATTTTATGGGATTATATTCATACAGAACCAAACAACCTTATCCGGTTGATTAATGAGATAGGCGGGCCAACTGCATGAATAGACGATAGGCCGACCAGTTAAATTTAGCATTCGACCCATTTCAATATAGCCTATGTTAAAATAACAGAATGATTAGAGTATTAACTGATAGGAATAATTGAACAATTATCAAAGTTAGATACATTAATAATTCATCTGAAAAAATATATTTGCAAATGAAAATTTATGAAGTATATACATTCGGGTGGAAAAAGGTCAACATTGCAAATTACATTCCGAATTTGGTATAGTGTAAATTCTTCCCGAACTCTTAGATGCCAAATGCGCAATTAATAATATCTGACTTATACCATCCTTCAATTTCTGGTGTTTTCAATAAGTAATAAAACGATGAACTCACCTGTCGGCATCAGATCGACATTAATATTACAACCATCAAGCTTGAGATAATCAACCTGCCACTCAGCAAATGTATCAGCATCTATTTTTGTATGTTGATAACTGCCTGGAAAGCCAGCACATGTAGCTGTACCATAATCTTCATAGATACCGAATTTCAGACCACGCTGATGCATCTAAATTCTGGCAAATTTCAAATCCTCATTTAAAAGACAATAAGATAACTGATGTGAATTTTATTTTTTTACTGCTAGTTCTTGAAATTTCTCAATGCTTTAAAAAAATCCTCACTAAAATTTTAATTCCTTTCAAAACTCATATGAACTTATTTTAACACATTTATTTACTATCCGAATAGCAAGCTAACATAATCAGCAAGCGCAGCCATTCCGCTTGGAAATCGTTGCCGATCCGGAATAAGACGATTGTTGTGATCCCTTTCTCGTTCCATCCAGCAGTCATCAACATGAACATATTGATAACCTGCCTGCAGATAACCATCTTCTACTGAAATGATAAATGACGAAATAATCTTTTGCATCATAAAAAATAAGAAAGAGTCGAAAGTTATTAAACAGAGATTTCAGTGATTAATTCGAAGTTGATTTCGCTATTTTGAAATTTTTTAAAATTTATTATCATTTTTTTGTTTAATATATTTTATACAAAAGTAAGTTTGAATATATTGCAAGAAATATGAAGCTGTTGTCTTAGCTTACCCATACGATCGGCCATATCCATGTAAAGTTTTTCACTGATACATGTGAAAGGATGCTGTAAGCAATCCATCTGACAGTAAAATTTCGTCCAAGACATCCATCCCATTGGTGGTGTCCTAACAAAAGGAAATTTTTGATGAATTTTTAAACTAAGAATTGAAACTAAGACCAACCAGAAAGGTGCACCTGTTTAGCTCAATTTCATCGATAGAAGAAGAATGCATGGATAAAATGAAAGAAAAGGAAAAATGGATTTAGGATAAACAGTTATGCTATTTTTATTAGGCCGAGAAAAAGAGGGAAATGATCTGATCTTATCACAAGTTATTGCATATTTGCCTAAATCAATAGAATAAAATAAACAAACCTAGCTAATCCGTTTTCTAAAGTTTTACCAAAATGTGCTGTTGTCGCTAAATAAAACAGAACGAAATACTGATTCATAGTGAGATCGCATGTAATACAAAGTGGTAGTGCCTGAAAATATTCATAACAGCAATTGATATTAAAAGGAAACTTATCTAGCTGCACTCATTAGTGATTGTGTAACATTATCATAGTAATAAAAAAGAAGCGAGTGAGAATTGTCTATAAAGATCTGATTGATAAGTTTTATTTGCAAAAGAAAAAGAAAAACTTATAGTTTCAATGATTTCAGTTGAAATTAAAAAAAGAAGGAACGGAGCAAATTTTCTTATGTGATTTTATACGATAAGAAATTATTGAAACATATTTGAAAGAGTTAGCCGTAAATTAATTGATTATTTAGCATGAAGAGATATCTCAGGCTGTCAATTAGTTTGGAAAACTTCGGAAGAAAAATGAAAATACTATCAAAGGGAGCAATTTAAATGAAAATTATACATATTTTTTGTGATAAAATAATATTTCTGAGAGAGAGAAAGGGAGGATTTTTTTTAATCAATATATTTTTAAATGCATTTGAATAAATAATTATGGCTAATCTGACAGCTTGCTAATTGTAAAACAAAGAAGAGCAGTGAGAAATCTCACTATTTATTATTATTATTATTATTGTTATTATTATTATTAATTATTATTAATTATTTTGTTTGGAAATTTCTTCGTCGATGGCAAGTTGAATTTGTAGTTGGAATAGATTTTTTTGCAACATAATATGTTCACCGTTGAAAAAAATTTATTTTTTTCACTCATTCCTTATACTTTAACTGATATCAATTTTAATTAGTTTTGTTTTTAGTTTCAAAGATTTTTAAGAAAAGTAAAATTCATTTGAAATCTAAGAAAACAAGGCCAGAAATATTGAAGGACGAAAAACCAATCAAAAATTATTATATTGCGAATTGTTATTATTCAGATAATGTAGCAATTGAATATAACGCAGGTTAAAGCAAAGGTAATTAACGGTTTTTGCATCGTTGAAATTTCTTACTTCTTCACATACATTCTTTTAATTGAAGATACAGCAAGCAGAAAATATAAGTAATTTATAGACTTAAGTTAGATGAATCGAATTGTTAGATGACAGATTATCAAAGAAATCATTTTGCATTTGACTAAAAATAGATGTGAAATTAAAATGCTATAAAATAAAATTGAATAGCTCAAAGTCGAAATTAAACAATTAAATGTGTAATTAATGAAATATAAGATTTTGGAGAAAATTTTTTTTTAATTCAAAAATTTTTATTATTTAACTGAAATAAAATCACTGTTAAACTGTTGCATACAAAACTGAACTTTAAATAAACAAAATTATGCTTTACAACATATATACTCTCTTTATGCAATTTGTAAAATAAATTTAAACACTCCAAAAATTTATATAACAAAATTTAGAATGTCAGTTGCATTTAATAATTAATAATTATGAAAAACAATGCGCCACCTAAATTATTAATTCAAAATTTAATGATTTATATGTATTAAAGTAATTAGAGTAATTATTAAATGAATTATTTGTCATTTTGCTTTTAAATTCCATGCAAATATTTCATTGAAACACTTTGTTCACTAAAATTTCAGAATAAATTGAATAAACTTTCAAAGATAATGAAATAAAAAAGTTTGAAAATATTCGACACAACGAAACATTTGAAATCGTTGAAAATTCTAATCAAACATATGGGAAATAAGAAATTACCCTTGCAATTATCAATGAAACATTGAAATAATATTAATTAATTTTCCTAATTAAACGTTTGAAAGAGAAAAAAATCGATTGAAATTTGCAAATGAAACCAAATTATCTTTTTGATATTTTTATTGATTGATGTTAAAATATGCAAATATGAGTAATTTGAATATTATGATGTAATAAATGAGTCATATACTTTTCATTGTAAAAAATTAAATTTACAAAATTATCAAATTAAAACAATTAATTGCATAATGAAACAAACAAAATAAAAATTTCAATTAAGAACTGAAAGCTTTTCTCAGTCAATGAAGAAATAATCGGTTCAATCTCAATATGACACTTTCTATTGCTTTTATTTTAGGCTTTTTTTTTGAGATAATATTCCGCCTGTTTCCTTTAATAGCTAAAGAAGTAAATTTTGATGAATTTGTTGTTAAAAGAAAAAGATTAAATTTATTTCTGAAAACATGCAAAATGGGCGAAAGAAACATAACGAATAGTTCGTATGGCAATGAAAGTTTCATTTCAACAACACAATTTTTCGTTCTTTTTATTTTATGCAATAAAATCTTTTGAAATTATTTTGAAATGAAATTAAAAATGCTGTTTTCTTTGCAGCAAACTTTTTATGCTTCGATTACAAAAAATACTACAGACTATTTCAATCTTAATCGAAAATTATTAACAAATGAAGTAAATGAAATATGATTACATTCTTCAAATGAGAAACTTCTCGTATCAAATATCAAAAATACTGCAGCATATGTTTTAAGATAACAGGAAATCTTCTCTCTTATTAATGACTGAATATTTAAAGCATTTCGATGAACCGGAATAGTAAGTACCATTCATAAAGAAATTTGATAAATTAAAGAAAGTTGTATGTCTTTTTTCGAAAAAATATAATAGCAACAAAAATAATAATTAATTATGAAATGGAAATGATTCGTATCAGATCAAATGTCAATGAAATTGAATGGATTCTGAATCGTAAATTATTTCATTTAAATGAATTTCAGTGAAACTTGTTTAATTTCCCAAAGAAAACTTCCGGTTTTTTAAAAAGTATTTAAATCAGAAATAAATTGAAAGCGATTTTATGAGTTTTAAAAGAAGAAATAAAGAAAAAGCATGAAACTTTTCAAAAATAGCTAACGAAGAATTCGTTGCAAAAAAATTCAAATAATGTGATGAAAAGTGAATTGAATGGCTTGAAGAAACGATTATCGAATGTATGAATCAGCGATGCTAAAAAGTGATAACATGTGATTGTGGTAGTGATAAAAGATAAATCAATGGAGAATGCAACTCAAATATCATTTCATCCATCATTGCCTCGCAAATTACAACGATGTCATTAATCGACATAAACCGGCACATTCACGATCAGCAGCGCATTTTGATCTAACCTGATCAAGGAACGATAAGCGCAGCGATATGGTTATAAACTAAATTTGTTAAGCAGAAGTTAGCTGAGAAATATAAAGTTGAGAGAATTTTAGAGCATTTTTTTTTGCTAATAGCAAATAATGTGATAGTTATGCAACATAACTTATTATCAGCTCATTCTCGCGATATCTCGATCCATTTTTTTCAACTTTACCTTTTCATTTTCAATGCATTTTATTTCATTCATCATTGCCCCGTAAATTACATCGATGTCATTAATCAACATAAACCAGCACATTTACGATCAAATAAAACAGCTAAGTCATCAAACACCTGAAACATGAAATGATTGTTCAGTTGAATTTCTTCTACCAGAAAAAAAATCACCACTTCGGTGTAATGATCCAGAACTGATCTGAAAATAAGAATTTAAAACTTTATAATACCGAAATTGATAAAACTTGTTGAAGTTAAGCAGTGCATATATAAGTATCAGCCAGTAAAACAAAATAAACTTCGATATTGTTTAATTCAAATCAAATTAAATTTTACGAGAAATTCATTTAAAATTATTTCTAAATAAGTAAATTCAATAATTTGAAAAATAATCATTCTCGTCCAATTATGGGTGGTCTTTGCTTTCCAATCGATGCCTATACATAAAATAATTCTGTTTACAATAGCGCACATCAAAAGAGTATCAATGATTGCAAATCGATCAATGTTGCATCATTGTCTGTTTTATTATCATTCCGCAATTCTATTTTCTACCACGACCATTCGCAGATTTGATCATTTATATTTGTCTATTAGTGTAATTTGATTTTCTACTATACTCTCATGAGAATTACTTTACAATAGTGGGAATTTTATAAATGGTTACTGTACGAATTAGCATACCAATGTTGTAAAAATTCAAGAAAATTTAATCACTTCGGCTGATCGATTGACTTTTGAGAACCCGACAGAATGAAAGATTGTGAGTAGCATGAAAGTATGAAGCATGAAAGAATGTTGTAAAATTGTAAGTGGGATTGATTATCTTCCTGATTGTGCAACATTTCAAAAAGTGATGGCTGATAGATATTTCACAAGCTTAATTGTTTGTGAACGTGAGTGTATCTCAAACGAAAATATCTATAGAAGGTTATAGATATACATGATCATGAGGTTACAGGTATACATGATCATCATCACTTACTGCAAAAAGCAAAGTAAATTAATTTTGATTATTTCATTTCAGAACTTCCTGCAAATACTACTTCAAAAGATGTTTTGCATAACATTTTAGCAATGCAGAAATCGATTTAAAATACTAAAAATTGATTTAAACATCATTGAAATTATTTGAAATCAATGAATGCGTCACCGAGCGGAATTGTTTGTCGTTCACGTCAGAGTATATGGCCAGCTGTATCGGTGGAAGAAGCAATGGCCATGATAGAAGAACACGCTCCATTGACAAATAGAACACGTACAGTCCTCATTACAGATGTAAAAACAGGTATATATTTACTAATTTAAATCATTCCAAAAATGTTAACTATTCAATAAAGAGTGAAATGCATGCCGTATGTTTCATAACAACAACTGAAAGACAATTTTGCGTAAGAATTCCTTCACCTATATGAATTTATTTTTTCCCATAAATTTTATATATTATACGCTTGTGGGAGTTATCAAGAGAACATGCAGGAGATGTTCTGGCGGAAGATGTGATTGCGACAAAAGCACATCCTGAGATACGTACATCTATTAAAGATGGATATGCTGTTGTGGGTTGGTATTCAAATATTCAGCTATGTCTATTCTATTAATTTAGGAGTAATAAAAAACTGCAAATGTTAGATTAAGATATCTTATATGGTTTTCTTTGTTGACGCAATCATTTGCAACAACATAGGTTTTTAACGAGTGATATTTGAAGCATCAGATGGCACAGGTATTCGAAAGGTCGTGACTGGAACAACCGCTGGTGTTTTGGCTTCCGATATTCTCCAGCCAGGCACTATCTGTCGTGTAAATACAGGTTGAATTTCAAGTGAAATTGAAAATTAATTCTGCAAATTTTGCTACCGTTTAAATAAATTGAACTTATTATTAAGTGCTCAGATGCCAACCTCTTAACAATTTTTTTTGATTTATCTTACCGATTTTTTTCATTTATTCATATATCTACTAATAAATACTTCAACTCTGAATTATTTGTTTGAAGATATTAGGTTGGTTAAATTGGTCTTTTAAACAGACTTTATATTGTTTCAAAAGAAACTTTATCAACGGTAAATTACTTTACTCGGATCTTATTTTACAAGTTAATTGTTAAGGTTCCATGGTACCAGATAATGCGGATGCGGTAGTACAAGTTGAAAATACTCGTATTGTGGAGCATAATGTTAGAAAACATTTATTTATTTGACTGTATAATAAATCAACATTTTTAAAATTCAGATTTTATTACTTCAAAGAGATTATTTACTTGTTTTCAGTGCAAATTTTTATAGTCATTTAAATTTATAGATTTTATGTGATAGAATTAAGACGAATAATGTATTCAATTTTCAGCACATTGAAGAAATTAGGGTAGAGATTTTGGATGAACCGAAGATTGGACAAGATATCAGGTAGGATAAAATTCTTTAGCTATTGAAAGGATTTTATGAAGAGGATTTTATGAAGTTAGCAGAGATAATTTAAAAGTAATTGAAGATTTCAGAAATATAAACAGAGATAATTGTGGGTTTTAACCTGATCTTGAAGTGCAGAGAGAAGTCTGAATAAGGATTTTTATATTTGTTATGAGCGGAAGTGAGTTCACTGGATCCGGAATTTGATATTCATATTGCAGGGAAATTGGCTGTGATATCAAATTGGGTGAAATCTTACTTTCTAAAGGATGTGTAATAAGTGCAGCTGAAATTGGCATTTTAGCAGCATCAGAAAGAAATTTCGTAAAAATATATCGGAAACCCAAAGTGGCAGTTATTTCGACAGGTCATGAAGTAAGTTGTGAAAGGGAAGGATGACAATCAGATGTACTGATTTATTTAAGGAAGTGCTGAAAAGTTCTGATCGAAGTACCATAAAACTGAAATCCTTTTTTTTTAATTGAGAAGTGAAATATGGATCGGAAAAAAATGATATAGAATTTAAGGTAGTGGACAGCAGATCAAATGATTGTCCATTAGGATCAATACGGGACACAAATCGTCCACAACTTATTGCTTTGCTAAAAGAAAATAATTTCAAGAATGTGGATATTGGCATCTTACCAGATAAGTTAGTTTTTTCTTTTAAATTTGAATCAAAAATCGATAGCAATTATTGGATTATTTTAAACTGAAGAGATTTGAGCAATGATGGATTATTAACAATTTAACCTTTTATGCTCTTTTGGAAAGGAAAAATTAGAAGAGGGACTGAAGGCAGCACTAATGTTGTGCGACGTTGTTGTTTGTTCCGGTGGCGTTTCTATGGGTGAAAAGGTATCAATTTTATAATATTTTATGAAAATTATTGGATGGACTCAATCAAATTAAGGAGCGCAACATTTTATAAACGATTTTATAATCAAAGACTGTCACTAAATAACTTTGTTAATCAAGGATGGAGTTCGGATAACGATCTTTGACCATCGCATTATATTACAACAAAAATCTCTATGACATGATCAAAGCGATTTTCCGAACATTAGTTGAATAATATAAAACGGATTTAAGGATTATCTCAAAGATGTGCTACAAAAGGGATTAAATTTCACGATCAAATTCGGTAGAGTAATGATGAAACCTGGTTTGCCAACTACTTTTGCGCATGGAAAATGGAATAACAGGGAAAAAATTATTTTTGCTCTACCCGGAAATCCCGTATCAGCATGGGTTACTGCGCAACTGTTCCTATTACCTACACTGAAAAAGATGGCAGGATGGGAACAATATCAGCATACGGTTATTAGCGTTCGGGTAAGTGCTTATTTTTCCCAACAAATATCATACCTTTCACCTCCTTTAATTTTTTAAATTTTAGGTTCAAAATAAGGTGAAATCAACAGAAGGGGAATTAAGTTTATATGAAAAAATTTATATAATACAAAGGAATTTGTTATTCTTAACACCGTTCATCACATTTTGAGATTTATTTTAACTCCAAAGTCTGAATAGAATTTGAACTTTTAGCTAAGTGAAGCAATAAAACTGGATCCTCGGCCGGAATATCGACGAGCTTGTCTACTACCTGATCCAGAAAACATACCACGAGCAATTTGCCTGGAGAAAGAGCAAATGAGCTCACGACTACTATCAGTTCGAGGTGCTAATTTGTTGCTAAAATTACCCTCCTGCACAAATACTAAATCGACGGTGCAGAAGGATGAAGTTGTGAATGCGTTAGTGATCAGTCGATTGTAAATCGATCAGTTTCAACAATTGGCGTGCAGTTTTATGCTATAGAATTTTTTGCAGATGATGTTGATATCCAATGTTGAACAAGAATGGAAATTATAGAATAAGAAATTTTAAGACAAACGATATTTTTAAAACAAACTGTGAATGATTTTCTTTTATATTTAAGGATATCACGAACTTTTCTAAATGTTCTTCATATCAGCTAAGCGTTATAGTTGCCCCTATTTCCAGTTATCAGGTTGGATAGTTCTGTTTTATTCAGTACCTATCAATGGTTTCTTTATATTAAAAAATAAAGAAGAAGTTTCTTTTTGAAATTTGAACAATTTTTTCGGGGAAATCCATGGATAGAACCCATTCTTAAAAAACTTAGTTCTCATTAAAACTAAAGTCAGTAAAAGAAACAAATGCGCATTTAGAATGGAAACAAGTGCGCATTTCCCTCGCAGAAAGTCTCAAGATATTATTATTAGCTCAAATCCCACCTATCCTAATAACAAAAAGATTCAAAATTAATCTGTAACATCAGAGACAAGAAAATGCACACTAAGCTATAAAATCATGGTACTTTACAATAAACCTAATGTAAAAGCAAAGCGGAGTAATACCTGAAGTAACAGCTCATTGCATCCAACAATGAGTTGAAAATATCCGTGCATTTATCAGTTCATTTTATTATTATCATTTTAATCATAAATACAATCCATACGCTTCTGTCAAAAAATAATATGAATAAATCAGAAAATAATTCCGGCAAGGAAAAGCACTCACAATTGCTCTTTATTTTTTGTCAATAAGTCTACGAGTATAAAAAATGCGAGAAGCATTAAACTCACGTCACAACTGCCTGATTTAATATCACAATGCATAAAATCTCTTTACATTTAGAATTCGAATACAAAATTCTTCAAAAGCAAAGTAACCGTTAATCGAAACTTCATCTGCTGCATATATCTTGACTGGCACTGTCACATAATATTGACTCAAATATTCATGCTAAATTTAACAAAGAAATCATTAATTTCAAAACCTATCCTAGTTCTCAACTTCTTAAATGCCTTCCGAATTTGTAATACCAGAAGCCTGGAGATTAAAAGCGACATGACCTCATCAAACCAACTTTAACATCCGAATCCGGATTTTTCTTAAAACCATACATCGAAAAAAAGAATCGAATCCCATATACACAAATCATACATGTTTTTCCACTTCCATTCTTTGCTGCACAATGTAACCAAATTTATTTTTATGAGATTTTATATTTCGAAACAATTTTAAAGAGACAAAAGAAATAAAAATGCTTTTTCATTTCGTCACAACTTTCAGTGATGCATCAAAAAGCTTCAACAAAATACAGCGAAAACAAGGAGGAGTAAACCAGAATGATGTAACTTGAAGCGGTTCCAAAGATCCAGAGCGAATATTTTTTCCAAAAAAAGACAAAGAAATAAATTACTATTCCCGAGATTTTCAGGTAGCCGAAATGAAAAAATGTTCATAGCGTAAATTCTTATTAGCACAGTACAGAACCGGGAGATTACGTGTTATACAACTCATCAAAAGACAGTAACAAAGCTTGAATTCTCACTTGCTTTCTTCTTTTTTGGGTTCTTCTGCTGTCTGAGCTTCCTGCGTTCCTAGAAATTAAAGAAAATAATAACGCATTTCCATCAGAAATAAAAAATTGAGAATATATTTGAATGAAACTGATCTTTTCAAAATCATTAAATAACAGCTCAAAAACTTGCCACTAGAAGATTGCGTATTTTCCGCTGCCATTTTCTTGTAGACGGCTTCAAACAATTTCAGCGACTGTTGTTGTAGTGAACCGATTGCTTCACGTATATTGGCTGTCGTTTCGTTATCTTTATTTGCCAATAGTTGCTTCAGTTCACCAAGTTTATTACGAATTGCTTCAGCCTGAAAATTACCACAGTAAAGCCTTTCATTGGCTTCACTGAGTTATCAGTGCAGATAATTTTCCCATTTATACTTGAAACTTTTTAATTAAAATTTCTTAATGTTGGTTTTTTCAGCAATATTTCACTATTTAATTCAGGTACGAAAAAACTTCAACACTATTCACATACCATATCTAAAGAAATGAAAAGTGAGCTTATTTGGCATATCACACTTCCTTTCAAGAGATAGTCAAAAATGTTAATACAACAATAAACTTAAAAAATAAAAGCAAATCAATGACATCTGTCAGAAATCACCTCTTTCGCATCCACTTGATCTTTGAACTCAGTTAACTTAGAGTCGGTATCTTGAATAACACTTTCCGCCTGATTACAAACTTCAACCTTCTCTCTTCTTTCAGCATCCGCAGCAGCATTCTTTTCTGCTTCACGAATCATGTTTTCAATCTGATCCTTTGATAATCCACCAGAAGAGCGAATCACAACTGAATTAAAAAATATGGTGAAATAAATTTGATAATGGTGAACTAAATAATTTCCCCGCGCTAAATTTATTATTATTGAACATTTTGGAGGAATTAGAGCATATACTCTGAAACTAACTTTGCTGTTCCTTGCCGGTTCCTCGATCTCTGGCTGATACATTAACAATACCATTTGCGTCTATATCAAAAGTAACTTCGATCTGTGGTACACCACGTGGAGCTGGTGGTATCCCAACCTTTAATGAAGTAAATAAAAAAAAAGATAAGAGTCTAAGACTCAAAAAGTAGTCAACAAGAAAGAAATGAACGCACCAATGAAAACTGTCCTAAAAGTTTGTTATTGGTTGCCATGTCACGTTCCCCTTGGTAAACTTTGATTTCTACTTGTGTCTGTCCATCTGCTGCAGTAGAGAATACCTGAAACACTTATAAAATTGGTTCTGATGCTACCTAGATTTATTGTACAAACCTGCCTGAAACGATAATTTTAATAAATTAGACGGCTATTTACTAAAAAAAGCTTACCTTGCTAAATAACATTTTATTAAACGTTTAATTAAACAAATAAATAAAAACCAGTCTGAGACCACAGAAAAAAGCAAAACGTAATTCTTGGTTCTTACTTATTCTTTCAACCAATAAAAAAATCATTATTGCTGTTTAATTTTCAAAGAAGGATTTGAAACAACAAACTTGGCTTTTCTTCGTAGGGATGGTTGTATTGCGCTGAATAAGTTTGGTCATTACTCCACCTAGTGTTTCGATACCCAATGAGAGTGGTGTAACATCAAGTAGAAGAACGTCGGTCACATCACCTGCCAGCACCGCACCTTGGATCGCCGCTCCAATCGCGACTGCTTCATCAGGGTTCACTGCTTTTGACGGTTGCTTACCAAATACTTCTTGTACTGTTTGTTGAACCTTCAAGATCAGTTTTATTACGGAAACTCTCAAACTGACAAACTTATATATTATTTAGTCCCCTTTATCCTCATTTTCACTCTTACTATATATACCACCTTCTCAAACATTTATTACAAAAGTTCAAACTAAAGCTCATGAATTCTATTCCATTTTCGTAAGCGGCACTCCCATCCCATAAAAACATGAAAAACGTACTTTTGGCATTCTGGTCATTCCTCCAACGAGTAAAATCTCTCCAATTTCGGATGGTTTAACCTCTGCATCATGCATAGCCTTACGACATGGCTCAATAGTTCGCTTTATAAGGTCAGCCACAAGTTGTTCAAATTTAGCACGCGTTAATTTCAAATTCATATGTTTTGGGCCGGAGGCATCCATTGTCAAGTACGGTAAGTTTATATCGGTTTGCGTTGTCGATGACAGTTCGCATTTCGCTTTTTCAGCAGCTTCTCGCAAGCGTTGCATGGCCATGGGATCCTTTAAATTTTTGAAATTTAGAAATGGGTATTTTTTTTAACGTGTGATTAAATATTCCAATTCATGATTCAAATTCGCTATTTCTTCAGAAATGATTCAGATCAAAGTGAAGATTAATTGTATCATCATTATCATGAATTGATAAAAGGGATAAAACGAAAAATAATATGCAGCTCTAAAAAAAGCAAAAAATTCAGGAAATGGCGATAAACAAATTTCATGCCTTGTGAATGTCAATGCCCGAATCTTTCTTGAATTCAGATGCAAGATAATGAACTAATGCATTATCAAAATCTTCACCACCAAGGAATGTGTCACCATTAGTTGATTTCACTTCGAAAACCCCTTTTTGGATTTCAAGGACCGATATGTCGAAAGTACCTCCACCCAAATCATATACTGCGATGCTGAAATTTAGTTACATTCATCAATGAATCATTAAATCGCTAAATCAAAGCTCTCAACAGAAGCTATTACCATGCAAAACGAAAGCGTCTGCTCTATAAAATTATAAAAACAGAACAAACTTACATTTTGTCTTCTGCTTTATCAAGTCCATAAGACAAAGCTGCCGCGGTGGGCTCATTAATGACGCGTAGTACATTCAAACCAGCAATTTTACCAGCATCTTTTGTTGCCTAAATTCAAAAGAATAAATCATGTTTTTACAAAACTCATAGAATTTTCATAAAAATCAGAACACACTTTTAACCAACATTAATTTTTTGTAAACTAACATTGACTTTTAAATTACAAAAATCCATATGGAACTAACAGTACCTGTCTCTGAGAATCATTAAAATATGCCGGAACTGTAACAACAGCATTGTGAACAGTTGTACCTAAATAACCTTCTGCTGTTTCCTTCATTTTCATCAAAATATATGCACCAACCTAAAATATGAATTTCATGAGATTTAGTTCACATTCTATCAAAGATTTTTTACTGAAAACCTTGCATATTGTCACTAAATCGCATCATTATTGTTCACATTCACTCACTTGAGATGGTGAATACATTTTGCCTTGTGCTTCGACCCAAGCATCACCATTGGATGCGCGAACAATTTTAAACGGAACTACCTTCCTATAAAATGCAAATAATGATCAATCCAAATTTGTTTACGAATAACGATCCATGAGCTTGTTGTTTCAGATTCTGAAGAATGGGATTCAATTCCTACCTTCATATTATGTAAGCCATGCACGTACATAACTGCCAGCTTGATTTTTAAACTTTTCCGCAGAGGAATAGAGCTCAATAAACCATATAACTACACTAGAAATGCTGCGTTTAAATCGTAAACCACTTAAGAATTTGCTCTGCAAAAGTACTTTCACGATACTTAGGACCAGGATAATGTATCAGATAAAACTAACACATCTTTTTGCACTTCTGGATCATCAAAACGTCGTCCAATTAACCGCTTGGTAGCGTAAAGTGTATTCTGTGAATTTGTAACAGCTTGTCGCTTTGCTGGTGCGCCAACTAATCTTTCTCCGTCTTTGGTAAACGCAATCACTGATGGCGTTGTCCTCACACCTTCTGCATTTTCAATAACCTATAATAACAAAATTATGCCAACGAAAAATTTGAAACGAATTATTTAATACATCAGAAAATAAGACACATCCATTTCCTACATAACATTGTAAGATTAGTGAACTTTCAAGCAAAACTCCAAGATAAATATGAAGAATTCTTACTTTAGCTTGCTTCCCTTCCATAACCGCAACACACGAATTGGTTGTCCCAAGATCAATACCAATAACTGTTCCTTTAACACCATCAGACCTAAACAAAGTTTATCAAGATTTAAGCGGAAGTAATCAAGAAAATCTAGGAGGAGTCAACTTCAAAAAAAATTAAGAAAAGAAACGGTCTTCGTTAGTCCATTCAACTCCGTCCTACAATTTCAGGAAATAAGAAACAGTTTAAAAGAGTAGACCATGAGGAGTGGCATGAGAAGAGTTTTCATCTACCCTTCAATTATACAAGTAATTTCAAATTTACAACCTACTTCGTTCTACAACAATTACGATCAACCATGCAATCATATCTGCTGAATTTTATGTACATACCTATGTCACCCAAACTAAATAGTGAATCTTTGTGGATGTCGCGATTTGAGGCAGAGGAAACTATGCTCTAACCATAATTTACTTGTATTTCGACATGAACTTACTTGTATCTGCGAGCAGCACTTATCAGAAAGTTATCCGCAGGCCGCACATACAATGTCCGACTACATGTTGCTGCCACTGCTGATCTGATAGCTGAGAAAATCATCCTTCTGCTTCTATCTGCGTAAGATTATAATGTGCCACATTAAAAAGACAAAACCATATTTCGCGGACACCGCCATAACTCAACAAACTCCATGGGAGAGCACCAGAACGAAGTACCCCCAAAACCCCGGAACTCCGATTGCACCAAAACCCCACCCTGCACGCAACCCTTTCCTTCAATCTCTTACTCCTTACCTTCAAGCTCTACGGTAGCATTCTTCGAGGCTCCTGCCATCTGCTGCAGCACTAAAACATCTCTTGACTGCTCAAATTTGTTTGTTCTTGCCGTGGGAGAAATTTTGCATGCGTAAGTTCATTTAGAAAAAATCTTTGATTTAACGTTTGTGTATACTTAATAATAATCATGCAAATGAGTTTTGGGATATTGGACCTTCACATTCTGCCACTGCCAAATTCTGCAGTAAGTTCCTATTTCTAAATGTTCTGCATGGCCTGTCGATTTTACTCTCACAGAGAATGAACACAACTTTCAGTGGATTCATTTATTTATATATTCAAAGAGATAATGATTATTAAAAGTATAAATTTTTAATTTTAAAGTGTTTTAAATCACATTAGCTTTAGTTATAATCAATGATTGTTTATAATTTGGGAATATAGGTTGAAATGTTTCTTGAATTTTGAAGTCGTTGATCCAAAAACCGTTTTGTCAAAAACTTCTAGACTAAAGCAAATATTTCGAAGAGCATTTAATTGCAAGTTTTTTAATCAGAGAGATACTGTAGTACATTTTGGAATAATTAAGAAAGAAGTCATCTCAACGTTGTGATCAAATTTAAGTGGCTTCAAATCATCTTTTAAGAGAAGGGTCCTCTCGAAATTGCTTTGGGGCCTTTCCTGAAGTAACTTTGTATAACTTTGGATTCTTGATGAATCCGAAACATATTCATAAGTGTAAGAAATTCCAAACCGATGAAGGAATAAATTTGCTGATTTAATGTTATGTAATGTAATTTAAGAATTCTTTAAAAGATGAAAAACAAAAGACTCTCTAACATACAAAAATTTGCTTTTTCAAATTTGGTAATTAAAAAATTTCCATAAATTAACGAAAATTTCCTTTTCCGTTTTAACTTCCAGTCTTCCTCTATTTGTTTGATTTCTATTTCATTATTTGTCTTTAGGGAAATCATTCCTGAAATTACTTCTTTTTGTTCTTTTCATCCAATAATTATTATCACAATTTTCTTTCATATGTACTGAAGTAAACCTTTATAAGAGATGGAATAAACAAAGTTGACAGATTAGAATTTACTTCTCATCTGATAAAGGAAATGTGAAAAAAATTGTGATAAAAATTATTAGACAAAAAGAAGAACGATGAAAATTAGTAGAAAAGAAAGTATTGAATGAGTTTTAACAATTAGTGGGTGAGAATGAATTTCAGATATAAATAAGACATCATTTTAATATTACTTTTCATTGTGATGCTGAAAATCTATAACAAGTAATTGCTTTCATCGATCATTTCGAATATTGTTAAATGACAGTCAAGAATTTTATAAGCTTAGATATGCTTTTATTCTATTTTGGAAATTTCTATAAAAGTTTAAATTTGATAAATAAGCGCTTTATAGAGAAATAATAATTTGACAAGTCAAGAGAAGTTCAAATCATGAAGGTACTAATGAAAATTGTTTGATTTAATATGGGGTTCAGAAGAGAATCTTCGTAAAGGGAAATCAATTTATCAGCGATATCGCAACGAAAAGCGTAAAGGATAACGCAACTTTCTGAAGGATTGGCCTGTTATGTCGAAATTTTTAATTTGAATTAAGATCCTCAATAGTTGTTGAAAATGGTACTAAGAACATCGATATTCTCAATAGCCATGAATTTCTTCATGATATATTGAATGGAGGGAACAAAAACAAATATTTTATTAGGACGGAATAAAAATAAATATCACCAACCTATATCATAATATTATACTTCACCATGAATTCATTTATTGTAATAATTTTTATTTTTCATGTTAACGAATCCGGAAAAAAAGGAACATGAATGATAACTGTTAACAATACTGAATCGTTAATTATAAGAAAACAAGCCGCAAGATGCTAACATCAGATGGATTCCGTTATTTAAGACTTAATGCTTGATAAATAAAAAAAAGAAATTTATTTCAAAAATTTATTAATAATATGAGAAACAAAAGATGAAGAATTGATTTGTAGATGCTGTCCTTCAAAGGCTAGCAAATGCAATCGTTTGCTCTCCGATAGCTCACGTAAGCCGAGACGATCCTAAAATTACTGGTTTAATTAAATTGAAAAAAATATCGATCTATCGTAGCTTTCACTATAGATATGCTAAAGGTCATTGACTTTGATAAGATAAAGAAAATTTCTAACCTCTGTGTAAATTTTTGACTTTTTAAGAGGAATGATCTTTGAAATGTCATTTTCGAGATAATATTCAAACCACTGCAAATAGCAAGTAAAAAATTGCAGGTGAAAACTTTTAAATTATAAATGAAATTAATCAAATACCTAAAAAAGAAAACAAAACAAACAGAAAGTTTGGAAAATATTTCCACAGAAGAAAATGATTCTATAAAATGATTTCTTTCAGATGTTGAAATATATTATCATATTTGAAGGATAAGAAATCTCAAAATGATCTCTTTCAAATAAATAGAGAATTTGGCTGATGTTTGTAATATAGATGTTAACGGATCATTGAGATTGTGAGGAAATGTGATAAGCCTTGTGATAGCAGAAATAGAAGTGATCAGGTATGACAAAGGAGAAGAAACCTTCATTAAAAGTTCTAATTAAGAACTGCCCTCAATCTACCAGTTAGGATTAGGACAACTTTAAAGCTCTCCAAGTTTAGAAGCATTTTTGTTAGCTAAAATCATAATTTAATGCTCAATTAGCGTAGTGGAATGAATTTATCGAAGAAATAAATGAACCGAGGATTCCTTTGGTACTACCATCGTATCATTTAGAAATTTCACCAATACCAGATTTTGCAATTTCAATAAATTTTCTCTGTATGTCTCATTCAGATTCTGAAAATGTCGATGTAGTTTTTTAGCTTTCCAGAAATTTACTTTAAATCTTTGAAATAAATGAATGTGAAGAATTTTTCGATGTATTACTTTTGAATATTCACAACATTGTCATCAAAACTCGTTGTCATAAATTTTGTTATCAAAAAGGTTTTAAAAAAGAAGTAGAATCCAACCCTTTCATTGTTAATATCAGCAAGGAATATGCTATTTTGTCGATACGTTGCTTCATCTAACGGATCATGCCAATATTGTGCTTGCACTAACCTTAAATTTATTAACAAAGAATGAATTATAATCACAATACATTTAACTATAAATAAAATAAATGGAAAGCTTCACAAAAATTAGACATAAAAAAGAGTGAATAGTAATTGATAAAAGATTGATAAATTGATAAAAGAGAATGAATGAATGAATACTTTTTATATATTGCAAATTGTAAGACATATCAAAACAGAAATTTAAAAGAAAAACAAACGTATTCTGAACAAAGCCAACATATGCGCCCCATTCTAATAAATTTCGTACGCGATCACAAATGTAACTTTTTGCTGGACATAACGGTAATCCAAATACTCCCTGATGTTGTCCACCCAGCGAAATCAAATTTTTCATCGATGGAACTGGACAACGTTGTGCTACAGCACGCCTATATTAAACTTTAATTAGTTGTAAACAAAAAAAAATTCATGACAATATTTGAGATTTATTATACAATATATTTTAAAAATATTGTGCTGCAGAAAGATAATGCACACGCCTGAGGATTCAGGTAAATAATTGTAATTACTTCGGAGCAGCACTCAGAATTACTTGTTGAACAATTGCACATAACATATACAGTCCTAAGGCTTGCACAACTGTCATCAACTAAACTTTTGTACGGGAAAAAAAATTGCAATTAAAGAGTACAGAAATTGCGCGCCCTGTGAAAAACCAATACCATTGTACCCATTTTTAAATTTTTCATCTTTCTGTATTGTTTGGCATACCTCCGCTACCTGATCATTCACATTCCCGAAGAAACCATGTTCCGTATCCTGAAAATACACACAGTCTGTGGAACTTCAAAATCAGATGAGCTTTCATTAATTATTCTGAGGGAAACGAACCATCACAACATTGGATCCTATCATTACTGAATAAATGTAGACATTAGGGATATTCTTCCTTAGTAATTTTTCTATTCGTCCCAAACTTAATGGATTGCAACAGCTGTCACCTGAAAAACTTTTTATATAACATTGAAATCGTGAAGGTACACAAAGGCTAAAATCAATAATGAAATTTATGCTTCTGGAATTTTATTAAATTCGTTAAATGTCGTATATATTTATATGTGTGCATATTCATATCTATTTCTATGAGAAAAATCGTTGACCAGAAAATCGCAAAAATTAAAAACTCCGAGCATATCTGGAAGTTCCTCTAACTTTCTAGAAAGAAACTGTTCTAGAAATTTTAATAAAAAGAAAATTACCCATGCCATGCCATAGAACGATTGGAGTTGGCTCAACATTGCCGAAAATTTTTTGCAGAAATTGTCTGACAGAATTTGTTGTGATCGTTGCGGAACCGATAGATAGCAGTAGAAAAGTGATGACAAAGGCATAATTGGCTATCATTTTCGGTAATTACTTTTACCTAATTGAGAAATATAAAGTTTTATGAAAAAAAATTTTTTGTAAGATTAACCGAAAATCGATGCGTTTTTCTTTTTTGACAAAGAATTTTGATATAGTAAGAGTAAAGAAGACAGATGTATATGCAGATAGAGAATAGAGAATATTTGACCTTGTACTGTGTGACCTTTATCCATTCAAGGGTTATGAAAAGATTTAGAAAATTATTTTAACACAAACAAACACAGTTTGATATTTGAATAGTGAATTTTAACTTTATTTAAAATTTTAATAATATAATTAGTTGCCCTTCCCATCTTTTTAATTAACAATTGTTCTTTCTTTAACCTTCATTGAAGTAAAAAGTCAAGTAATCAATGTCATATAAAAGCTATACTTACTTACAACTTGGATATAACTTAAATATGCTTGCGTGAAAAATGGACATAATTAATTAGAAGAGAAATTTTAAAAAAACGGTAAAATCGAAACAGTTGAAGTTGGAATGCAGTGAGTCAGTTGCGGAGCATAGCTTTCCATTGCTAAATGTTTCTCTGTGATCACAACAGCTGACCTTCCCACTATCACTTCTCACTAATAAGCTGCAAAAAATTTCAACGTTGAATTTTATTTTATCAAATGACGTACCTTTGAGATTTTTAGTTAGAAAATAAAAAAGAGAATAAATTACTTTTCAGCCATTATTAACATTTTATTATCGTTATAACTGGTAGCTGTAACTAATAATAGTTACAAATTTTTCATTTTTTTTTACGTACGAAAGTATTATTAATTTTGAACTCATTTTCAGTTGAACCTCAAGAAGGCCTTAGAAGTAAAAGAAACTTAAGAAGGTGAAAAAGTATTGTATTCAATCGATATAGGTACCAATGAATAATAATAGCTGATAGATAATGCAAAAAAATGATAAAGATAGAAAAGCGTGCAAAAAGAAGGATTAATTTTACCATAGTAGATAAGATAACAGTTTATATTGCCCATTTGTGACTGCAAATGACCAGCGGTCATTTTATTATGTATAGTACGATTTGAAAGGATAATGTCTAAGCAAATCCATAAATTCTTTTTTCTAAAATGTGATAGAAATCGTTTTCAAGATATATTATTTTCAATTTTTCAAATCTTACTCAAAAGTTAATATTCTTCAAGGACAATCATATTGATACTCTCTTCAATGGAAGCGAAAAAGGCATAAATTTGGGTACAGCTGGGAAGTTTTTTTATTACACTACGGACATTCAAATTTTTAATTTTAAGTTTCTTCGGATAAGGCTTTTTCCGGTTTGCTGAAATTAAGACCGGAGCTTTTTCTTTGGATAAGGCTAGAAGTTAAGAAAATTAATGTTAAAGTCGTGTTCTCTATCACTGTGAATTCAATCTGATCTCACTGCAATTTCTCAATTTTTATGGACTATAAGTTTTACCATATATATCCAATATATATCCAATACTGATCAAACTGATTCATTATTGATTCAGAATAAACAAAACGAGAAATATTTCTTAATTTCTTATTTAACGAATTTTTCAACAATGTATATTATATGTCTTGCTTTCTCTGGAGATACATTTTCATCCCTCTTTTAAATGCAAACTCTGCTGCTTTGGTGTTTTTTACTTGATCTTTTTTGATAGGCCATCGTGGCGTATCTCTTAGATATTTGCAACACATATTCAGCATTGTTGTAAATATGAATGAATGAATACTTATGTTATTTAAATTTATTATTGGTAGTGAAAATTAAAAAAAAATATATTAAAAAGACTAATAAAATCATTATCAGCTGTAAAGTGGTTAACCAACCAGCTACTCTGGACAGTGTTTTCAAATCATTATAAAAATAGATAATACCAGACAAGAAGATATAATTTGGCGAATAACTGATCACTGCAGATATCTACATTTAATATTTATCAGGAAGATTTTCCATGAAATACGAATTGCTCACATTGAACAATAATTCAAAATAATTTGTTAGCATTTAATTTCACAATATGAATTACCGTTTTTGTCAGTTCTAAAATTATTTGATGAATAATAGCAAACACATAAATGAAATTAAAGCTAACAATGATATCATCATTCCAATGGCTCCAATGAGTGGAACATAAAATCTAAAGCACTTTCTTGAATGGAACTGGAATTATACGAATCGGTCAAAAAATCTGAAGGGACTGCTTTTTTTTGATTTGAAAAATAAAATCCAAGTTTATGCAAAAAGTTAATTCAATAAAAATAAGCTATCAAAAATTTCAAACAGATTTTTCTGCCGTATCGATAAGATTATAAAAGACAATTATGGTACTTCAAATTGAAAAACTAAATTATACTCTTCCATTTTGTTTCGCAAGGAGCTGGAATGAGTTGTTAAGGAATTCAATTTTTTCAATATTCGATAAGATTATATATTGAATCTAAGTATTCTTTTAATTAGTCCGAAACCTTAAAATGCCATATGTATAAAGCATCCATCATTTTGAATGAGTATGAAATAGAAGTTCAATAAGATATTATTGGCATTGTTGGCTAAATGTGACCCTTTTGCCTTATTGTGAACATAGAAAATTTTCGGTAAATAATTTTGGAAATAGATCCTATTAGAGTAGTAATTTACAGCGTTGTAGCATTCTTCTAATTTATTTTATTACAATTACTGGCATTTTAAAATATGACTACAAAATTGGAATAATTAACTATTTGTTATTTATTTAACAGATTTTCTGCTTTTCTTCATGGCAACAATGTTGGCCATTTAATATATAGTCCAATGTATAATGAAGAATGAAATGGGCCCAGTAAATTTGACTAATTTCCATCAATAATAATCAACATTGATGATAAATAGCAATGAAAAAAGTGTTGAACCTTTTTAAACTTTTATTTCTTATGCACTAACTCTATACATTACAACGAAAATACCATTTGATGATGAAATAATTAACAAAGTATGAATGAATAAGATGGATAAGATGTATCGAATCCATTGGATAAATTGTAAGATCTACGATTTGGTATGACATCCACTCTAAACTCTATTTTCCATTCTCCATCTTTCTTTTCCCTCTTCACTCTTCCTGCTCTTATCTTCATCCTCACCTGTTCTCGTTTCTGTTTCTGTCTTCGCATTTTTCCGACTCTGTCGTGATGTTGAAGTGGACACTGAATCATAACTTTCAACGTTCGTAATATCCGTTGTGTATTCTGTACTCTGAGTGCGATCCTCACAGAGATTATCCTCTTCACCTGGCATATTATCGGGTAGTTTCATCCCGCGAGTCTCGGGCACCAGAAAAAAGTAGAGCAAAAAATCCGCCGCGCTTGTTATCAACATCAAAAGGAATGGCGCTGGCGGCCAATGCTTACTCTGTAATACATTCTACATCTATCATTCCCATTATTTTGGGTATACAATACATTATTGATAACAACCTAATATCAGTTACGGAAGGAGAACTATTCCTCCTCTGCACCAATGCATACCGGAATAGTGGTAATAATTTATCTACAAAAGATAATTCCCTCTTGCTAAGAAATACTGACGCTGCACTAACCGGGATGAACACAAGCGGGCTAACAATGGTGCCCAAACGATTGAATATTTGAATGAAAGCAATTCCCGTACTACGTATCGGTGTCGGAAATAGCTCGGCTGGTTGTACGGTGTCCAGAACGAATAATTCGGTGCACATTGCAGCCGCCAAAAGAGAAGCATATCGTGTGAATATAATAATCGCAAGAATCGATCCCTCACCTGAATCACTTTCACCAACACTTTACAATATAGTCCTTTCATGGTCAGTTAGCATAAGTGCCTCATTTTCTCTATCTTCTGATGGGCTACTGATACTTCTGCTGGCCAATCGCCATGATATGGCCAACATGTAACATGCAACTCTAGACATACATCTGCTACTCTCACATAATATCTGACCAATGATAGCGAAGAATTCAGAATTCAGAATTGATTAGTTCTGATAATTTGATGAAAAAATACCTGTTCCACCAGCTTTTATAACTGCTTTATAGGTGTTAATTTTTGGCCCTAAAAAATTGATTAAATTATCTTTTTGAGTTTTCTATCTATTTCATCTATCCTTTTCCTTCATCTGCAAAAATGTTTGTTAAGTTATCATCGGCTTCTGAATGCTGCAAATATCAGACATTTTCTGCTAATTATTTGTTTTTCGCAGAAATGAATTTTATGAGTAAGCGACCCTTTCGTTATCTTGATATGTATAATTCCGAACACGGTAATCATTGATAACGTGTTACGTACTATCAGGTTGCCATGTTAAAATATTATCAGTAGAACATTTGAACTTTCGTGTAATCTGTTTTATATAATTTTGAAAGAATAACTTACATGTAAATATATAAATGACAAAAATAATTGCCATAATAACAGCGATAAATCCAACCGCAACAAGGTGAAGTAAACGTCGTCCAACACTTCTAATTGAAAATTCGAGTCCAGCAGCTAATATGTTAATGGACCATCTTGCAGCCCCCAATATAATAACATTAATGTAAACTGTACCCGCTAATGCATCCATATTATATGCGATACCATAACTAATAAAACTTGTTGAAAATCTGTAATGCAAGTGAATAAACACAAAATTTAGGGTTATGTAATTGTATAGTGTTAATTCGATAATTTCATCTAAATTCTTCTGCGCATATCCATGAATGAAACGGGGAAATTACTTACAAGCTTGTAGCAAACACTACCGCATAACTGCCAAGTTTCCAATTACTGAATAAATGATAAAAATAATAATTCTTTCCTTTTTTCTTTTTTGTTAACTGAAATTAAATTAAATTAAAAAATGAATTTTGTTCATTAAAAATGCCAATTTGCACAAAAAGATGAATGGATGGTTAATGTTAAAAGTTAATGTTAAATTTGGATCGATCACATGTATACCTCTTCCTTTGCAGCATTTTCAACAACAGCAATAATTTTCTTTTCCTTTTCCGGTGTAAGTTCTTCATCCCATTTCCGGATGCAAACAGCTGCCTTTGATGCTTTCTTATCTTTTCCTTTTTTTATTAACCATCGTGGTGTATCCATTAGAAATCTTAATTTTTACATCCAATAATCCTTTATTCTTTAAAATTCTTTTTCTAATTTTTTCTTTAGATTTATTAACAATAATATGATTATTATAAATTTTTACCAATTAATCATTTTAAAAGAGATTATCAAAGAAAAATCGAAAATCAAAAGTATTCTTAAAGAAGGATGCATTAAAATAAATAACATGAATAGGCATACGGTATCATGATTAAAGGTAGTACAGCAATGCCAGCAGTTACCCACGATAGAATTTTCCAATTTTTACACAAATATGCGATGCCGGCTAAGATAATATAATTGGGTGAATATGTAACTACGGTGGCTACCCACATTCGATGCTTGTCCGGTAAATTTTCCATAAAATATGGATTACAAACACTGTAAAGGTATGAACATTGCTGCTGGTCATAAATAAACTTAATAGTATGAAAATTTGTTTGAAAAAAATTGTTTGTGAAAAATTGTTCTTAAAAAGTTGATTTTGGACTTTTCAGAGGCTTATTTGACAAACAAATTTCAGCTCAAATAAATAATGATTTATCGATGCTTACCAATGCTTTCCACCAGTAAAAATCATATCGAAGAAGCGAAAAATGGTGAATACAATGAAGGATGGCGAAAATGGTGTAACAATAAGAAATATTATTAAACCGATAGTAAATGACAGCAATACCTAATATTAATTTTAATCCTATCATTCTCTTCTGATTTGTTCAATTTACTTTCAAAATTTTAATTTCTTGAAGTAAGGATGCACCATTCATTTGTATTATTTTTGGTGCAAAATACGACAAATTACAATTTGATTCCGCTTATCAGAATACATGAAATTTATGAATACTTTCTTTCTACCAAGGATATCAGCGATATTGCCAGCCACAATAGCACCAATCATTAACCCAATATTTTGTATTGTTGTACCCAATTTAACATATTCCATTGGTATGTCAAACTAAAATTTAAAACTCTCTAAATAAATAAAATGAATTGTCGAAGAAAAGTAAAATCTACAATAATCGTCGAAATGACATAAATTATATATTTATGCGACCGCACTAAAATATGTCTTTCTGATCGATACGATTGTGATGATCGAAGAGGAAATCTTTAGACTATTATTAGTGAAGCATAATTAGATATTATATAATTAAACTAATATGTGAGATTATTGCAGAAAAAAAACTTATACATCGTAACTTATTGGAATGAAATCATAGGTGTTTGTAGAACATATAACATTGCCACTTCGATTTGTTGTTACCCAACAATTGCTTACATTACAGATCTTTGTTGACATGTAATCCGAGTATTTCTTTTCACAAAAATCTTCCACTTTAGGTTTCCGGTCTAATCAGAATTTAAAATTATTCGAATCATTTCAACAGAGAAAATATTTTATGACTCGTTTTTACATTTGAAATAATTTCGTAGTTTAACATTGCAACATTTGCGATATTATATTTACTTTTGGATTTCTACTTTTTAAATCATTTTTGAAATACTTTTTGCATAAAAAAAAGCTTCTGTAATAAATTTTAGTTTAGAAGAGTTTTCCAGAATTTTCCAGTCTTCCAAAAAAATCATTCAAAATAAAAAAAATTCACGAATTTTATCAAAGATTCCTAAAGTTAAATAACTTATGCTGTCACTTAAAAATTTGGTGACAATATTTTATTAAAATATTTACCATAGCTTACTTTAATTGATTTGTTTAACTTTTAATACAACGCTATAACTATGTAGAAGCTGTTTTCGTTTTCTGTTGCCAGTACAATTCATAAAAATTATGCAGATGGTATTATTGAAAAGCTAACCGGCGAATGTCATGAAGAGAAGGTTGCATGTTTGTGATAGTACCATGAAAAAATATGTAACAGTTAGATAGACCACATAATTGCCACACATATTTATATCAGAGATCTTGAATTCGGCACCACTTGATATTTCCAATGGCTTCGATTTCTCTTTTTGTTTTTTACCGTATTTCATGATTCTCTTAAATAGTGTGAATATTAATGAAGAAAGAAAGAAATACTTACCTTTTCATATAATTAATATAAAGCAAATAAGTTTTCATTGAATATAATTCTAAAAATTATTGTCCAAAAATAAGTGAATCATCTTAGCAAGCAAAAAATAATTTTTCAAAAAAAATTGCTTAAAACATTACCGCAATTTTAAAACTCTCTGGAAATACTAATTAATCATTTCTATTATTTTAATATTTATTATTACAACCTCCGGTCTTTTATTTTCGATCTTAAATGAATTTTTGAGTGAACTCTGTTTTGAAGGCCTAAATTCAATTTTGATGTCATATTAAAATTTTGATATTCAACTATTTCATGACATTCTTCGAATGAAAACCTCTTCTTATATATATTTGTCGTTTCTGTTTCGTTTTCTTCGCCTAATGGAATGCGGAAAATAAATATCTCAAAACTGGCTTCAAATAATGAAATACCCTTCGCAACTGTCACGATTACAAAACATAAAGGAAAAAAAGTCGCAATATCAACCGCTAACCTCAAGTTCCAATAATTTATATCATAGTTGCCGAATTTTTATAAATAAATGCATATAAATTCATTCATAAAATAAATATGCAAAATTTCTGATTTTGCTCATAGGACAGCAACTGTTCGAAAATTTCCAAAATTTCAAATCTATCCGCTATCCGAATTTTACCCATTTACCTTATCGAATTACTACTGCAAACACTGCTTGTTTCCTTATTATATTCAAAATATCATCCTCCTCAGATATTTTATATTGCTCTCCTATCGCTATCTCTCATTTTATACAAGCATAATTTATGTCATCCAATTTCATAATAGTAACTTAATTGACAATAGGTAATAATTATCGCAAATGTCACAGTTCACTGTTCTATAAAAATTTTTGTATGGTTTCATTAAATTTCCTAAGCTTAACTTAACAAAGAAAAAGTTTTGTTTTCAAGGATGGTGAAAAGTAATTAATTATCATTACGCTTGCTTTTCATTACTTAGAATTTGAAGTAAATAAAACTGTGAAGCTACGAATTAATATCCATAAGAATGTGAGCCATTCAAATTTCTTCGATCTTTTTAACCGATCAAAATCGTTATTTAATTGAAAAGATTTTTTCAAATTAATTTTTATTTTGTCTCAAATATTTTCAATCAAATGATTTGATATGCTTTGTTTAATATCTCAATTCATTATTCTAAAGAATACTGTAAATGATTTACATTAAATAACAATCCCCTCTTTACCATTGTCATTATC